AAACATTTCAATAAGAAATATCATCTAGCTCATGGCAAACCAATTACAAGAAGACCAGTTTATGAAATTCAACCTCCAGTTGATGATGAAGAGAATGAAAAGATGTATGCAACTTTTTGGAAACAAATCAAGAGAATACAGGTCAAGGAACCAGGTAAATTGGAGAACTTACATCGTTTCCATTTAGGTCATTATGATCACATCCATTTTACTACAGTGCCAGATCCTAAATATCCTTATAAACATTTACCAAAATGCATCTTATGTGGTCAAGAAAATGAAAATACTAAACATCTATTTGAAGATTGTGAAGTTTCGCAAAAGATTTGGAAAGAAATAACTCCTGATTATGGCAAGATAAAGTTATCAAACATTTTATTACCTATCAAAGATCCAGATAAGCATCTAAAAGACTTATCTCTTTACATTGGGATAATCTGGAACACCAGAGTTCAAAGAAGATGGAGTTCAATTGAACCTAAATTTGATGATGCTGCTGTTCAAACAATGATAACTTTCGCCAAATCACAAATAAACAAATACAATTCAAAGAATTATTACCTTGGATCGTAAATTACAAGAAGAAGAATATTGAAATGATAGAAAACAGTTGTTACACAGCTTTATTAGCTTTTTTTGATGCATCTAAGATTCAATTAGAATCACAAATTAGAGTGCAATTTTTTAGATAAGTGAATTTGTAAATGAGTATAAGTGAAATAAACGTTATTGTATACAAAAAAAAAAAATTTATTAGAGTGCAATTTTTTTAGATAAGTGAATTTGTAAATGAGTATAAGTGAAATAAACGTTATTGTATACAAAAAAAAAAAATTTAGGAAGTCAATCCGAACGTTTTAAGTACTGGGTAAATGATTTGAACTAAAATATTTATTAAAACAATCTTATCAATAGTTCACAGTTCATCATGACCTTCATTATTGTTACCTTCAACCTCTTTGACCAATTTACAACCAATTGGGGCTTTAACTCTGAAATGATATTCACATTTTTCAGGTTCAGTAACTGCTAATAATTCATTTTCTGCACCACAATCAATAGTAACAATACCTTTTCTTAATGGACCATTCCAGCATCTTGCACCATTTTCATATGTTAAAATCAATTGATGTTGAGTTCTTGAGATATCATTAACTTCGATACTTGAAAATGACCCAATTTTAACATTATGATTGTTACCTTTTTGATGAACATCTCCAATGAAAAATAGTTCATAATCATATTCACCAATATGGCCTTTTAAGGAAATATCTTTTAACGGTCTTAATAAATCATTTGGACCATAGTATCTCGATAAGTCTTCTTTAATTGAATTGACTGACCTTTCAGTTTTATCTTTATCTTTTTCTAACTCTTCAACAGCTATTTGTAAATCATCTTTGGTTTCATTTGTTTCTTCATGATGAGCTTCATATTGTTCCTTTGTTTCAATTCCTAAGAAGTCATTAATCATTTTTCTGTATTTGTTTTTCAATCTTTCCAATAATGGTAGTTGTTGGATTTTTTTAACTTGAGTCTTTTTTTCTTCAATTTTTGGCTCTGCTTCAGATTTTTTTAAAGATTCAGCCAACTGTTCAACTTGTTCAATTTTAGATTTCAACCAAGAAATGGTTTCATCAGTTGGAACTTGGAAAGTTTCTCTATTGACTGAGAAATCTTGGAAAGAGTTAACAGCTTGCTTGACATTTGGATCATTGAAATTTGGATTATAATTGTTGATCAAATGATTTAATAATTTTTCCAAATCATTAGCACGTTCATTTACAGCATTATGTTTCAGTAATTCTTGTTTTAATGTTTCAGATAATTCATTGAATGTTGTTTTCAATGAATCAGTATTTCCTGTTAAATCAAGTGAGTTGAATTTATCTAAAATTGAGTTTTTAATGGCATCAAAAGATTGAAAAGTTTCTGATTTTTCAGCATCATATGATTCCTTGTATTTTTCCAAATGTTCAGCATAGCTATCAACAGTATCTTTCACTGCAGCATCTTTCAAGTTTTCATTGAATGTTTGCACTAAAGCATCTAGAATTTCACTCAAACTTTTCAAATTTGAATCACTTGAAGTGAAAGATCCAAAATAATCTGAAACTTTACTTTTAATCTCCTCAATTGACTCTTTGATTTTGTGTTGAGCCTGTGAAGAATCTTGGTTAATTTCACCTCTTGCTTGAGCTTGTTCTAAAGTGGCTTTTTTAGCAGCTAATTCTTTTTGAAGAAACTCCAAAATAGCACTTTCCGCAGTGAATTGCTCATGTAATTTAGCTCTCAATTTACTTGCTGCGTTAATTGTCTTTTCAACTTTTGAAACTCCGATCTTGTATGTTTCTTTTTCTAAATCTAAAGCTTTTTGATATTCTTTATGGATTTCTTCACATCTGCTTGGGCAGTCAATTGGTGTGTTCCATTCATCTGAGCCATCACAGCATTCTGAGTAGTCGCATACACCATCGTTAACTTTGAAAGACTTGATATAACCTGGAACATGGCCCTTATTTTCACAATAGAATTTACCATTTGGACATGCACTTGTACCTGGTTCATCACTTCCATCAGGGCAATCACAAAAATCATCGTTAATCTGAGAAAAGTCTAGCACTACTTCAGGATTTGACAAACATCTCCATTTCCCTTCAGCATCAGGTTCATATAATTCTTGATCTGTTGAAATGTTAGAATGCTATGAATTGACCACGTAACTGGTTTAGTTGCGATAACTTACCACTAGGAGCAACGCCAACCACTTGGGACAATGCGACGCTTGCCAGTGAAGAGGCAACACCAATTGCAATTGAAGCTTTCATTGTATAGCCAAATTGATAGTGACACTGAGTCTCGTCTTTGATTGTTCAATGCTGATGGAACTGGAGATTCCTTGGATCTTGAATCTCTTCGTCAATCAGTCGCGACTTGAAAAATCGCGAAGCTTTGGTAATCAAAAATATAATTTGAGACCTAATATACTTAATCAAAAGGTAAAAAGAGAACTTAACTGGAGTAAGTTCTGGCTTATATAAATACTTACTGAAGCTCAATATTTTTTTGTATTATAACGCAGCGTATTATTTATTAAACTGATATAAATTAATGGCGCTTGTATTTTTTTTTTTATAAGTCGACGTCGTTGATATTATTTGATGAACTTGGTCGATGAGGAATCCAATTATTATGATTAATATTAATATTGTATTCTATTTGGGCAGGTTATGAGGACTATTCTTCATGTTTTGAGTGGTTGGTTGGTTGGTTGATTGGATCACAGCTTGCACTACTAGGTTTATAATATAGGTATTTTGAGGCCAAAATACATGTATTTTTGAAGCCAATTATTTGTAGAAGATGGATTTATGTTATTTGGAGTGTTGAAATAGGTGGATATCATTGATTATGGTGGTTTTATTGAAGATTGTTTTATTGAAGGTTTGTATAGTGGATTTTTGGTGTTACGGGCCACATTTTCACGTGACCAAATTCTGCTAATTATGGTGAGGATTGGAAATTGGAATAAAACGTTGGGTTTTGGAGTTTTGGAGCTGATTTTGGTTGTGGTGGACTGAGAGTGTGATGTTGCGTATGGTTAAGCAATAGTGGTGGTGATAGGATCAATTGGTGTTGGAGTATTTAATGGTTTTGTTAAGCTGATTATGGAGAATTGTTACTGTTCAATCAGTTTAAAAGATATTGATGAAATTTTAACTACATTAGAGTTTGGTTGTATGGATACAACTATTACATATCATTAATAATGTGTATAATTTTATAATATAAAATTATAATGCTTATAACATAATGTACCAATTGATCACTGGTGACTCAGTGGTCGACTTATATGACTGCAGTTTTAATAATATAATATAATTTATTTTGGCAGTACGTCGATCAATCTATAATTATGAGATCATAATATACGCCTTGTTTTTATTGATCAAACATAATATTTTTTTTTTTTTTTTTAATGTATCTGATGTGTATTTATAAAATGCTAAAATAATGTACAAAATCACTGGGGACTCAGTCTATGACTGATTTATAGTATTTATAAAATGCTAAAATAATGTACAAAATCACTCATTGGGACTCAGTCTATGACTGATTTATAAATTAATATATAATATATTACATATATACACATATTCAAATATTTATAGGTACGTATACATGATTATAATTTTATAAAACTAGAAAAAATTAAAATATATAAACAACCGCGTACTAGCTTTTTTAGTTCATTCTTACTTGTTTTTCTGATTTATCCCTTTTAATATAATTATAAATCAGTCATAGGCTGAGTCCCCATGAGTGATTTTGTACATTATTTTAGCATTTTATAAATACTATAAATCAGTCATAGACTGAGTCCCCAGTGATTTTGTACATTATTTTAGCATTTTATAAATACATATCAGATACATTAAAAAAAAAAAAATATAAATTATTTACAATTCCTCATCCAATTAGTTCATCAAATACATCATTAACTAAAAAAAAAATACAAGCTCATGATCCTGCAAGAGGTTCTTGCCTATCCCACCAATCATTAACTGATTATCTCTTCTTTAACCAAAGCTATATCATTTCATAATAGTCAACATGTATCTTGCACGTCATCTCCACAAAAACCAAATTTTACTCAAGTTTGGAATTTTTGAAAAAAAAATCAAAATGCAATCAAAAAATCGTTTTGGCAAAATTTCCCTGGCACTTGGTCTTTGGGCAAAGATCTGATTTTTTTCAAAAAGTGCTGAATTGACCACTTTACCATACAAATTTTGGAAAACACCATATATGCTTAATAAACACCGAATCAACAATAGTGCTTCAATAGCCTGAGTAGATCTGTAGTAATATGCACCTCTCTATCTTTTGTTTGGTCATCCTCACCATAATCTCTCTTTGTGCAACTGAACAAGTCATTCTAATCTATAGGCAATCCACTTTGAAGTCACCTAGGAAACCAACACATATCTCATGACACCAGCATTGTGTATGCGTTTTTTAGAAAAAACACAAAGATAACTTTTCCAAAGAAACCAGAGACACACACATACCAAAAGCTTGGGTAACGATTGTGAAGGGATACTCAGGTTGAATGTGTTACTTGGGATTAGTGAATATGGAATGGTGTTGGACTCTGGAACTCAGCATGATTTTTTTTTGGTTTAGTTTTGGACTCACTGATGATAAAGTTATACTCAAGTTTCAAATAAAGGGATTGTGCCATCTTTGATAAGTTATGCTGATACTGATGTGGATTATGATACTCCTATAACAAAGTTTGTTGTTTCACTCCTCCTCATTCTGCGTTATTCATATGAAACTGAAGTTGAAGTGTGATGGATTTGATGTTTGGTATCTTGAACTTTTGATGGATTTGGTGTTTTGGAGGTGATGAAGAAATCAAGCTCATTCAGGATAAAGGGATTGTGCCATCTTTGATAAGTTGTACTGATGCTGATGTGGATTATGAGACTCCTATAACAAAGTTTGTTGTTTTACTCCTCCTCATTCTGCGTTATTCATATGAAACTGAAGTTGAAGTGTGATGGACTTGATGTTTGGTATCTTGAACTTTTGAATGATTGTTGAAGGTTGTTAACAACAGTTGGATTCACTGATGATAAAATTGTGCTCAATTTTCAGATAAGGGGATTGTGCCATCTTTGACAAGTTGTACTGATGCTGAAGTGGATTATGAGACTCCTATAACAAAGTTTGTTGTTTCACTCCTCTTCATTCTGCGTTATTCATATGAAACTGAAGTTGAAGTGTAATGGATTTGATGTTTGGTATCTTGAACTTTTGATGGATCTGGAGTTTTTGGAGGTGATGAAGACAGTCTTATCATACAGCAGGATTTGAGGCCCCATCAACACGAATTGATTTCATCTTTTCAAGTTGGTCAAATCAAGTATTATGATAGCTTATTGTGTTTGGGATAAGTATATCAAAGACCTTCTGTTTGGATATGTTTCTGCAACATACATTATGGTTTAACTTGATGATGGAAGATTTCATTTTGATTTGAAGAATTAGTATTGATAACAGTTTGTTTGGATAGCACTACCTGGGTTTTCTCAGATCTAACATTCACATTTGATTTCCGTTTGGATCTGACTTTGATTTCTTAGCACTACCCATTGTCTGAAGATTATGATGTCTTGTTGGATGAAATGTAACAGTTCAAATGGTGTTCTTATTTCCATTGGGATGCTTAGATACTACTAACATGAATTAGGGGACAGCTTCAGATCATTTCAAACCGGCCAAATCAACAGCACACAGCACCATGACAGCACACAAATGATGATATATCATCAAAAGATCATTAGGGGGGCAAATTGGATACAGGGTGGGTGCAGCCAGATGAAACTGTGTTGTCGAATCTAAAGATTATTGTTTTGACCTGATCGCCCATTACAGATCTTGGAAATTCGCGGAAAATTTGGGACATCCGAACACCACCCTAAAACCTGACCCCCCATTTTTTCTATCCCTAACGATACTTTGGAAGGAGAAGAACCTTTTGGTAAGGCTCCAACCTCTGTACCGTTTGTATTTGGCTAGAAAATCCAAAAAATTCATTTTTAACGCCCCTCTAACGGCCTGCCCGTGGCCGATTTTTGGAATATGTTGCCCCTACCAGTTTCTTAACTATGGTGAAACCTATTTTGATCTATAACTTTCCAATAAATGGTTTATATGCTTAGATTTGTATTTGAGAAGATAGAGAAACGTTAAAGGTATATACTCATCCAGAAATGGAACCCCCAATCCTTTCGAGAGTGTATATATCTTGTTTTTACTGTTTTTGAACCCCCAAAATGTATTGATATTGAACGAAATAAAGAGCTTATTGGGACAGAAAGGTGTTGGAAAGATGGAGAAAATTTCAAATAACGTTATGGTGATAAGCATGAGGGTCTAACATTAATAGTTGATGAATTATATCCAATATCAATATATCAATGACATTACGATACTTCAAATAATCATCCAATCTACCCAAAAACTATTAGAAAAGTTGTATCCATACAACCAAACTCTAATGTGGTTAAAATTTCATCAATATCTTTTAAACTGATTGAACAGTAACAATTCTCCATAATCAGCTTAACAAAACCATTAAATACTCCAACACCAATTGATCCTATCACCACCACTATTGCTTAACCATACGCAACATCACACTCTCAGTCCACCACAACCAAAATCAGCTCCAAAACTCCAAAACCCAACGTTTTATTCCAATTTCCAATCCTCACCATAATTAGCAGAATTTGGTCACGTGAAAATGTGGCCCGTAACACCAAAAATCCACTATACAAACCTTCAATAAAACAATCTTCAATAAAACCACCATAATCAATGATATCCACCTATTTCAACACTCCAAATAACATAAATCCATCTTCTACAAATAATTGGCTTCAAAAATACATGTATTTTGGCCTCAAAATACCTATATTATAAACCTAGTAGTACTACTACTACCGCCAGTGATCCAACCAACCAAGCAACAACAACAACAACAACAACAATACTCCTAATAAACACCGCCCACTCCCCCCAAATAGAATACAATATTAATATTAATCATATTAAGTGGCTCATTAATGATTAACTGAATCCTTAGTTTCCAGTTAAAAGTTTGTGTAAAAGGACGAATTCTTATCGAAAAATCGTACTCTTTTTCCTGAAATTTTCAAAAAAGTTTCGCGATAAGCGTGGCCGTGCCAGTGTAATTTATGTGTACAATCGTTTGAATTTTAGGTCATAAAACAACGTTGAACAACAATTAGAAGCTATAAATAGTACCAAAATGACCTCAGGAGGGCTTAGAGAGCACATAGGAAGGCCGAAATTCAGCCATTTTTCAAAAGCGGCCAAAATGACATTAAAATGGTAATCGTGAGAAGATTGATATAATGTTATGTTGGATGAAGTTTTGGGCCCTTTCTTACTGAAATCCAGGGACTCATCATGATGGATTGGAAAGTGATCAGTGATCAGTCCCTTTCTGCCCTCTTTCATACGCCTTAATTCCTAATGTAGTTATAATTATCGTTACAAACTTATAATATTTGTAACTTTTCAAGCTGCGTTTTCGAGATTCCTTCCATAATATAGTTCCTCATCGATCTTTGTGAATACTTAATATTGAACACTACATTTTCTGGAAGCATTCTCAAGTACTGGAAATATATTATTGAAGTTCACGAGCCAGCTAGTGTACAATATCCAGCTGTGATGGCTCACAACAAGGTCCATAAGGATCAAACCAGGTATACAGTAATTCAAACTGAAACGATTTGAAGAATATGAATAATAAACACAACAATCAAACAAGCTGGAATAGAGCACGCACTCCTTTATTAGTTTGAATTAAATTAACCATAGGTGCAACCTATTTAAGTCTTTTTCTAAAACCTTTCTCTTTTGAAAACAGCTAAAACAGATGATGGGAACTCACCAGCCTATTCATAAATTTGATTTTTAATAAAGTTAGTTAAATCAATTCTTCAGAACCTTCTGAAATTTTGGCTTTGAATTCTTTTAATTTACTAGCTTCTTTTGGTAACACCCTTTGGTCTTTTTTAGCATAGTTGGCAGTCCAATCGATATAATGAACAATCTTTTTGAAATCTTCACCTAAACCTCTTGTAGTCATAGCTGAACCACCAATTCTAGCACAATTTCGGACCAAGCTGGTAGATTTATCATCACACACCTCGAAAAGGTATTTTGACTAAAAAAACCATTTCAAACGCATTTCTGTCATTATTTATATACTTTTCTATACAAAAAAATGGAGATAAATGCAAAATTTCAATCTCATCACCTCTATCCCGAAACAGTAAATTCCGGCCATATCCTCGGTTTTCCCATAGCTTAAAATTTTTTTTATTTTTATTTTTGTTTTTAAAGAAAACGTATAGGCATTTCCACCAAAAAGAAGCACAATTTTAAAGCTTTGTCTCTCACAGTTACCCCCTAAGCCCAACCCAGGTTAGTCAGAAGCGTTTCTCAAAGAACTGAATCAACAGCCCTCCAAATAGCGTACAACTATCTCAATCAATTACTACTACAAAATACTTTAGATCTACTACTACAATTTTATCATTTGTCATTTATTTAAACAATATCTTTTTCCAGGAATTATCAATTACAATGTGCTCTTTTTTGATATAAAGGGCATAATAAGTAAGCGGAAAGATAATATAAATAGAGACAACCTGACACAAATATTGAATTTGGGGTTTTCTTAGAGATTCAATTTTTTGTCATATATTTTAAAGAGGGTTTTAACTGCAGGAGAATATTTAAAGATAAAGCTACAAGTGTATCGTTTCAACAACGATAATCACAAATACCAAGAAGAGAAAAACAATTCAGAAAGAGCATACAAAACAAGTGAGTTTAATCTTTTACCCCTAACTGTTTTTATACATGTTGGGTTTTTTTTTCCAAAGAAGTTTGAAATGTTGACAATTCAATCTAGCTTTAAAAATCAAAAATGGCGAAAAGTCCAAAGAAGAATACAGCTTATATAAATACAAAAGGTGCTAAGGCACCAGGGAAGACAATTCTTCCCAGAAACAAATTTCAACAACAACAAAGAAGGTTTAGTTTGATTGATTCAGACTCATCGTCTGCGTTAAGTGAGTTTGAAAGTGAAGATGAGGAAGAACCAGCAAATCACAACAATAATAAAGACAACAACAACCATCAATTTCATGGTAACAAATTCCATGCTATAGAATCAGAAAGTGATGATGACGATGGTGATAATGATAATGATAATGATAGTGAATCCACTAATGATGAAATTTGGAAAAATCATTCTAAAAAAGTTGTAAATACTTCAAGCACATCAAGTGAAGGTGAAAATAATGATGAGGAGGAAGAAGAGGAAGATTCGGATGATTCAAGTTCTTCTGATGATGAAGATGTTGATTTTGTTAAATTGACAGCTGAAAGAAAAGCAAGATCATTAGAGCAATTTAGAAGTAATAGTCCTTTTAAGGCATCATCTCCCACAAAGGAAGCTAAACAAGAGGATGATGTTGATTTCTCATTTAATTTCAACAATGATGATCATAGGTTAAGAATAGCTAATGGTAATGAAGAGGAAGAAGATGTCGGTGAAGAATTAAGTGGGTTAGTCTCACCTATGAATAGTGGACATTCTCAATTGGCAGCTATCCCTGGTGGTGATGCATTACCTTATCCAACTATTGAAGATTCTTCAGAATCTGATGATGATATAGATAAGGATGAATTATTACGTACTTTGGAACAAGATAGTGACGGAGTTGATGGTGGGTTTGGCACTGGTGATGATGAATACAACTTGTTAAGAGAAGAAGCTGATAATATCCTAAATGAATATGATGGAAACGAATTAATGTTAAGTTCAAATAACGCCACTCCTAGAAATTCTGTTGTTGAAGATATGATCAATAAACACAAAGCTGAAGTTAATCATCAAGAAGTTTTACAATTTGTTTCAGATGATGAATATGCCGATGATGATGATGATTATGATGATGACGATGACTATAATGAAGATTTCATTGTCCCATTTTTTGATGATTCTGTTTTCAAGGAACAATTATATACAAATGGGAATGTTGCAAACAATAAACAAAAAGAATTAGATAGTGATGATGATTCTTATCTTTGGGATTATTTCTTCAGTTCCGGTGAAGAAAATGATGAAGAACAAGAAGATAACAGTAACAATCACTTTAGTGACGATGAAGCAACTGATGAAGATACAACATTACCACCGCCATCATCAAGAAAAAAAATTGGTGCAAAAGCTCAAGAATTATTATCATCGTCTTCAGTCACAGCCAGACCTCCAGCTTTAGGTACATGGTCTACTGATTCCAAACCATTTGGTATTATTGATGGTCTTTCCACAAGATCTTTATTACCAGGTCAAAATAGATCTGGAAACAATGCATCGGTTTCAAATCAACAACATCATAATAATCAACAATTACAACATAACAAGAATGCACCAAGTACACCAATATCTTCAACAACCAACAACATTGAAGAATTAACTCTTGATGAGTTATTAAACATGAGTGAATTGGAAGATGATAACGATGAAGAACAATTGAATCATCAAGATTGGTTAGAAGTCACTGGATCTAATAGAAAAGTTCCATTATCTGCTTTTAGAAATAAAGGTGTTGTGAATGATAATTCTCATTTAAATGCTACCCGTCGGTTTTCATCATCAAATCCAGGAAGTGGTGGTAAAAAATTAAATAAAAAATTGGGTAGAAAAATTAATGAGATTACAATGACCCCTGTTAGAACTGTTAATAAGTCATCTAAACAAAAAAGAAGAAATTCTAAATTGAGAAGACGTCAAAGTATGGCTGAAGCTGCAGTTGAAGGGTTAAGAGTTACTAAAAGTGGGCTATTTAGTGAAGATACTTTAACTAATGTTGAAGAATTTTTAAGTGGATTAGGGAGTGAAGCTGAACTTAGTGTTCTTTTTCGTGAAATTCAATAATTGCTAAGAAAGAAAAGTTTTTATATATATGAAAAAGACATTTATTATATTTTTTTTGCTGTCAAATTTTGGACATAATGATTAAATTTTTTATTGGCATGGGGAACTTACATTACGGGTGAATTATATTTTTTTACAAACCTTTTTTTTTTTCAATAGTGTTCTTATTTTTTTGGTTTTGAGGGTGGCTATTGATTATAAATTGACACTTTTACTTTTTGGTTTTGCACAATTTTGATTTTTCATTTTTTATCTTGCAAGCTTGATTTATGGTATTATTTTTTTGTGATCTTGATTCATTTTATCTACTAGATTTATCTTTCGTTTCTGACTATACAATATAGCACAAAATTTAAAAAAAGGAAATTACATTTCAACAGCTTGTAGGATATCCCAAAATAAACTAAATGTACATTTTTCTTGTCACCATTCTATAAATTAGATTAAAGTTGTTAATTTAGCAGATAATTCCAATTGGGTCTTGACAGAACTTGCTAAATATTCAACCATTAAAGTATCTTGTATATGTGAATTGAATTGTTTTTCTAATTGTTCTAAGTTGATTGAATTTAAGTTAGATTTCAAATTTGTTAATAAGAATTTACCAAAGACTTCATCACCTTTGATTTCCTTTTTTTCAACTTGATCAATATATTTAAGCGTACTTCCAATTATTAAATCTATTTTATTCAAATGTTCAGTCAATAATTTCAAATCAACTGATGTACTGTTTAATTCAATTGATTGAGAATCTTCTTCATTGAAAACAGCATTTGAAGCATATGACAAGACTGAATTTTCAGCAACATCAAAGGCAATTTTGTTACTGATTGGGGTGAATAAGTATGAACTTGATTTGTCTAATTTCAAATTAGCAGCAGTGGCACCAACAGCACCGACTGGTGATGCAATATAGGTATTTATAGTTGGGATTGAAGATAATTCACCTTCATTTAGGTTATCTTTTGATAAAGTTAAATGAATAGCTGGATGTGGGAAAGTACCATCAGCACTTCTTGAATAGAAATCATGGACTAAAGCAGTGAATGAATCAACAGTTGGATTAGATGAAAACCAACCCAAGATTGAATCTTTTGGATTAGCTCTCTTGTGTAATTGATATAATGATCTGTGTTGATATTCTTCAATGGTGACTTCATCACCTTCTTCATGGTGTGGCACTATATAGGCATCTTTGATTTCAATTTCTGAACCATCATCTGAACGAGTACCTAATAAAGTACCAATGACTCTGCTATCAGCTTCTGCACGTAAAGCGAATTCTAATAGTTGGAATAATGCTGGAGCTTGAAGTGTGACATTGATTGGAGCTGTGGACAAGGAGCCAAACGCGTTGGTGAGGTTTGGTCTCACGATGTGTAGACTTTGTGACATTTTGCTGATAATTGCACTAGAAAGGATCTCTGCAATGATATAATCTCTTTTAAGTGTCTTTATTCGACTTTTCGTTGATTTGAGTTGACTTTTTTTTTTCATTCAGAAATTTTTTTTGTTAGGAGGATTTTGACTTCCCAAAGTGGAAATAAAAGTGGATTTTGGTAAGGATTGGACTGAAGATTAACATAAAGTCGAGTTTTAACACGAAAAAACATGGAAAACATAGAGACTTTTGCCATCAACAGCATTTAACTAATATACAAACCAGATTAATCCAATTCCCACCAAATAAACACTATTTCAATCATTAGTCATTGCCTAATGTCGTTTCCATCTCGGATTTTGCCCTGTTAAATCCGCGAGCACTTTACGTTGCGAATTCGACGGCCATGAATTAATAAAACAAAATTGCAAAAACCCTTTTGAAAACGTTCCAACGTGAAATCGAGCAATAGAATAGCATGCTTTTCACTGGACCAATGATCCAAAGGAGGTTGGCCTCTACTGCTGCTGCAACAAGATCTTCTCCTTCAAAACTACTCAGATTCTCATTATATACAGGTGGAATCTTATCGGGTGGCTATCTATTTGATAAATATGCTTATGAATCTACAGGTGCAAGAACTTTGAAATCTTTCTATGTTTTGATTAGAATAGGTATTGATTACAAGTTCTTCTTCAATGAAAGAAACGATATTGCTGCTCTACATGAACGAAACGCTGATAGATTGTTCAACTTGCTTAATGACAACAAAGGTCTTTATATCAAATTAGGTCAAAACATTGCAAATCAAGCCACTGTTTTCCCCAAGGCATTCCAGGATAAGTTTGCCAAACTATATGATTCTGCTGCTCAAGATCCGTGGAATAAAGTTGATGGTATTTTGAAAGCTGAGTTGGGTAATAACTATCAAGATCATTTCAATTATATCGAACAAACTCCGATAGCTAGTGCAAGTATTGCCCAGGTTCATAAGGCTGAATTGAAAACTGGTGAGAAAGTGGCTTTGAAAGTGCAGCATTATTATATCTCAAAGCAGATTGAAGCAGATTTGTTGACTTATAGATTATTCACTAGAATTTATGAATATTTTTTTGAGATCCCTGTTTCATTCACATCCCATTATATTTCTGAGCATTTGAAAGAAGAAGTTGATTTCAGAAAGGAATTGGAAAATGGTGATAGAGTTACTAAATTGATTGCAGATGATGATTATCTATATAATAAAATCCATGTTCCAAAGAATTATCATGATTTATCAACAAAAAGGGTATTGACTGCTGAATGGTGTGATGGTGTTCCATTAATTTTCTACGATAAATTGAAAGAAGAATATAATACAAAGAAGATCATGAAGTATTATCTTGAACTTTTCTCCAAAATGATCTTTCAATGGGGGTTTGTCCATGCTGATCCACATCCAGGAAATTTACTTGTGAGATACAACAAGACATCAAAGATACAAGAATTGGTGTTATTAGATCATGGGCTATATGTTGAATTCCCAGATACACTAAGACATGAATATTGTGCCCTTTGGAAGAGTTTGTTTGAATTGAATGATAAAGAATTAAAGAAGATAGCAATTAGTTGGGGTATTGGATCTGATCAATCTGATATGTTTGCAAGTTTTTCATTGCTAAAACCATATCACAAGACAACAGAGAATTTATCCAAGATGACAAACTTTGAAAGACAAGAGTTCATGAAGGAGAATTTCAAAAATTTCTTCAAAGAAACTGAGAAATTCCCATTAGAGTTAATTTTCCTTGGTAGATCGATGAGAATGATCCAATTATTAAATCAAAAATATAGAGCTCCTGTAAACAGAATCAATCTCTTCACAAAAGAAGCTGTTAAAGGGTATTATTTGAATGAACCAAATGTTAAAAATCCGGGAATCTGGCATAGACTAGAAAGAACTCTAAGATATTCAATCTTTGTTTTAATATTAACTATATCTGACATCACTTTCTATACATCAAAAGCTGGTCAATATCTCTTTGGTACCAAAAATGTTGAGGATGTGCTACAGGAACAGATGTTGAAACAGATGAAAGAAATGGGAATAGAGAATCCACAAGACATAGATTTGTTCAGTGGGTAAATGAAGATGTTATTCTTGTATAAAGTGTGAATAAAGTGTACATAGATTTGAACTGGTGTGTAAGATGTTGTGGGACTTTCAAAGATGTGATTTGATCGCATGGGATAGGAAACAAGAGAAGATTTAGTGACATGTTATCCTCTCACCATATCAATCTAGTTTAGGTTCTTTTGTGTTTGGCACTAATACAACTCATATTCAATTACAACACTGTCATAAGAAATCGGGTCAGTATTAGCAGAAAATTCAAGTCAACTTGTTTATATTCTGTTTAAACAAAATGTCTATATATTGGGCCCATTGCTACCATGTTTGACTTTCATTTTCCTCGTCTCTTTCTTGACTTCAAATTAATTCACTCACAAAATGTCCAGTAAACTCATTACTCAAACAAAAGCTAGATTTGCAAGCTTCTTTCAAAGTTCAAATGAAGACTTTGATAACTTGATGAAAAACTATACCCTCACTTACTTGGCTGATGATGATGACTCTAAGAAATATGATGTTATTGGTAACTCACCTACAGCCGCTCACTACATTGGTGATGTTTCCAAAAAGGCTGTATTTGACGATCATTACAATAAAGTTCATCCTCCAGTTAAAGTTGAATATAGATCAAAAGAATCTGTTTATCATTTCATCAAGTTAATCATCCATCCTAAATACCAAGGTAAACGTCCAGATAAAAGTAGTGCTGTCTACATTGTTAAAAAACCTGATGTTCCATTAGAACAAATTTTAGGATTCTTGATGTTTGCCCGTTTAAAAGAAAACAAAACTGTTCATTATGGAAACATTGAAGATGCTGAATCATTACCTCAAGTCTATCCAGAGTTTATCTTTGAAAATTGTACAAAGTTTGATGCTAAAGATATTGTTCCATATTTGTACACTGTTCATTTTGACAAAATTTCAAAAATTGTTCCAAAAGAGAAAAGTTTAACAGTTGCTAGAGTTCCACAACGTTATCATCAGTCACAAGAGATTAGAGCAATGAAAAGGTTTGCAAGATTCTCGGGGGCTTGTCTCCTTTTCGTATTGAAAGATCCTAAAGTTAAGTTTGGCAGATTTTTTTCCACTAGACAATGTATTGAACAATATGGTTATTATGTTAATCGCGTTGCTTGGAGGATTACACAAAAGTATGCTCATCCAAGACTTGAAGAACCATTTGATCAATTTGCAAATATGTATGGTAAGCCAAAGAGAAACTATGTTGATTCAAGATTTCCAAAGGTCAACTCTGCAGCCTTGCCAGAGGTTGCTGGTATTTAGTCGTTGTATATTTTTTTAACTTATTAATGTATGTATTATAATAACTTATCAAAGTAGATTACCATCTGAAGCTCACCATATTGAAATTAAAGAGCTCACACAAGTCCAAGTGTATATTCTTTTTCATAGTAGATCTGAATTTTTCTGTTTGGCATGGGCCTGTCAACTAATCAGTGTCAATAATCTTGGATAAAAAATTCTGCCAAGTTTGAAAAGTTGAACAGAAACTAAAACCCAACTCCAAGCAGAAAACTTCACAATTAGTATATAACTATTCAAAATTGTGCTCTCCATCATGTTCCTCTTGAAATCTGTCAAGCCAATTTGACACTGAAAAAGAATCCCGGTTTACTGGACAATCCAAAATGCCAAACTTCAAAACCCCTACTAAAATGCAATCCAGTTCATTCTACATTGTACACACAAAGCCAAATACTGAATTAGTTGGATCATTCTCTGAGTATCCTTCTCAAGCGAAAACAAGAAACTCAGAAAACGAGGACAATTCTTTGAACTTGCCAATCAAAAGTAAAACTCATGGTTTCCAATTATCAAAAGCCCTAAAGTATAACCACTCAACATTTGTCATTCAATCTCAAGATGTTAAGAAGAAACTTTTCAAGAATAACTTGTTAAGCTATGGGATACCTAAAACTGAAAAAACTAAAGAGAAGCTTGTCAACTTGCATTTTCCATTTTCCATCAATATAATAAAATTACCAACTGTCACTGATGAGCAGATTTTCAATTATATCTTGACCAATAACATAACTGAAAAGAAATATATCCAATACTCATCCTTCAAGAATGATAAATTCCCCTTATTCATCTTTGATAACAGATCAGAATTACCTAATGTTGAAGTTGTTGGTAACATGATTAAAGCTGATGTAACTAGTATTTCCAAAATCAATGGGAAGCCACACAAGAATAAAGTGTATCTCAGAGTACTCAACAAGATGAAATACAAGACAGTATCAAACTCTAAGAATGCCTGTGATCAAACTTTCTTAATTTCTTCAGATCGTTCATTGATTTGTTCCAAAGTTGGAATCACAAATGCCATCTCTTTATTCATCCGTGATTTCCACAAGGGTGAAGTTTCAAGCAAGGATTATGATTATTCAACTAGTGTTGTCCCTTCAGTGGAAGAAATCAAACCAAACCCACCATCTTATGAAGATGCTCTTGAACAATGTGAACCTCCAAGATATCGTGAAAACAACTAGTCTTCCCACCCCAACTCACTAAAAAAAATACATATTTATATATAACAATTCTATATCTTTTAATTAAACTATTTAAAACGTTTATTCCCTCGAGGATTCCCCTTGTAAATTCAACATTTCTAAACCGCGCTTTGTCCCGATTAGGCAATCAACGATGAGCTTCTTCCGTATCCGGGCAACACTTTCAAATTTTTTTTTTTATACCATAGAGAAAAAAGACATACACTTGATCTGAATTAACAAAGTTTTAGGAAGATTGAAATAAATAGTTTTGAAACTGGTAAAATGAGTCTCAAGACACAATATGCCAATCAGGAGCTCACACCTTTCTATGTTGGTGGTGCTCTAGCCACACTTTCAGCTGATGGTTCAATCTTGGTCACTGCAGTTTTAGAAGATGTTGTAATTACAAATTTAATAACTAATGAGATTCAAGAAAGGATAGAAGGTGATGGAGAATTAATCACTTCTTTAACTTTAACACCAGATGGGAAATACTTGGGGATAATCTCACAGTCTCAACAATTGAGAATTTATAATTTACATCAATCTATATTCATCAAGAGTTTAAAATTATCTTCACCAGTTTTCGTTAGTTGTTGTGATGAGACTTCTACATTATTTGCCCTTGGTGGTTCTGATGGTGTTGTTCAAGTCTTGGATATTGAGAATGGATTCATTACACATTCTTTTAAAGGTCATGGGACCATTATATCTGCTTTGAAGTTCCATGGGGAATTAAATTCTAAAAAATGGGTATTGAGTTCAGGTGATACTACAGGTGTTGTCAAGATATGGGATTTAGTTAAACGTAAGAATATTGTTACTTTGAATGAACATAATAATGCAGTTCGTGGGTTAGATTTCAACAGTGATGGTGAATATTTCTTGAGTGGTGGTCGTGATGATGTTTTATTATTATGGGATACAAAATATTGGAAATTAAGAAAAACAATACCGACAAGGCAACAAGTCGAATCTTGTGGGTTTTTAAATGATGATTTAGTTTATAGTTCAGGGGGTGATGCAGTTTTCAAAGTTTGGGATTTGAAAACAACTGAATTATTTACACAAACTAAACAACCAATTGAAGAATTGTTAATTTCTGGAGTTTTGAAAACTGATAATGAATTACTATATTTGGTTTTATCAGATCAAACATTATTTGAAATAGACACTACATTGATTGAAAAAGATGAAACAATTCAAATCAATAAAATCATTGCAGGTAATCATGGTACTATTGCAGATATGAGATTTGTTGGACCAAATTTAAATTTAATTGCCCTAGCTACAAATTCTCCAGGTTTAAGAATCATTGATGCAATTAGCACACCATTAGAAGTTGAGATTTATGAAGGTCATTCAGATTTATTGAATGCCATTGATGTTTCAATAGATGGTAAATGGATAGTTACAGGGAGTAAAGATAATGAAGCAAGATTATGGAAATTTAATGAAGATTTAGAAAAATTTGAAAACTATGCCGTTTTCAAAGGTCATGTTGGTTCAGTTAGTGTTGTTGCATTAAGTAGAACTGAAACTAATCCAAAATTCTTAATTACAGGTTCAAGTGATTTAACTATAAAGAAATGGAAGATTCCATCATCTAAAAATTGGGATGGTGAAGTTCATATTGTTAAGGCATCTGAATATACTAGACGTGCACATGAGAAAGATATCAATGCTTTAGACATTGCCCCAAATGATGAATATTTCGCTACTGCAAGTTATGACAAGACTGGTAAAGTTTGGGATTTAGATAGTGGTGAAACTGTTGGTATATTAAAAGGTCATAAGCGTGGGTTATGGGATATTAAATTTAATGTTCATGATAAAGTATTAGCTACAGGATCCGGTGATAAAACTTTAAAGATATGGTCATTATTAGATTTCCAATGTTTGAAAACATTTGAAGGACATACTAATTCTGTCCAAAGAGTTGAATTCATGAATGATGGGAAACAATTAATTAGTAGTGGTGCTGATGGGTTAATTAAAATTTGGGAAAATTCATCAGGTGAATGTTTGAAAACCTTAGATAATCATGCTAATAGAATCTGGGCATTAATTGTTAAAAACAATGGTGATGAATTTGTTAGTGCAGATGCAGATGGTGTTTTCAATTTTTGGGTTGATAATAGTGAAGAATTATATGCACAAGAAGCTGAAGCTAATAAATTAAAAGTTGAACAGGAACAATCTTTACAAAATTTCATCAATGATAAGAAATGGGGTGATGCATTTTTATTAGCATTAGCATTAGATCATCCAATGAGATTATATAATGTTTTAAAATCATCAATTGGATCAAACCCAAACCCAAAGGAGTTCATTTTGGGTGAAGAATTAGATCAAGTTATAAATACTTTAAATGATGATCAAATTTTGTTATTGTTTAAAAGAATTAGAACATGGAATGTTAATGCTAAATTTTTCCAAGTTTGTCAAAAATTGATTAAAGTGTTGTTGAGCAAGTTTAGTGTTGAGAAGTTGATTGAAATACCAGGATTGATAAAGATTGTTGAAAGTATTATTCCATATAATGAAAGACATTATCAAAGAATTGATGGATTGGTGGAACAAAGTTTTATATTGGATTATTCAATTGGAGAGATGGATAAGTTGATATAGTTGCATATAGATTTCAAAAAATTGCATAAGTGAATAAGAAATTGTAGAACAGTTTGATTTGAACTAATTATTGACACTTCAATAAAATTAATTTGAATCAAACTTTCCAGAAACTAGAGAACATAGAGAATCAAAGGTTGAAAAAACACAAGAATAATCAAACAACAACAAGGCTGAAATGATAATCATTGTCTTCTCTCCCTTTGACTACATCGATGGAGATAAAACAAATTACGAAATGAATCATAAGTGGCTCTGTATTTCTTTGAGCACGATAATGATTCATTAAAGTTTCATAAAAAAAACTTTCTTTTCAAAACTATATAATTCATTGTTCTTCTTCAATAGTGCCTTTTTCACTAACATAAATACCATCCAAAAACTTTCTAATATCTTTATTTCTAACTCTGCAAATTTGTTGAATATCAGCAGCATTTTGAGAAACATTTTCGACAGAATTACCCATCAAAACGATTTCATCCTTTTGATTAGCAGAAAACTCAACAGTAACACCTTCATGAACTTTAACTTGTCTTATTTGTTTATCACCAAGGAAATTTCTAATTTCAATAAATTTATCACCATTTTGTTCAATAACATTAACATTAATTGGGAAATGCGCATAGACATATCTCAATTTATATTTGTAACCTTTAGTAACACCAGTAATCATGTTAGCAATCAAAGATTTGACTGTTCTTAAAGCGGCAACATGTTTTCTATCACCATTATGAACAGTTAGTTTGATTTGTTGGTTTGATAATTTTGTAAATGTTATATCAATATGACGCAAGTTTTTAGACAAAGAACCTCTTGGACCAGAGACTGTGACTAATCTTGATTTGATTTGAACTTTAACGTCTTGTGGGATATCTAGGATTTGGTCTGTTTTAATGTATTTCATTTTGTATTGTTTGTATTTGTTGTATTATTTGTTGAAGTTGAAGTTGAAAGAAGAAGTGAAAAATTTTTCATCAAACTTTTTTTTTTCAAACAAATTTCAGCTTCGAGAAAAAACAAAATGAATTCGCGAAAAGAAAAATAGAATCACGTGACTGATTTGACTAGTACAAATCATGAAATTGAACTGAATTAATAGATTTATAGAGGGAAATAGTAGGTCTACAATTGTATGAGCTTGGAAATGGATTGACATGTTATTTCACCACGGCCAGATTGGAATCAACCAACAGGACATGGACCCTATATCAATTTGTAGGAAGCTATAGCTCAAGACTGTTATTGGACATGAACTCAATCAGTCACTAATCAACACAAGAGTATAGAAGAAGCCACAAATCACCAATGGCTGAAAGCTATCATGAAAGAGCTAGCTGGCCTTCATCAAAAAAGGTCTCATGAAGACAACCAAACAGTTTAAAATTATTACCCGAAGGGAACAATGATATTATGCTCACAAATTATCAATAATGAACTTTTCACCATACTAAGAACAAAGAAAACAATGTCCAAAGCAAGTGATAGTCAAAATTCTTTTGTTCACAAAACTAACTTGTGGCTAGTACAAATCAAGTTATGGCTATATTAAGGAAGGTTTTCTCCTGATTCAGGTTTCATTCCATGTTTTCTCTAGTTAATTTTTTTTTTTTCAATGGTGTTTTTTTAAATAGTTTCACCTAAAAACTTAGTGTTGTTGTTATCAAATTAATACTAAAGTAAAGATGATAATTATCCTGGAAACAAGGTAATGATGATTTGGTTACTCAACAGATTACAATTCAGAGAATCAGATATTCAGAGATATTCAGAGATATTCAGAGATATTCAGATGAATAAATATAAGGAAACCAAAATTAAGAGTCAAGAGACCTTTGGCTAAAGATACCAGATTAGGCTAAATATACCAGATCAGTGAAAAGATCATTGGCATGTGATAGTATTGTAACCATGAGATCATCTTCTTCCACTATATAGGAATACAAGTTTCAGCAGTTCATAGAACTGAATGTAATACCTATTGGGATTATGGTACAACCAGTTTGGTGTAGTTAACGTTATTAATCACCTTTGCAACCTTGTAAATAATCAGATTGAGGAACAGTATTCACCGGTCAATTGTGACATTTGGATTGAGTGAAAAGAATAGTACAAGGCTGATCCAAATACCACTCGGTAGAATATCTAGATATTGAGTTGTACTTACGTATAACAATTAAACAAATGATTTGGAAAATAGATATTGAAACCTCTATACATTGACTGAATTAATCACATATCAGTGTAAATATATATAGCTCCAATATTTAGGAACTGATCACTATATCATCGGGTCCGTCATTATCAAACTACAGACCACAGATTGATAAGAGTCAGCTATCCAGCAGGTGATAGAGCCTACTGGCTATGGCACCCAACCCTATCTTGGCCTCAAATAGCCGGCAAAACTAGGTGACAAAAGAATTGAGTACTAATCAATATAATAACTTCAAATATTTTCAGCAAGACATCCAAAAAGTTACTATCCAAATGCTGAGGTAAACTTATACAGCACAGACTTGTTTGCAGTTTGAATCCCTCATATTAAAATACTAATCATCACCTCTTTCAAAAACAAATCTCAAAACCACATTAATGATATCAATATGCCTATGACTCCAACGTTAACGTGGCTCACACTCGCGTTTTCCGTTCTCTATCTTTTTACATTTAGTTCTTTAAGAGAAAGAGATGTTTGTTGTAATATTCAATTCGCGCCTGAATTAGATGGTTACCCTCTATTATCAAAAGCTATTAAGAATTACTACTACGGTGAAATGACAATCTTCTTCATTATAATATATATTAAAATATCAATCTTTGAATTCATATCATTATCGTTATGATATACTGAATTACCATTACTCACTGATTTGTTATACCTATTACGCGTGAACTACAAACCTTTCAACAATTCGCGAACAATCAACAGATATCAAACGTTATAAAGAAATGATGATTGTTCAGATACATGATTTACTCGAGGATACTGTGTCATTATAAGTCTGAATCATGGAGCTCTACATAACAAACTAGTTGGATTGTAAACATTTGATTAAAGTGTCAACTTCAAAACTCTCATTGGACACGATCTTGGAAATCAGTCACAAATAAAATAGTTCAAAGCCACTTAATATTCAGGATGATGATGGTTGATATATCAAAAGATCAATTGTTCATGATTTGTTTTGAATTATATATTAATTCATCATTTGAATATGAGCTACTTAAGACTAATGGCAGAATTCAACTTAGAGGTCTTGAAAAGAAGAACTTAAGAATTTTTCTTTTCAACTCCGAACATTGTTCCATTTATAACTTTGATAAAACTATAAACGTTCAGAAACATGAGGAAACAACATCTATCGATGCAACCACGAGATTCTTGTACTTTTCACCGACATGAGATTTAAAAGGATGAAAGTTTTTTTTTTTCAACAATTGATTCAGCAGAATGTCGCGAAATACAACGTCTCATAAAGTGATTGCGCTTTAATGTAGTGTAAAAATGGTAGATTACTACGTGTTGTAATTGTAGATTATAGATCCAGTATCTGAAAATAATTGAATATATTTAAACTCTAGTAGAATGACTCGACAATCATCATCAATCTTGTATAACCCCCAAAGGATTAATACAAAAACTAATTCAGATCAGTCAAAGATACATCCCACAGTAAATATATCATTGCAATCATTATAGATTATGATTCATGGCACTCTGTAACAACTGCAATCTGTGAAATATGTGATAAAAATCAACCACAAATGAAATAAATGCTTCAATCACAGATAGTTGATGGATCTGTAAAATAGCGAATCTCACCTTACTCAACCAGTAGTAGCTCTCTGTAAGACACGGAGGCAACGACCCACATCACCTTCAATCAAGATGAAGATGATGATCATCCTCCTGAATGCTAGATGCTTGTGAGAAATGCTCAATAACATCATGAATCACATCCATAACAATTTGTTCAGTATCCTCTTTAGATGGCAAGCAAACCTGAGGGAAGAAAAATACATCACATTCAGAGGTTTGGAATTTAAAAGCTTCCCATATGCTCCGTTTGAGATTCAAGAATAGCGTCACGACCAACAAGTGCTTTAGCTTATGGACTCATCATTCATGAAATTAAATCAACATTTACGAAGTGCAATAAGCTAAATGAATGTTGTGTGTTAGACAGAATTCTTTTGACAATAGTTGTCGAGTAATATGACGTACGATCAAACAAATGCTAGAAAGCTGCTTTGAAATGATACACTTAAAAGAGTTAAAGCATCAAATTAAAAGGAGAAAAAAACATTCCTTGAAGAAATTCGCGAAATGATGAAGAGAGTGATTATTGGTGGGTTTGTAGAGGGTTAGCCTGGAATAAGTAGTGATATCAAAGACTCTAGTGTTGTTTTAGTGTTCTTGAAAATGCCAATCAATTATATACTACATGATCTTTAGAAATTATAAAATGAATATGTTTTATTCTGGATTCTATGAACATTATAGTCATGATAAACTGAATAACTCACAAGCCATGTAAAACCCATGTAATCTCATCATAACCTCAATCTCTATTACTGGATGATCATTTGAATCCAATCAATCACAAATAAATAGGATGAAATTAAAGATATAATTAACTAGTCCGTATTAAGTGGAACATAAACACAGACAATCAAGGAGCTATTAAATTTCTGAACCAGACAGTATAACTATCCTCTGAGGCAAACGTATTTCACCAGTGCGTCCATATCACTTAAGAACAAAACTGATTAACCGGCTTCAGAGAGCAAATTACATGCCATACTGGTGATAAAATCGTTCATGTCACGAACTTGAAAAGTTTTGCGTTGACTGTTAATGAGAATCCAAAACCAACCTTTTTTTTTATTTTTTTTGAGTTTCAAGTTTCAACCTGCAATCTGATCTATTAGATGCCAATAGAAACCTTTTCAAATTTGAAATCATATACAAAATACTTAAAATATCAATAGCAGATGAGATGAGCTTCTTTCTAAGGAACTGAACTGCAGTAGAATAGAAGTTGGATGATAACTGAATTTTTTCAAACATCAGTAGGGAACCAAAAGACCTGGTTTGGGACATCACTACAACTCAACAATGACTATCATCGATTTATCAAAACTCTATACGATGGCAGATATAGTCATGGGTTTAATAAAAGCTTCTCGAAAACCAGTATCACTTGTTCAATGTGCTAAGGATCAGATATTGTATACCAACTACAATGTTAAAATTCAAAAACAGTATAGTATTAAGACAGACTAATTGGATTCCCACCTTGAATGGTAAAAAAGCACAAACTTAATCTTCTTTAATATTGATATTGCTCAGATCCATAATACTATCGGGTTAACATTTGATTTAATTTAATCAACCACAGATGAGTATAGGACTGGAATCATAACAGTGGAAACAAGGCCAGGCTAGTAGCAAAGGGGTACATGCAAAACTCTCATAGGAAAGAATTACAACGAAACATACACTCCAGTAATTCGATACGAATCTTTCAAGGTTAGTTCTTATCTGTTGCATACAGTCATGAACCAGATTGAGATTGAAAGAAATTAAAACATCATGATATAATAATTAATTAGCCATGAGATAGGGACGGGGTAACGTCTTAAGTATACAAGAACTGGTATGGGACACTACTACCATACACTTTTGGAAAGTTTATAGATTTAAAGCATTGGAAAGGTGTGTAATATAGTGTGGTTAAAAAAATCATGGGAATCAATAGAAATTGTATTCATTTCTTCATTAACCATCTAGCAACGGATTACAAATTAGAGAAGCGATAATGAAGAATCCATTCGCGAATAGCCTTGAAGAAAATATAAATGGGCCGAGTAATTAACCCAATTGTTAATTCAACGGCTAAAGATATCTATGGATTATCACAAGGCTTCGAGCCATATGTCATCAACATATCTTTCAACTTAGTGCCTTGTGTCACGTTCACAATATGATTAAACTTCAATTCTTGACTATGGATTATTAATATCAGATGGTCTAGAGAGCTGTTTATCCAGTATCTTAGCACTGTTTGATCATTTTCATTGGTCAATTATTGATAGTTATAAGGAGGTGTTCAAACCTAGTTCATTGTTGCTGAAGTGTTAAGTTATGTACCTAATAATATAAGCAACATGAATGGTGTTCAGAAACCTTCAGTTAATTTTCTTTCAAAGAATTCTTTTTCATTTGTTCTTGTTATACGTAGAAGTTGTCGAACCAAGCTAGTATATTCTTATCAATTAAAAGAAGTTTCTACAAATTAATGGCCCTGTAAGATGGAAAATGACAAATACATTTAATCTTCTATAAAATGACTTATTCATCCAGTAATCAATCTCATACATCCTCTTAAAAGGGAACAAGATGATCAATTATTCAAAATAAGATACATTTGAAGATTGTACTGTAAATACGTTGAAACACGTCGATTCACGTAGAAAATTAGCTTGTCTTAGTGTTAGTAATTTGTGAAATCATCAATTGAAATCAACACAGTCTGTAGGATGAAGATTCCTGGACTGTGTTTAATATAATGCAACTCACGTATCAGCTCAAGTATGAAAGTGTTCCAGCATTGAATCTTTTTTCTAGCCAACCCATAAATTAAATCTCCTAAAAGTTTGCCCAAAATAAAAGAGTAGTTACGAAACACTTAAATAGGCTAGTGCATACTCTTTCATTTACTCAAGTGTCAGGGCCCTCTCGAGAGATGAAATTTTTCTCTACTTCCAATTCAAGCCGCGAATTCGTATTCAAGCGGCCTGTTGAAGGTCTTTCGACTAGTGTCAGTAGATTAGAGTACTGGTTGTTCATGAGAGAAGGCCTCTATATGACTTGACAGTTAGAAATTCGGAGACATGATTAATTCCAAGCTACAAACGTAATGTAGTTAATTGGATAATATAAATAAACCATCATCAGATACTTGGAAACCTTTTTGCAAAGTCTCACAAAGTAGAAATTGACAATATATATTGATTTTAAAAGCTGTATTGGTCACATTCATCACTGGAAATACCGGGATAATCCACTATGCATTGGCATTCTACCATCCTAGGTTGTCATTTGCTGATGGATTGAAATTGAAGATGTCACAAATGGGGAGTTCTTCACAACCCATTTTCATCCGGATTCGGCAACATCAGTATATTTGAATGCTTTCAACTAACTAAGGATCACGTCTGGTGACTAAGTGGGATTTGCTAACGAACCCGACGATATACATTTAAAAGGCTGCCATTTGGATTAAATAATTCCAATAATTTGTTTATGATTCATTTTAAATTTTGAACCTTTTTTAATTTTTTCCAACAGAAATGTACCAAACGAAAAATTCTCAAATACCGCGAATGCGTTTTGCAGTCACCAATCTTCTCAACAAAGGTCCGTGGTTAATGTCAGATAGTTGTATTATCAGTACCTGGATACATTATCATGAGGAATACAATTGTTGGCTAAGATTTAGTATAACGAACTACAACTTGATATGGAAAAATTATGTATATAAATAAACACTCATAACCTGGAAACTCTTTTACAAAGCTTCACAAAGTAAAAAATGCTATCTATAGGGTGTAATGATTTCTTTATTAATATGCCCTAAAAAGGCTTTAAACCAATCAAAGAGAGCCAATATTAATGAAGAACTGGAGTTTCGACTTAACAAGTCCACACAGAACCATGGATAACTGAAGTGTTTTTTGAACATTTAGTGGAAGATCTCAACCAAATATAGAGAATTTAGTGATAAAACTCATATACAAGAAACGGGTACGTAAATACTCAACTTGAAAAGGTTAATGGGTACATTTATAAAAATATATAGGGATTGTAAAGGACATGGGCAATATTGCAAAGTATTTATAATCGAATTATGGAGATCGACGAGAATTTTAGTTGAGAACATCAGAACATTAATGCTCATGTCAAGAGAGTCAATTTAGAGCAGCAATGTAATTATCAATGTTGATTTAAAGGCATAAGTACTGAATTGAAGATATTGCAATGTATCGTGAGTTTTCATAATTTTTGGATACTAGACGTTATACTTCAAAAGCCATTCGATGTTCTTTGAGTACAGTGGCATTTGAATATTCAAGTTCAATTTTCACTAAAGATAAAACGAGTTGAGTACAATAAGGATAGTTGAGTCGCTCAAGACTATAATTCAATACCTAAATATGCTCAAATGACTCTACTTAAACTACTCTATAAGCTACTGTATTAGAAATTGCTCAGCCGTTCATGTTCAGGGTCCAAGGACAAACACCATCAATTACGGTACTAATCAGCTCAGGTACTTATAACCAAGAACAACAATCAAAAGCACCAAAATGTTCTCTAGATAGTACCCAATATCCTTGGTACAGAGACCTTGACATTGAATTATTTAGTACCTTTGTGTAAGGATGTGTAACTGTAGGTTTGTATATGTACCCCAGATCATTAGATCGTACATTTGATTACAGGTTGATGAGATGAACAATTATCCACAGGCTACAGCAAGCACAGGATAAACATTAAAAGTGATTTTAAGGAATGAGGCGTTATAAGCGCTAATGTGCATGAGCTGTAACAAAGGAGTGGGTATTGTGTTCACCTCTGTTGTGATATCTGTTGTGATATCTGTTGTATATATCGCCATGAGTCCAGCCAGAATTCAAAAGCGTAACAACTACAATCATCTTGATGTATCAAAACTTCACCTGTCATATTATTTTCTATTTTTCTAATTTTAATCAACAATCAACGACAAGATGTATAATAAAAGGGATTTGAGATAAATCTCAGAAATGAACAAATTTCTAACACAATAATAATATTCTTCTTTTTTTTTCTTTAAAATGCAGCAAATTTAAAAAACACATCAAGTGTTTCCTAACTATAAACCAAATGTTGCCTTTGGTTTATGATCCTCTTCTTTATCATCTTTTTTATCACTAGATTCATTAGTTTGAACAGTTTCATTTAAAACAACAGGAACATCAACAGCACCTGCATTCCACTCCTTCAATTCCAATTGATGTTCTCTTTCAATAGCATATTTAACAGCCTCCAAGACATTTTCACAAGTATGTTTTGGTTTATATTTTGGAGTTGTCCCCTCTTGATAAACACCAGTTTTAACCAAAATTGAATGCCATGAAGTATCATGAGAATTAGCAAATCTAATATCAGATTCTGGAGTATCACCAACGAAATAAACAGTAGAAGCAGGTGGTAAATCAAGAGTCAATTGAGATAATTTTTGAACAGTTAATGGTTCATCATCATCATCTTCTGAATCACTCTCTTCATCTTCTGAATCGAAAACAGCAGCATTAGCATCCTCTTCAGTGGCTGGTTCAACTTTTTCCAAATGTTCATCTAAAACATCCTTTCTCCATTGACCTAAAACTTTGTTGGCATAACGGAAAGTACCACGTTGAGGTTTACCAAATCTTGTAACCTTCAATTCTTTACCAGTATGTTCTTGATATAAAGCAGCAATGGAAACTTGCAAGGCACCCATACCATATCTTGATAATTTATAATCAGTAGCCCAGACAAAATCAGAATGAGCAAAATAAATTGGTGGACCTTCATCAAAAGTTTTAGAAATTGTCCCCATTGTACCTTTTTTAGACATCAACAATTCCAAAATGATTTGTTGATCAGCAGCCCAATTTCTTGAATCGGCAAACACCATGATTGCATCAATTGGTGTTTTACTAAAATCACAATCTTTTGTTATAGCCAAATCTTCTTCAGTCAATTTATAATAAGGAGACACTGAAGGATTCCACTTCATAACATCTAATGGGATATAAACATTTTCAAACCCATAACCTTCAGCAACTTTTCTACAAGTGTCACCAACCCCACCAACAACAAGGACATTTTTATAAACATCAACTAAATCCTTCATTGGGGTATGACCTTGAATCACTTGATCTTCGGTAACTTCAACACCCAATCTCGTAGATAAATCCTTACATCTAGCAGCTTCAGAACGACCACCACCATTTGTGATAAAGATATATGGCACTTTAATGTTGTATTTATTTTCACCATTCAACATCTTCAAGGCATCTCTAGCTTCAGGTATAGTTTCAGGACCACGAACAATAACACCATCGATATCAAAGGCAAAAGCATAAGAAGCGACACGTTGATGATCAATGACAGTCTTCTTGTGTCTGATTGCTGAAGAGCCACGTCTTGATCTGTTTAAACTTGTGTTTGATCTATGAGAAGATAATTGAGTCAAATCCTTGTGTGAATTTTTAGCAGAGGATAGCTTGGACAAGCCAGTACCAGACCATTGATCAGATAGGGAAAGAGACGAGACTCTTTTCGTTCTGGCCATTGGTTTTAGTTGATCTATCCCATCGTTATTAAGGAAAGATGTTGATTTGTGGATATTTGCCTTTGGAGAATCAGACATGTTTTTTTGCAATTTGGTCTCTAAAATTTCTTCTCTGAAACGAAAAAGGGATTCGTTGATGGTTTATATACTGGGAAAAACATTGCTGCTGACGTAATCCACAGGCTAAACTTACGTCATTGCTTATGTCAGCACACATGTTTTTAGAAATTCATCGAAATTTTAAGATTTAGATCATTACGTCATTTGGATTATGGGCTGAGAATTTGACAAGAAGTGATGATACAGATGAATTGATGTGATATAGATAATTGATATGATATTGATTGATTATATTGATATATTGATTACATCAAAACACAAATGGAACCAAAAAAGCCCTCTTTGTTCCATACTTCTCCTGCTTCTTGATGCTCCAGAAATACATCTGGGTAGCTCCAACCAATAAAAACACCAACGTAAACACATTAGGATTCAACAAAAACACAATGATCCATCCATAAATCTCCATAGTGTAATTAGGACTGATAAACAATTCAAATAACCCTCCACTTGGCACTTCTCTAGCTTTACCTTTTCTAACTGTCTTATCTCCCAATAATCTCAATTGAATATGTGAAATTGCATTGAAGAATTCACATCCACACCAGATATAAAACAAGTAATCTTTATTCAAATTTAATGAGATTGGTAAATTACCAAACCCTCCCAAGTACATTAATGATAATGAACCACCTAAAACCCAATAATGTCCACTATTCTTAAACAAGTTAAACAATGGCATAGTAGAATTACTAAATCTATGAACAAAGACATTTTCAACTTCTCTTTTACCATAATGAATCAAATTCATATAGTAAATCAATTCATAATCCTTAGGTTTAGATGCCAATTGATAAACAAGGAAATGAATCAAGATTGGACCTAAATATTCAATCAAATAAACAGTTCTCCATCCGATTTGAGGACCTAAATCTTTAACATAAACTTCTGATTCATTCAAAATTGAATCGTCATTAATTGGTTTCTTGTCTAGATTGGTGATTCTTAATCTATTACTATTTAACCTTGAATGTTTTGATAATTGAGAGACAAAATCTTTATAAGAAGAAGTGCTGAATTCACCAGACTTGATATTCTTACTTCTACTGGTCACTTTAATCGAAGTCATTTTGCAATTGATTCAAATCCAAAAAGCAAATCCAAATCCAAATCCAAATTTTTTCCACCTTTTTCAAATTTTGAACATTTTTTTTTCGCGATAACTCTCTTCGGGTTTACCCGGTGATGATGTTTTCCATGAAAATTCGCGAAATTGAAAAAAAACCGAAAACACCAAAATTAAAATTAAAACAACTGCAAAAACATTACGAAAATAAAGCATTTTAAGTAACCAAAAGATTGTTCACTCACAATGAAACTAGTCCGCTTCTTGATGAAACTCAATAATGAAACAGTCCAAATCGAATTGAAAAACCAAACAATAATCCAAGGTACCATAATATCTGTATCTCCAAATATGAATATCATCTTAAAGAAAATTAAAATGGTTATTAAAAACAGAGATCCTCAACTATTAGACTATATAAACATCAGAGGGAATATGATTAGGGATGTCATATTACCAGATTCTTTAAATTTGGATTTATTGTTAACTGAGAGTAATTTAACCACATCATCTTCTTCAAGTAAAAAGAGAAAAGTTGAGGATTCAAATAGAGGTGGTGTTAAAAGAGTTAAAAGAGGGCTATAGAGTCACCATTTGGGCTATGTTTATGTGCTGTTTATGAAATTGTATATTAGTGTATGATATGAAATAGAGAAAAAAGTGTAGTACTACAAATGGTTATCATTACTTGATTTATTCATCACTTTCATCATCATCGTCATCACTTTCACTCCCACTCCCACTCTCACCTTCATCCTTCATATAAGGCAAATTCAATCCAATAAACATATCATCATTAATCAATCTATCAACTATCTCATCAACATGGCTCAACTTGAACCCACCATTCTCAAACACTCTAACTTTCCTATAATCATTCAACTCTTTTTGTAATCTCTTTCTATCTTTATAAACCAGCCTTATATAAACCAATCCAAGCATTTTCAAATATTTAAATCTCTCTTGTTCAACATAAAATTCCACAATTGATCGATCAGGCATCAATTGAATCAATTTCACTAATAAGCACATGAAGGGGAATGGTCTCCCCCCAGTTTCTTGGTTCCCTACACATCCAATCTCAATGGCTCTATCCATTAAACTGGCTGCATTCACATTAAAACAATACTGTTTCCAATATAATGAATCAAATACTCGTTCCCTAATGATTTTCTCGATTAACAATGTGGAATTGACTCCGTTGTGGTGTTTCCTCGAGAGTTCTCTGTCGATGGTGATTGCTCTGGACATGGTGAAGCGAATAAACTGAAACTAATTAATTTAATTAAAACTATTAAAACTATTTAATTCATTTAATTCAAATCTTTTATGCCCTAAATTCGTTTTGCGATGAGTTTACCCGGCGAAAAAAAATTATAAAAAGGCTCCCTATGAAAATTTTTTTCCTAATTCAATTCAAACTTCTTTTCATCTCATCAAACTATAGATCTTTCAATTCAATCTAAATCATGTTAAAACCGTATGTTACCAATCAGAATACCACCATTTCTCATTCATATCCATCCATTTTTTACCTCCTGATGATAACGTTGTCTCACTTCTTTCCCAGTCCGATTTCGACTATGACGAATTGGGATACTAACTTGTCAGTTTAATATTCAAAACACTTTATGTGTTGTTTAAACAGACTTATACTTGCCAGTATTGACACCTCTGATCTTTTGGAATGAATGAAATGGTGTGTTTTTTATGCTTTAAAGTCATTTGAAACTAACATCTTCGAAAAGAATAGTGATTGGTTTGAGATCTAGTTTTATAATTCTCTGAATTTTTTTCATGTTATTTCAAGATGATGAAACTATCCATAACATTCGCAGTTTCCACGGTAGCATACGTACAAGAACCCATCTTAGTATGCCAGTGACCGTTAATGTACTTCCTTGGATGTCTGATTGAAATACAAAATTTTGAGAGAATTTTTTAGATTTAAAAAATACATGAATTATTTGATTACATTTATTGTAGATTATAAAACTCCAAATGGTTTTGGTATCCAATTTGAATGTGGTTCAAATATCTTTATTGGTAAATTTGTGGATTTGTTTAATTTAACTCTTTTCTTTAAATTTTCTAAATCTTGAAAAATGTCCAAATCATCATCTTCTTTTCTTTTACTTGGTGTAATATTGTTCTTTTCTTTTAAATTTGATTGAATTGTATTGATTTTCAAATTAATCTTGTCCACTTCAACATTCTTTAATTTTAATCTTTCCAACATTTCAATACTAAATGATTGATTTGTCTTACTTAAAACTTCAACCATTTTACCAATTATATTATCCTCGTTATTATTGATCTTTTCCAAAATCCATAAACACCATGATTTAACTTGTTGAATCTCTTTCCCATTGTAAACTTCTTCTTCATCAACACTAACCAACTTATTTTCATCTTCATAAACTTTAAACATCAATTTATCCAAAATTTTCAAAACAAAAGACTCTTGACTTTTTATCAAATATAAAAATAAAGGTTCATAAAGTAATCTAACTTGTTCCCATTTATACTTTTCATTAATAATACATTTTTTAAACATCAACACTTTATAAAATTCATTCTTTAAAACACCACTCTCTAAAACCTTGACAACTTTCCAATACTCTTTCCCTTCCTCACTAGAATCACCAAACTTGATAAACTTATTAATATCAACCCTTCTTATTCTTCTATACTTCCTCAACACATCTTTCCAATCCTCATCATCAACGTCCTCCTCCTCTTCCTCCTCTTCCTCTTCACTCTTTATCTTCTCCCAATAATTCACCTTCAACCAATCCAAAGCACCCAACACACCAATCTCCAACATCTCCAAACTGGGCAACCCTTCATGAGTACCAGCGTGTCTCAATTCAACAAACCAACTAGGCAATCCAATCTTCTTTGCCAACAAATTCAACGGGATTGCAAATTGGGATTGTTGAGAAGGATCCAACAATCCATTGACAAACCTAATCAAGGTCATCGTGGCACTTAGTTGTAATACTGTGGAGGCTGTGGGGTTGGATTGAAATTCATGATGTATTTGAAATAGATATGCTGTTGATAGTAAAGTGTGTGGTAATTTGGTCTTGGTTTCAAGTGTTAGGATTCGCTGGATTGCTCGAGTTTGGGTGGATAAAGTGGATTCTGGGGCGAATAGTTGGGTTTTCAGAAAGTGGATGTCTTTTTGAGATCTGAAAGGGACTTGTCTGGGGTGTTTATTCATGGTTTTTTTTGGTGTGATTATGGATCAATTGTTTATGGTTCATGGTTGAAATTTTTTTTTTTCAACATTTTTTTTTGGAGATTTGACACATTCGAAAAAGTATCAAAATTTCTACAATTTGTTGATTAAAAATCTCATCTATTTCTACTCTACTGGTTTTAATTCACCATTATGCAATAATTCCACTTCTGTATGCTTTTGGAAAATCTCCAATTCATTAACCATTTTGCCCCTTATTCTCAATTCATTCAATTCATCACTAACTTTAATAGCTTCATTCTCCAATATCTTCAAAATATTTTCTTGTATAGATAAAATCAATTCATTATCCATAGTTATCCTAATCAAAGAATCTTTCAATCCTTCAATTTCCACTCTTTCAGGGATTTTTTTGAGGATTTGTGCATCAAATAAAACCCCAGTATATTCAATCAATACTTTTATAAAATTTGGTTTTGTTATACCATATTCAAGGAAAATCTCCCATAATTCTGGATTCTTTTGTTCAGTGGCAAACTCAATAGCTTGTTTTGGATCATCCATCTTGTTTATTATCAAATACATTGCCTCTTTGGCTCTACCAACTTTCCCTAACAAATAAACCAATTCTTGATTAAAATTTTCCCTTTGCATAATCTCCATAACTTTATCAATGTTGTAATGTTGTTTCTTTTTCAAATATGTTAAGAGTTGAGATCTATCAAATTGTGAATATAATTCAACCATTTCAGTTTCATATGATTCCACTGCAAATGGATCAATTTTGGAAACATTTTGTAAATATAAAAAAGTTATAATGTTTAAACCATTTGAATTCATTAATGGAACAATTTGTGATGGTAACACTTCATGTCTATTCTCAACCAAAATCTCAATAATATGTGATAGTTTCTCTCCCAAGATAGTGGCTGGTGCATTTTGTAAATCATTTTCACCAATTTGGAAACGGATTATTTCAGGTAAAAAATCAATAAATTTAGCAACTAGATGGTGCTTAGATAATAAATCAATTGTGTTTGGATCTTTTAATTTAATGAAATGGTTCACTGATAATGAAGGTTCATTAGTTTTCAAATATAACTCTGCTAAAGATCTTCTTAAATTTGATAAATTTGGTTCAACTTCTAATTTATTTTCAATTAATGTTTCAATATGTTGATAATCATATAATCGATAATCCCATGAATTTAAAAAATCATATATGATATCATCATCATTTTGTAAAAAACTTTCCAAACATTTATTGTATAATTCTTTTGGTAATCCTTCATCTTCAATTGGTAAAATTGAAGCTAATTTCTCAATTTTCTTACTATGAATGAAAATCCATGACCATTGTTCCCATTTCTCCAATACATAAGACCTAAAAGTTTCATCGTTATCATCATCCCCATCAAATTTCAAAACCTGTTTTAAAAATTTAGAAGCCTGATCCCAATTATCATCATCTAAATAAACCTGAACTTGTCTAATACCAACATTACATCTTTCCTCCTTGGCAATCAAATGTTCACTCATTTCCCAAGCTTCTAAAAACCGTTCACGTTCAACAAACCAATTAAATCTCCCTAAAAGATCAAACTCTTCAGCAATAATACCATCAGTTGCACTTATGATGAAAAATTTCGACCGTTGAGCACCAATGTATTGACCAAGATGGAAATCATTGATTCTTAAATTTTCGTAACCTTTCAAAACAATCGTATCTGTGGAAGTTTCCTCATGAGTTATTGAATTGATAATTCTTAATTCTGGTGGTGAATTTAATTTATCCTCCTCTGATATTGACAAGATCATCAATGAATCATCTTTAAAAGATCCAATACCTGCAATTAATCCATCTATACTATACTCAAATTCCACAACAACTGACGCTTCAGAACTAGGCCTATTAAACGACGACATTGCAGATGATAACCTAAAATTCTCATTCCCTTTATTCTTTTCAGATGGTGTAACCTTTAAACACCAAACATGATTAACCCAACCAATCAACAATCTATCATGTTCTTGATAATTCACCTTGGGCCATATCAACTCAGCAGGTGGTGATTCCTTAGGTCTTTGCAAAGTCTTCAACACAGTTTCATTATGTAAATTGAATATCGTCACACCGTCATCACTCATCCATATCAACACTTCCTCCACTAGTGTCAATCCAACAATAGGTCCACTATCCTGGCCCAAGACCCTTTCTGTCCTATTCCCCAGCCAATTCGTATGGGACAAGATAACCTGACCGCCTTTATTCCCATATATGAACGATTTCGTATCTTTGTATTGACCATTCAACACAACTGAATATATAGGCGTCTTGATATCATATGCCACCGTGCTTGATTGGTTATTGTTCTTGATTTGTGAAATTGATGCAATGACAATCGTACCGTCCATAGAAGCAGCAGCGATGAATGATCCATCTGTATGGATTGATAATATTGGAGATTTTCTTGCCCTTATCGTGCCTATTGTTTTGAGGTTTGGTGTGGTGAGGTATAGAAGCCCAGAGGCTGTTCCAAATGCAAACACATTCTCATGGATAAGACAATTGGATACAAGTTCTTTGTTGAAGAAGGTTTTGGGGAGTTGAGTTAATCTAGAGTATTTCAACATTGGTGGGTCTTCATCCTCTTCATCTTCCTCTTCTGAACTTTCAGATTCTGATGATGCCTCCTCCGATTCCACGTCTTCTTCTTCTTCTTGTTCTTCTTCTTTGTCATTCTCTTCAACACTCCTTATCTCTTGATTGTGATCTTGTTTATCATGGCCATTCTCTTTGGTATCACCGTTGGGTATATCTTGTATATCTTGCTGTTTATGCTCTATGTTGTCTATTTCTTCGCCATTGGTCACGTTCTGATGTCCATTTTCTTTCAGACTCATTGTGAAATATCTTGAATATAATGAATTAGAGCTCTAATTGCTCATTAAACCTTTACAATTGCCCTATAAAAATTCCCTGTCACTTTGATGCTTTTTTTGCCATAGAAAAAAACATCAACACCAACATTTCGCGAAAATGGACTACGTCGAGACATAAACAAAATTTATCTTCATTCTATAAAGTCACAGCTCTTGGGTGAAATATTTGGCTAGTGTCTGGAATGACTTTGATCTTTGGAGAGTTTGCTCTTTGAAGTGCACAAGTCTTTCTTGGAAAGTGTTGAGCCCGTTGTTGGAGCATGTGGGCTTCAATTCATTATTTTCCCTATATGAGATGTGATATTCATCTTCAACGTTTTCATCTTCTTGATATGATTTCCTCCCACTAACAGACCCTTCATTCAATCTACTTTCAAAATCAGCAGATTGGAAAAGCTCAGATAAAGTTTGATTTTTTGAATGTTCCCCCTTATGACTAAAAGTGTTGTATACAGTTTTCAAAGGACTGTTATCAGAGGATGGTATTGTGTTCAATTGATTAGATTCACTGTTTCTTCTTGGCCATTTCCATTTAGGTCCAGAATTATGACGTCTTATTGAAAGGCTTGACCGTCTAATGGAGACACTTGAAAGACGTCTTTTCAATTCACTTCTAAAAGTTGAAGGTTCAATTTGAGGTGGTGAAGGAGTTTCATTATTATCAGCTGGTGTATGGTCTTCATATAATTTATCTCTGACATTGGAGTAATGTCTAGAAACTTGTCTCAATATCTCCTTGGTTCTAGTTTTGATTCTTTTCAAGGTGGAGATTCCAAATTCAAGTTGAATATCTATAAAATGGGTTAGGATTTGAGACTTTTGATAATTGATAGCAATCAACTTACTTTCATATGCATCATATTCAGGTTGGTCTTTAATTGTTAGTTGTTTGATTCAAATCTAATTTCCAATTTTCAACTTACATATTGGCTTTATCTCATTATGTGGATTTGCAACTGGTTGTAAAGTCTCATTATTTGGTATTGGATTAGCATCATCAACATCTTGTTTTGGTTCTTCACCTCTAAAGCTCAAAAGTTAGTATTATCATCTAGAGCCCTATCAAATGGGTTTCCGCTCACAAGATCAAATCACCTTCAGGAGTTGTATGATTGATATAAGTAATATAAGTGTCATAAATTGGGTCATAATCTCCAGATAAAAGATCAGATTGTCTTGCAGTACCATCATTTTCAGATTTCAACATATTTGAATTAGTTCTCTCCACAGAATCTGTTTGATTCACTTCATCGCCAGTATTAATTTGATCACTAAAAATATCAGTTGGAGAATCTTTAATAACATCAATTGGAGATGCTTTTTTGAAATCATCAATTTCTTTATCAAGTTCATCATCACTCAACTTTGGAGTTGATTTTTTACTGGCAAAGAATCTTAAAGGAATTGAAAAGAATGAAGGAACACCTGAACCTGTTTTAGCTTGTTGTTCACCTGGAGAAACACTTAGATTACTTTCAGCGGCTGGAGTTGGTAATTGTTCAATCTTTTTGAAAATGATATTGTTATTGTTGGTCTTGAGTAAAGATGCTGGAGTGGTGGCCATTTCAGGAGAAGCTGGCAATTGTGAAGGCTTGACCTTTGATAAATCATGCTGGGACGAGTTGGCGGTTGTGTTTGCCGTGTTCAGGTAGAACTGGATGATGCTATTGGCAGACATTCTTCCACCAAGTAAACCTCGAATTGAGCACCAGCAATTGAATCCTCTCGTCTTTGTTGACCGTGTTGATTATTGAAATTTTAATGGATTTGATTTGATTTGATTTGATTTGATTTGATTTGATTTGATGTTTTTTTTTCAATGTTTTTGTGTCATATAAACACAAAGCTGCCTACAATGGGAAAACAAAAATCTCTTTATCCATTGCTCATACGAAATCAGGTGCCTCTCTCATTTTCAATGGCTTTTGACGCTTTCTCTCGTTCCAATGCAACGTCTCACTCAATCTTTCAAACCAGCCATTCTTTGTAGCAGAGTTCTTTATACATGGCAATGGGAAACGACTAGCCGTAACAGTGATGAAATCACCTTTATTCAACTCGACCCTATTCTTACCGTCAAATGAACACCATGCCGTGGAGCGAGCATCATATGGAACACCTATTCTCAAGATTATGGATTCTGGAATGATCAATGGTCTGAATGATAATGTATGTGGACAAATTGGTGATATTAAAATCCCTGGAATCTCTGGATGTACAAGAGATCCACCTGCACTTAGAGAATAAGCTGTGGACCCACTTGGTGTGGAAATGATTAATCCATCAGCTTCAGCCGTAGTTACTGCTTCTCTATCACCAAACACTTCTAATGAGGTCATTATGGCGTTGGGACCCCTATCAACAACAACTTCATTGAAAACACAATAAGTTTCTGAAATTTCATGAGTTTTCTTGATTGAGTTTAATGTTCTAATTTCTTGCTTTAAATCATTTGATTCATCTGGATTTATTGATTTCATTATAGTACATTCAAATCTCATTCTAATTGAACATTGATACCCATCTTCAATGATACCAGACAAGATTTTTGCATGATCCTCCACTTTAAACTCTGTTAAAAAACCCAAACTACCTAAACAAAATGGTAATATTGGGGGTATAATAGTTTGAAATAACCAACTTGCATATAATACAGTACCATCACCTCCAAATGTAACAATCAAATCAAATACTTCAGGTCTATAAGCACATTTATCACCATACCAAAAATGTATTCTATCTTCAAAAGTTGGATCTGATTTAATCAATTCTTGATATTGATAATATTCATTAGTTTTCAACTCTTCTTGAATATATATATTTATTTCAGTATTATAATCCAACAAAAATTTTGAAACTGTCTTTGCCCATTCATTAGGTTCTTCATCATAAATCTTTGTCAATATCATTATATTTACAATTTTAGCACGAATATTCACATGATTTAAAGTTCTTTCAATATCTCTAATCCCACCAACTATTTTACCCAATTGTCGTTTAGTCATCAATGCTGAGGATATTCTAGCCAAATCATGTTCAAGACAACTCTTGATCTCGTTTTTATTATCCTGGCCAGTTGTTGATGTCAATTCATGATCATAAGGTTCGAAAACTTTTAAATTATGAAGTTGAGCATTTAATAATGAAGGAATAACAGATTTGGACCCAATAGAGAATCTTTTCCTTGGAACAGGGGTATGCGGCGTTGAACCACCACTTGATCTAGTTTCCAAGATTTTCTCACCAGTCTTGATACTTTTCCCATCTTGATCACCTTCATCGTCATCATTTGCTTCAGTGAATGTAAACCTTTCCAATTCCTTCTTGATCTCATCAGGTGAATCCTTATCAGTAGCAGCAGCGATGGCATTGGCAGGATCACATCCTTTTTCTATCTGGCTCGAGGTGGTGACTGGCAGTGGGTCCTTTGGAGATAATAAGCCGTCTTGTTGGACAGCCTGGTTCTTGTTTTGGGACATGATTGATTCTGTTAAACGATGCTCTGTATATGGTTTACTCCAGACTTGAGCAGTTTAGAGAGTAGCTCTTTGTTTGAGATAATGTACTTGGATGAAATTGTTCTAGCTCTATTCAATTCAGCAAATACCGATCAACTAGCCTTTAAGTCCTTTCCAATGGTTGTAACCTTTATGAAATGTTGGATTAGTTTTGAATTGGTTATATGATCATGGCTCCATTTTAAAAGCAAGCGATTGTCCCGGGCCGTACCAAGAGAGGTGCTCTGCCTAGCTCTCTGCCTAGCCTCTGCCTAGCCTCTGCCTGGGGTCCTTCTGCCTGGCTTCTGCCTAGTCTCCTCTGCCCGTGCCTCAACCACTTTCTCTTTTTACTGACACTTTTCTTCTTGACAGTCACCCAATTTTCGCGAACTGATAAAAAAATCGAATTCGAATTCGAAAAAACAAACGAAGTAGCCACCAAAAACCAAAACACAACATTAAGTTCCAATCAAATCATATTATCCAATTGCTTTTATCTTTCCAATAATCAATCTACTCAATCATCAATTCTAAGAAGCTTTGCAATATTGATTCAACCTCAATCCCCCAAAACCACACAATGAGCGAACCGATAACCCCTGAGGAACAGAATGCTCTGTTACAAGACTCAATCAATGTCATCAAGCAAGAGACTGCTCAAATGAAGAGATCTTTAGAGACCAGAGGCAAACTAATGGATGCCTTGAAACATGCCTCTTTATTCCTAACAGAACTGAGAACTTCCCAATTGACCCCAAAACAATACTATGAATTATACATGATGGTTTTCGATTCATTAAATTTATTGGCAAATTTCCTTAAGGATAACCATCCGCATCATCATTTAGCTGATCTATACGAATTGGTCCAATACGCTGGTAATATTGTCCCAAGATTATATTTGATGATCACTGTGGGTACTGTTTATATGTCTGTTCCTGATGCTCCTGTGAAGGAGATAATGAAGGATATGATTGAAATGTGTCGAGGTGTTCAATATCCAATCAGAGGGTTGTTTTTAAGATATTATTTATCTCAAAGAGCGAAAAGTTTATTGCCTGAGAATCAAGATTCGATACAATTTGTCATTACAAATTTCATAGAGATGAATAAATTATGGGTTAGATTACAACATCAAGGTCCATCAAAAGAAAGATTGAAAAGGGTTAAAGAAAGAGAAGAATTGAAAATCCTAGTGGGTTCAAATTTGGTTAGATTATCTCAATTACAAAATGATAAAGAGGATTATAAAACATCTGTTTTGCCAGCTATTTTGGAACAAATTGTTCAATGTAAAGATGTATTGGCTCAAGAGTATTTATTAGATGTTGTTATTCAAGTCTTTCCTGATGAATTCCATCTATACACATTGGATGAATACTTGAATTGTATTAAAGATTTAAATCCAAATGTTTCCATTAAAAAAGTTTTAATTACATTGATTGATAGATTAACAGATTTTGCCAAACGTGAAGATTTAACAGATTTAGAAAAATTAACAATAAAGGAAACTGAAGAGAAGAATGATAAACAAGAAACATCTGAGGTACCAAAAGAAGAGAAAAAAATAAATCTTTTTGAAACTTTTTGGTATTATGTTAATCAATTGGAACAATCTAGAGAATTATCAATTGAAGAAATCAGTGGATTATTAGAATCTGTTTCAAGATTAACACTTACATATTATCCAACAAATTATGGAAACATTGACTTGATTTTCAAATTTGCCATTGATAAGATTAAAGAATTATCAACATCATCATCACAAGAACTTGAAACAGATCAAAATTTTAAAAGTTTATTATTAGCACCAATAAACAATTATGATAATTTATTAGATATTCTTAAATTAAAGAATTTTGGTGATTTATTAGATTCAGAGCCTATAAAGATTCAAAAAATTGTTAGTTTGGAAATTTTAAACAAAATTTTAAATGCTGGTATTAGATTGAAAAAAATTGAGCATGTTGATGGAAGTTTCAAATTATTAAGAGTCTTGATTGAAAATAAAGAGAAAACTACTGAAGAATCTGTTGAATTTATAACTGAACAAGAAAAATTGGCCAAAATTATTCATTTGATTGGTAATAAAGATACAACCATTCATGCTAAATTATTAGCAAATGCTAAAGGAGCATTAAGTAAAGGAAATATTAAACATACTTATCCTGCATTATTTTTCAATACTTTAAAATTAATTAGAAAGAACAAATTAAAAGAAAATCAAAATAGTTTATTCAAATTCATTTCACGTGTTATCAATGATTTATACAGAATTGGATTGAATGATCAAAGTTTTAAATTATATTTAGCAAGTGCATCAATTGCAGACCAAGTTCAAGCTGAAGAAATTGCTTATGAATTCTTTGCACAAGCTTTCACAATATATGAAGAAGCCATAAGTGATTCAAGATTACAGTTCCAAAGTATTGTCTCCATTGCTGGTGTTTTACAACAATGCAGAAATTTCTCTAGAGAAAACTATGATACTTTAATCACCAAGACTGCACTACATGGTTCAAAACTATTGAAAAAACCTGATCAATGTCGTTCTGTTTATTTATCCTCGCATCTTTGGTGGGGTGTTGAAATACCTGCATTGGGCGAAGAAGAAGGTGTTAGTGAATTTTATAGAGATGGGAAAAGAGTTTTAGAATGTCTTCAAAGATCATTACGTGTTGCTGATGCGTGTATGGATTCCTCCGTGTCCATTGAACTGTTTGTTGAGATCCTGAACAGATGCTTGTATTATTTCATTCACGGGAATGAATCAATCACCATCAAGTATATAAATGGATTGATTGAATTGATTCAAACCAATTTAGAATCATCCGTGACTAATGAAAATGGACAGATCAATGAGAACCCAAAGAAGCATTTTCAAAGAACGTTGGAATATATTGAATCGCAAAAGGAGATTGACGAGAGATTCCAATTGATAACGTGGTAAAATAAATACCCGGATTAGAAATTTTTTTAATTGTAGTTTATACGCGTGTGTCCCCGTTCCCAAATTCTGGGGAATTTTTTCACAAAAGAAAAAAGCGTCGAATTGAAGTTTTTGAATTTGTTTTAATTTTGTCTTTAACGAAAACATCAGACGAGTTTCCAGGAATTGAGCAATTGGCTGCTTATTGGATACGGTTATAAGTTGTTTATTCGGATTCGTCAGAGTGGAATACGTATTGGAAAAGTGTGAAAATGCCTGTGTACACCGTGTCACACGTAAGTTGATGACCTTGCTATATATCCATGGTCAAAGGGGGTCGAGTTTGTAAAAGATCTTGATGAGTTTTCTTTGATTATGAGGTATAAAATTGGATTGCTAGATTATATGAATCACTAACAAGCTGATTTTTATAGGTTCAAAACATTAGGATATGTGTTGTGATGGTTGGTTTACCAGCCAGAGGCAAATCCTTCATTTCTCAGAAAAGTGAGTACGACATATTGGTTCATTCAATACCAAAACTAACTTTAAACAGTTGTCAGATATTCGTCATGGCTTTCAATCAAGGCTAAATCATTTAACGTTGGTAGTTATCGTCGTCAAACTGAGGAACATCCGGATGCTGAATTCTTTGATTCCCATAACGAAGCAGGGATGAAGATTAGACAAGAAGCTGCACTACATGCTGTTAAAGATATGATGACTTGGTTTAATGAAGAGCAAGGTGTTGTTGCCATATTGGATGCTACAAACTCAACAAAGGAGAGAAGAGATTGGATACTGAGACTTTGTAGAGAAAATTCAATTGAACCAATGTTTTTAGAAAGTTGGTGTAATGATGAAAAAATCATTAAAAAAAATGTCCTAGATGTTAAAACTACTTCACCTGATTATGCTGGTCAAGATCCTGATGTTGCTGCTAAAGATTTTATGAAGAGAATTTCAAAATATGAAGATGTTTATGAACCTTTAGATGAGGTTGTTAGTAAAGATTTAACATTTGTTAAATTGATTAATGTTAGTCAACAAGTTATAGTGAATAAGATTGAAACTTACCTTGAGAGTCGAATTGTTTATTATGTTATGAATCTTCATATTAAACCAAGGTGTATTTATCTTTCAAGACATGGTGAATCAATGTATAATCTGGAGGGTAAAATTGGTGGAGATGCAGATTTAAGTGAACGTGGATTTAAATATGCTCAAAAACTACCAGAATTGGTTAAACAATTGGCTGGTGAAGATCATAAGAAATTAACAGTATGGACTTCAACTTTGAAAAGAACTCAACAAACTGCACAACATTTACCATATAATCAATTACAATGGAAGGCCTTGGATGAATTAGATGCTGGTGCATGTGATGGATTAACTTATGAAGAAATTGAACGTCAATTCCCACAAGATTTCAAAGAGCGTGATGAAAATAAATATGAATATCGTTATAGAGGTGGTGAATCTTATAGAGATGTTGTTATAAGATTAGAGCCTATTATTATGGAATTGGAACGTCAAGAAAACATTTTGATTATCACACATCAAGCAGTACTAAGATGTATTTATGCTTATTTCATGAATGTCCCACAAGAGGAGAGTCCATGGATGTCAATCCCATTACATACATTGATCAAATTAGAACCAAGAGCATATACTACACTAGTTGAAAGATTGAAAGCGGATATTCCTGCAGTGAGTACTTATAAGGAAAGAGGTACTAGTCAATTGGGAGAGAGAGAGGATGCTAAAAACAAATCCAAGCATTTAATCACTGGTGAGCCTGTCAAGGTGAAGACACAAGTTGCAGCAGCCAATGCTTCAGTCAACTAAGAAGAAGAAGATACTATACAATACAATACTAAAACCAAAACAAAGCATGATATTTAGCAGTTTCTATATAAAAAAAAGCTATTCAAAATCAACTTTTCTTTTCTTTCTTTTGGCTATCGCTATACCGTTTCTGCCCGTAACGATTTTTCCCTCGAGAACGGCCTTTTCGCGAACTCGAATTATGCCGTCTGATAAAAGATAAAAAACAATTAATACCCATTGCAAATTGGAAATTGTACCAGAATTCCGTTTGGGAGTGACATATAAATAAAGAGGGAGGAGCCATGAAGAGAATATTCAGTTTCAAGAAGAAGGAGCCATCAGAACGGACTCCAGAAATGTCCAGTAACAATAACGAGGAACAACAACAACAAGAAGCTACCCAACCAGAGTCAAATGAACAAATAATCCCAGAATCTACAAGATCTTCCTCTGAGGAGGAAAACGACCCTGTTGAATCGTTATTACCATCCAGTTATAACAGATCCTCCTTATTCTCGAGGGATAGAAACACTTTCAACACATTCTCCACAAACCCAACAAGTACAGGTTCTTTTGCCAGTGGAGGTGGTAATGCTAAACAGCAAAATAGCCTACGTATTGATAATATAGGGAAGCCTTTAAGAGTGCTGAGTGCTGATCGGTATAATGAACTAAGCCGTGTTGGTACGTCGACATCTATCCATTCCACTTCGCCTTCTGCAGTTGGGTCAAGTTCGTTTGGTAGAAGAAGAAGAAGTGATATTGAACAACAGGGAGGTGGTGTCAATGCACAGAGTGTTGGAGGAGGTGGTGGTGGTAGTAGTTCTAATTTAAGTGGACAATATGTTTCTGGTGGTATTGAAGTTGTGGAAAAGGAGTTGAGTTATTTGAATGAGAATTTGTTGGGGTTGATTGATCAGTTGAATCAAAGTGTATTGAATGTTTCAAAAGCTAGTATTTTGTTCATTGAATTTTTGGATGATACTGTGCCACTTAGTAATAGTGTTGCTGGTTCAATAACTATTCAAAGTAATGAACATATAAGAAGTATTATCAAGATTGCATTACAATTTTATGATAATTATTTAAGATTTGAAGTTTATGAAAATTCTAAAAATTTATTAATAAAATCATTAAAAGAATTTTTAACAAGATTGAATTTCAAATTTAGTTATAATGTTAATGAAACAATACCATTCATGAAGAATTTTGCCATTGAATTAGACAATGAATCTGAGGATGAAGAAGGTATGATTGCCCCAAATAAGGAAAAAATCGAACGTATAATCGAATTAATTTCGAATTCAAACTCAACATTAATATCAGATCAACAAGGTTCATTCATTGCACCAATAATGAGAGGTCTAACCCAAAATTCATCAGTCTTGTCAATAATGTTTGGATTCCCAGATCCTCAAACTGAACATTATGATATAATAAATGCATTATTTCAAACGTTTCCAGATGTTCATTTTTTCGTTAAAAAGGATTTCATCAAAACATGTGCAACAAAGACCAAATTTTCACCACCTTTCAAGATCCCTAATAAGAAAAAACCAGAGATTTCAATTTCAATAAGTTCAGAATCTGGTATTAAGACAAGTGGTACACTTGGTGGGTTTATACAACCAATCTTCAAACCAACAACGGATCCTTCATTAATGAAATATAAAGGTTCAAAATTCGCAATAACGTGTGCCCATGTATTGTTGAGTGAAAATCAAGATTATCCTAATGTGAGTGTTCCATCAAGTGTGTTGATAAATGCGTACAAGAGTGCTTTGAGGGATGAACGTGATAAATATGTTAAAAACTCTATTGAGTATGAATCTTATAATGAAGAATTGATCAAGAGTGATGGTTATGAATTGAATTTAGGACAAGTTGTTTGGGGTGAACGAGTATTAATCAAAAATAAAATCAGTGATATTGCAATAGTTAAAGTCAATAATGGTGTTAAATGTGAAAATTTCCTAGGTGAAGGTGTTGATATTTTCAACCCATCATTAAAATTTAAGAATTTATACATAAAGAAAACAATACCAACAAGTGATTTTAATAAACATAATAAAGTTTTCAAAATTGGTGCAAATACTAAATACACCACTGGTGAGATCAATGGGATAAAGATGATTTATTGGCTTGATGGATCTTTACAAACTAGTGAATTTATATTATCATCACCTGAACCAAATTTTGCCAATGGTGGAGATTCTGGAGCATTAATCTTGAATAATTTATCAAATGAAACGGGGTTAGGAGTATTAGGTATGTTGCATTCTTATGATGGAGAGATGAAACAGTTTGGGTTGTTTACACCAGTGGAGGATATCTTGGAGAGATTACATCAAGTTACTGGTATTGAATGGGATTTTATTTATTGAGTTATGTACAGATATATTAAAGGGGTCATTATAAGAATTCTTTTGTTTTTCTTTTGTAGGCATTATTATCTCTCAACCATTGTTTATATTGCTTTATGCTATTGATTTTCTCACCATAATAATCTGGAACAGGATTTGAAAAAGATTGGAAACTTGGATCAACTCTATGTTTATAAATTTTTGATAAGAAGATTTTATTTTTAGCATTGAACAATGGTAATTTTTTAGAATTTTTAGTTTTAAAGATTATTGAACCTAATAATGGACCAAATAAATAACCAACACCTGTTGTTGCTAAAAAACCTGCAAAGAAAATCATAAATGGATCAAACCCAAAGATTAATTGAGTTGGATCAATCTCTATATTTGATATATAACCCCATGAAGCAGTGGATCCGATTAAAGCAGTGATCACAGAGGAACCAATGTTGATATTTCTTTGTTCTTTACGTAATTTGAAGAAATCTGTCCATGATAAATCTTTTGGATTGATTGAAGGTGTAGTTGTTGAGGATTGTTGTAATTGAGATGATGAAGTTTTAAAAGAACGAGTAGTGGAAGAGATGAATGAAGTTGAAGTTCTTGAGATCTGGATTGATCTTTGGATCGTGGATTTTATGCCTAATCTGAGCATTATTTGAATATTAATACTTTTAATTAATTGAAGTTTTAATGGTTTGATTATAACAATTTCGTTCAAGTTTTTGGTGTTTTTTTGAAATGAATTCGCGAATTGCTCGGGTGTGACCCTGTTGATTATGTAATTACTATAGCCATAATTTGAATTAAATGAATTAATTGAATTAATTAGCTAAAATTTGTAATAAAATGAGTCAGATGATGGTTGTTCTAATGTGAAGTGTATTTGGGATAAAATTGTTTCATTAGCTTTATTGGTTTTAGCGTTTCTCGTTTTCCCTTGGTTCTTCTACTGACTGATGTTACCATCTGACGACCAGATAAACGAAACTCTACAACCCTTTTAAACCAAAAAACATTATAAATTAAACCTAATTATAACTGAATATAAACCCAAAATGAACAACTAGACTCTAGCTGTAGATATCTTTTTATTTTTAAATTGAAACTGAAACCAAATGTATCTTCTAAAATTATTCAAAATCAATTTGTATAACTCTATGCTATTGTGTATATGCCTGATATATATTTATCTCTTCTATTCTCTTCTCATCTAATCTTCTAAATCTTCATTTTCTTCAATCAATTCAGGTAATCTTTCAATTGATTCAGTACCATAAACAATTTGATAAATAGCTTCAAATAATGGAAACTCTTTAGTTAAACCTTTATTATCCAACAATTCATGAACTTCTTTAGCAGTAATGACACCTTGAGCAGATTGACCATTTAATAATTCTTTTTCAACTTCTTGAGCAGATTTACCAGTAATGGCCATATGTTTAGCAACTCTAACGTTACGACCACCTGCACAAGTTGTAATTAAATCAGCAACACCAGCAGATTCTTTAGTAAAAGTATCTGAATTAGTTTCACCTGGGAAAAAGATTTCAGCAAATTTAATAGTTTCATTTAAACCAAATCTTTGAATAGCAGCAGCTGCGTTATCACCCCATTGAACACCATGAACAAACCCAACACCAAGGGCAACAACATTTTTCAATGCACCAGCTAAAGAGACACCAACGACATCTTCAATGACACGGACATGGAAATAAGGTCTATGGAAGGCAGCTTTCAAGACTAATCTATCAATATCTTTACCTTGACCTTGGAAATCATTTGGAATAGTATAGGCAACAGTAGTTTCTGACCATTTTTCCTTTGCAACTTCAGGAGCCAAGTTAGCACCAGATAGGGCACCACAATGGACTTTTAAATGTTCAGTGATATAAGTTGATAATAATTCACAACCTTCTGGAGTGACTTCTAAACCTTTCAAACAAGAAATGGCTCTAGTGTGAGGTTTTAAATTGGCACCTTGTAGAGTCTTGATGATTCTTGGTAAGAATTGATGAGGAATGTTAAAGATTAATAAATCAGCACCTTCAGCAGCGTTAACCAAATCTGGATTTGCAACTAAATTTGAAGGTAGTGTGATACCAGGTAGGTATTTAACATTTTCATGGTTTGTATTTATAATTTCAGTTAAATTCTGACCATTAACTTGTTCTTCAAAGACCCACATATCAACTCTTCTTTGGAATAAATGAGGTCTTAGAGCAGCATTTTCAGCAACAACTTTTGCAATTGTTGTACCCCAATTACCAGAACCGATAACTGTGATTTTGTAAGGTTTTTCAGGAGCCAAGGAGGCCTTTCTGTTGGAAGTGAGGTGGTTGCCTAGTTGAGATAATCTTTGGGAAGCGGATGACATTTTGGATACTTTAATAATTGATGATTTGATGGAGTTCATGATTTGATTTTGTTCAATTGGAATTGCAAAGGGTTTTTATAGTTTTTTCCAAATTGAAAAAAAACAAAATTTGTTTTTGTCCCGAAAAGAAACGGTGAGTTCCGGGGGGAAGGAGCTGGGCCTAGGCCGGTGCTCGGGATTGGGGTCCGGAAGAATATTCTATAGGGTAGGCTATTAAAGGGGGACTATTCAGGTCTAGGCCCTTGTCTCCTGTGTTTATCCGAGGGCTAGTCTCTGTGTTTATCCGTGACATCATTGTGCGAAATCTTGTGTCATGGCACCTTTTCACTCAAGCGCAATGACAAAAGAAAAGAGAATGGAAATTACTTTAGTCTAGTTTAGATCTACTAGTTATTAGTTTATTAGTTAAATTATATGTTTATGTTATAGTATTACTAACCCATTACATCACTCCTGCTCGTCCAACGTCTGGAAGTAAAACACCTTGGACTCCCTTGGGAACTCTATCCCCAGCTCCAACAGCTTCTGGAAGTCTTTGGCAAAGTCCTTGAAGAACAGATCCTGGTCTTTGGCATACTTCACAACCCATTCTTTGTACTTTGGATCCTGGATCAAGGCGTAATCAGTAGGCAACATCATCAACCCATCCTTATCCTCATACTGTCTAGGTCCACTCCAGTCCTTGAACTCCCATCTATCTTCAAGTAATAACCTATAAAACTCATTGGTGAAGAAATTAGGAGACGCTGTCCAACGACCAGTGTATCCTGAACCTGGTCCACTGCTCTTCTTTTGTCCTGGTAAAACTGGTGCTAAAACATGACAGGACCCCAGGGCATGAGCTCCAATCAAACTAACAACTTCACGATCATTAAATCCCATACGACCAAACAATCCACGAACATAATCAGCATCCTGAGAAGCATCTGGTAATCTCGAAGTCTGTGCAAAATCTTCACCTTGATCTTTACGCCCATGTCTCCAACCAATCTTTGGACCACCCATCTCTTGAATTGCAACAACTCCTCCCAATGTATACAAATCTCCATAACTAATCCATGGATATTTGGTTTTAAACTCCTCTAAAAACCATCTCCCATTTTGTAACCCATTATTTGCAGGATCGTTAGCCTCTTTATCAATACGTATAGACCCACCATATGAACCACCAGTTTGATGAGGACAACCCTGATATCCCTTCTTAGCAAAAGTACCTGATAAATGCCATGCTAAACGAACCAAGACTGGTCCAAATCCAATATATTCATCATATTCATCATTATCACGGATTTTGGTTGCAATATCATTATAAATTTTCTGATAATCACCTTCATGATCTTTTGAAGCTAATGCAACATTTAATCCTGAACCTGCAATTAAAGCTTTACCATAATTCTTGTGGTTTTGATTATTGTTTGGGAATTTGTAATACTTTTTGGATTGTTGATCTTGGTACAATTGTGATCCTATAATCGTAATGGACCCAGCTCCTAATAACCCATAGATGAGTTTCTTGTTGAATGTGGTTTTAGCTAATTGAATTGTACTCATTATACCTTGATGAATTGATCAACTATTTCAATGTTCTTCCCAAGGATACTCCAATCCCTTTATATCCTCCCAATATTCTCCTCTTTAATAATCATGTCATCTAACCCTTTTGTAATGAATTTGACATCTAGAGCGATGAGATGGGTAAGGCCATCTTTCTCGACCCTGATTGGCCAGAGCCCAGTGCGTTATGTCAGCATCAGGGGCTGGCCCGAGCTATGAATTTGTAAGTGGAGATGAAAGAATTAGTGATTAAATAAAAGGAAATAATAGCCAATTTCATTGATTAATTCATTTAGATACAATTAACTACTGTTTTAATTATGTCTCATCAAGGTTTAAATAGGTAATTAATAAGAGTGTATGGTGATTACATAATCAGTATACAATCATAACTTCATTTATTAATACTCCCCAATCTTTATAGAATTTATAAAATCTAATCTCATTCTATTAAATTCATCATCATTTCCAGCTTTTTGTAATTTATTCAATTCTCCAATTAAAAAATCAACATAATTATTAAAATTTTTGAAAAATTCATTAAATTTTGAATCTTTATAAAAACTTGTATAATTTGTGGAACAACCTCTAATTAATCCAAATATTAACGAAATTAATTCATTTATACCTTTGGAAGTATCATCCCGCAATGTTTCCAAAATCATTAATTCTATTTGCTTCTTAACATATATTGAATCCTTAAATGATGATAATGGGGGTAATAATGGTATATCAATAAATTCAACATCACCATCTTCATCTTCAACTTTCCCTTCAATAGGTGACATTAATGACATGGTTTCAATCTTTCTCTTTCTTGTACTTGTACTTTCTTGAATTTGTAATTTCAATTTGAAAATTGAATTCTTTGATTTAATACCATTATAATTGTATGAATAATTTAATATAGGTAATTCAATAAATTGATTAAATGGAACATCATACTCTTTTTTCAATTTGGATAAATCAATTGTAAAGTTGAATTTAATGTTTTCATAATCACCATCAATCATATCATTTATAAATAATTTCAAATTATCTTGATCAGTTTTTTGCATAACACCATTTGATTCAATTGATTCAAATTTAATAAAATCTGGATTCTCAATCTTCAATTCAATATTAAATTGTGATATAATGATCTTATCCATTTGGGTGAAAATATTTGGAATCTCTTCAATAAATTTGGAAAATTCATTAAATCTATTAAATTGGAACTGATGATGATTCTTAAACCCATTAATCATATTAAAAACATATTCATGTTGTTTTGAATATTTCTCACATATCAAAACCTGATGAATAGAAAATTTATAATCAATCATAATCTTATGAATCAACCCTTCATTCAACACACCTTCATCACCTTCCTGTTCATTACCACTTATCAACATCAACTTCCTAACCCCATAATCATCCTCATCATTATTCAGTTCAGGCACCGTACTAATCAACTTCTCCACTGTTCTCAACCCAATCTTCAACTCTTGTAAATATCCAATCTTACTTTGGAAAACTTGTAATTCTTCAATCAATTCTCCCCATCCTGACCATGATGAATTAACCATCCCAATAAAAGTACCCTTCCCTATCCCAACAACTCTATTACCATCACGTCCAATTATAACTAATCCAAATTTATCCACTGTGGAGCCTAATTCAGATAACGTTGATTTAATGATTCCTTGTAAATTTCTCAAATATTCATCATTTGTTAACCTCGTGGTATTTATTAATGAAATTGTCATAATTATTGCTTTAGGTAAAATTGAAGGTCTTGGTAAAAAATTCTTCATCAATTGAAATGGTAAATCTAATCCTTTACTTGTCAATTCATTAAATCTCACCACTTCTAAAGGTATGCCCATGGTGCCATCATTAATTAAATCCCAGCCATTAGTGGTCATTTGTATTAATGGGATCTCTGAATCTTTATGTAATTTATTATTGAAAAAATCAACCCATTTGGAAATTAAAATCTTGTTGTTTGAACGGATTTGTAATTCTGGTAATGTTGATGAAATGAAATATAGGATAATAGTGGAATCATTAATTTTAATCAATTTGGAGAAATGTTCTTTAATCATAATTGTACCTATAATGGAATCTCCTTCTTCATTTAAAATTAATAAAAAATTCATAAATATGAAAAATTGAACAAATTCCCAATTATATCCATCAAGACTAATCTCCACAAAATCAAAGATACGTAATTTTGATAAATTTGATAAGTTTATACCTTTATTATCAATGATTTTCCTTTGTAAAATTTCAACAATTTTACCATTAATATCTTGTTTTAATTTAAATTCATCATTATTTTTCTTGGAATCTTCACCAAATTTTGATGTGAAAATATTTAAAACTGATCCAATCGTTATATCATCATTCGTATCAAACACTTGAACTTTATTAAATTCAGAAATAATATGAACATTCGGTTTAATTAAATCCTCAATTAAATATTGACTATTATTTGAAATTGATGAATCCATACTTGAAGCTAATGAAAACCTTGATTGTTTGGAACTTTGAAACCCTGCACTGGAACAATTTTGAATGATTTGTTCTTGTGGTGTGAATGGTGTGGAACTATATTGAGGTTTTGGTAATTCCATTATACTATCCTCTTCTTCATCCTCCTCATCCTCTTCAACTAATGTCTTGGAATATAATTCTTCAATGATATCATCATCTATTGGTTTTGTCCTCTTGGAGCAAATGCAACAAACTGGAAAATCATTAATATCTTGTTTATTAATCATCAATGAATAACAATCATAATGTGATTGATGATTACAATCCAATTCTAATATTCTTTCACCAGATAATTTATTAATCAATGGTTCTTCACAAAAACAACAATTATTTTTCAAAAATGACTTGTTATTCTGTTTATTATGCTTTATTTGGAATGTTGGTGATTCATCATCTTCTTCATCTAAATTATATGGATTTGAGGAACCTAAAAATGGGGAATCTAATTGAAACTCACCATGTATCCTTTTAGGTTGTTGAACCGTTGGTGGTGGTGTTAATGGATCAAGATTTAATGGTGGTGGGACATTTGGTCGTCCTTTCATTCTCTTTGGTGTTGTATTTATGAATTTATTCATTTTTTTATTAAGACTAGCTCTTTTCATTGAAAAGCTTCTTCTAAAGCTATTGTTGTTGGAGATATCCATGATGACTGGTTGTTGATCAAGTCAGGGGTATAAGAGATCTTGAAAGGATTTGATTTCTTTATATAAAAATGGCACCACTTGTTTCAACAGATTTTGATTGGGAAAATGACACCTCAAATCTTGGATACGACTCGATTGAGGAGGTCCCAAGATTCAGCTGATTGTGGGTTTTAACTTGTTTTTTTGGTTGTTTGTGAAAATTTTATTCCTCGATGCAGCGTATGCGGTTTTTAAATTAGTTGCAGCATGTAGAAATTTGCATCAATAATTTGCAAAACCAACACGAAAACCAGTTGAAACTGGGTTGAAACGAGAGAATTTACTCTAAGATTATAGAGAATACATTCATTAGTATATGTAAATCTATATCCACTTTAATTGACATTTAAATCACTATTTTCACCTAGTTTTTTCCACTTTTTTTTTAGTCCATTGACCGTTGCCTCAAAAACTTAAAACATCAAAAACGAACTTGAATCAAAAAAATCATTAATCGTAAAAAAATTTGATACGTACGTTATTTTGTGGATAGGCACAATTTAGATCTCGTTTCATGTTGAAACCATGCTCTGACAATGTCCAAATCGGTGCACAATAGAGATCTATCTGATGCTTAGCTTTTAATGTAGATTATCACCCCTTGAAACAACTACGTAACAACTGTTCCAGTCGTCATTCATTCATTCATTCATCCAATTACTGATTTCATATCACCTATGATTTTTTAAAAATGACTTGACAATAGTCAAATTTGAAACTTTCTCCACATGATTTATATGTGTACTAAACTTATTAACAAACATGACAGTTTTAGCATATTCACTTGATCGATCACATTCTAATAATGTGACAGGTGTTATTGCAGCAATTTTGGCCAACTTGGAAATATTGGGATATAACCCTTTCAAATTATATTCAATATCTTCATCATCATTATCTTGAAAATAAAATTTAACAACTTGATTCGGTTTCAACTCTTTAAAAATTTTAGATGTCATGAAAAAACTTTTAAAATGTGTAAGTTCTGCAGAACCATCTTGATTCTCTTTACTTTCTTGACCAGGTCTATGGACACCTAATCCTAATTTTTCTCTAAGTTCCAACATTCTATCATCTTCAAGTTGTCTTTTCCTCTTATTCCCATTAGTATGATAAAACCCATTAGTACTATCAATATTTGCACTTTCAATTTTTTTAGTTGGAATTGAATTGTTTTGTTCATGTTCACCCATCTTGGGTAAATATTCAGAAAGTAAATTTTCTTGATCTTTATTTAATGCTGAATATAAGCTCTTCATTTTATTTAAATCAAACATTTGACTAGCCATCATTAATATAGGATTTGTTTTAACTTCTTCCCAATAGTCTGTTAATTTCTTGACTGTGATAGTTGCAGCTTTGAGAGTTGGTGTATGATCAAGATTTTTAGATAAATTTTCAATTTGTGAAAGTCTAATTATTAAATTTTCAAGAATACCAAAATGAACTGATGAATCAATTAAATGATCCATCAATAAAAGTTCTGAATCTTGTAAAAAATCATAAAGTTGTTTCAAACATGAACCTATTGAATAAAAATTCCTTTGCCTTTGAACTTTTGTTGTCACTGTGTAATATAATATTTCATTCAATTCTTTTAATTCATGATTTTCCTCCCTTAAAGACATTGGTTTATTATCTAACCTCACTGTATAGTCAGAGTCTATACTATTCATATGGACCAATTTTTCTTCTCTCTCAGATTCTTGTTGTTGTTGCTGCTTTTTATTAGCTTTATCTCTATATAATTCATCTTCATCTTCTTCTTCGTCTTCAGATTCTTCTTCATCATCAGCATAATTATCCTCTAGTTCAGGCTTAATGAAAACTTGTTCTTCAATCTCGGTTGAATCTGTATTTGAAGCCTCTGCACTTGAATCATGATCTGTGCCTTTTTTCAATTTCATTTCTTGATGATACACTCCAGTAAATGTATATAATGCATCTTTCAACACATTGATTAAACAACCAAATAGACATTCTTTCTTTAACATTGGTAGTTTACTTGATTGTAATAGTTTTTTCTTGATCTCTTTGGCAAATGATGAATTATCAGATGTAACACCAATAACTGTTTTATTTAGATGTAATTCTTTCAATCTATTGACAATCAAATTGGCTATTGCTTCCTCATTAAACGATTTAACTTTGAAAACACCAATACAACAAGTTCTTCTAGCGTTGTCGTAATATTGGATGTTTAAATTCATTAGTTTTATTCCTGAATATCTCCAAAAACTCATCATCAAGTAAACAAATGGGAAATCTGAATTAGATATAGTGGAGGCAACATGTTGAATATACTTGGATGCTGAAATTTCGGTAAACTTGTTGGCAACATTTGTAGATGGACATTTGAAATTTGGATTATTTCCCTCTATAAAACTTTTGAAATCTGGGTTTGCAAGAAGATCAAAATTTACACCTTGATCTATCAACGAATTTAGTAGTTTGGCATCCAATGCTGGGTCATTACCAGAAGATACTGTGACTGATGAAATCCTTCTCTTCTTTGCCATATTTATACCAAAGATGGTCTGAGAATTGTTGGTTTATTGGTTTGTTGATGCTATTGTTGGAAATTTTCATTTATGTGTTTTTTTTTTTCAATGGAAAATTTGGTGGCTGTCAATTTGAAGCGTGTCAGTTAAACACTTTGGAGCACTTTGGAAAAGTGATGATATTGGTTAATATTTGGTAAGTTTGATTGGCTTATGTGTTAACTGGTGGATAAAGGTGCTGTTCGTTGAAGGATTTGTCTTTTTATGGTGTTTTAGGTGTTTAAATTGGTGACATTGGTTGTCATACCGGAATAATATTAATTTATAATGTGCTATGCAGTTTGAAATCATAATTTAATATTTATTAAAAACGAAAGATGATCAATTAATTATTAATTATTATAATTAATATGCCTGAAAGTACGTTCCAATAACTAATTGATATTGTGTAAATTAATTGTGGGAATTCAAATAGTGATTTTATGTGAATTATATGATTAATTATATATGGCTTTAATAATCGTAATTATTGAATTAATTCACTATGTGATCGACAGATCAAAAAATGTTCTCATGAAATACTTTGAAACCTTACATGATCCCAATAATATTGGAATCACTCAAATATAATTCACTAACCCAATAATTCCCTTACAAAGCTCATCATTCATTTAATCATCTGCCATTTCCCAATGTGCCACTATCTACTCACGTGACCCATTTTTTTTTTCGCCCAAAAAAAAACAATCAAACGACAAAAACTCGATTTCGCCATACAAAATCAAGAGCCAAAGCCAAAGCCAAAAGACAAAGTCATATTCTGTTCAGGGGAGTGCCGTATCCAAGTGAAGAGGACTCTACCAGATCGCTCTTACCCAGTTCCAACCAAATCCAGCTGGGCTCAACTTCCAAAAAAGATCATCCAAAGTGTTCATATGGTTCAGGTACAGCTCAAGATCACATCAACATGGATCCAATAACGCCCATTATCCCTCACGACTCGCTGAAGGATACGCTAGCCATCTTGGTCGTCCTGCTCTCGCTGCCACAGCCTCTGTCGCTGGTCATCTTGTCCCTGTACATTCTGTTTTCATCTTCAAAGGCTTTTGTATCAAGGCTGTTTACAAAATTGTTCAAATCAGCGCCATCACCATCATCATCAGCACAATCTCATCCATCCTCTACAATCCCATCCATTACACCAACTACAGAATCCCCATCCCAATTGTTTTCTCAATACGGTCTCATTGTACTGTTTGATCTGGCTTTTGGCGCCCTATTGAAATCAACAGCTCCAAATATAACCAAAGTTGTTTTCGTTCTATCAAAATCAATCATTGCATCAAGTTTAAGTGGTGGGAACCAAATATCTGAATCTTTTTATGCTTGTCTGTTTGTCATCATATTGGATCACCTTTTCAAGTTGGGGGTCCTATATTTAGATTCTCATTATGGAATAACAATAAGTTTAAACCCTTATTTATTCCCCTATCTTTCAAATGTTAACTTGCAATTCACTTCAGTTTTACGAAATTTGTTTTTAATACTCACAAATAGAAAAGTCTTCACATCATCAAGCAACACTTCATTTTTTTCTCATTTCAATTATACAGAATTCTCAATTAAATTCATAACATATCTCATCAATTATTTCAATTTGCTTTTATCAATTCATGTCATATTAGTTGCGTTTGCATCTAGGTTCAAAAATAACGTCATTTCCAAAACAATTAATCAATTATCAAATGAACTAAACAATACAACAACTTCATCTCAACCCACAAACAATATCATACTAAACAATAAGGATGAACAAAATAAAAGAGTGGAAGTATCATTATCAGAAGACTTAGCTAAAACTCCATTACCAATTGAGGAAGAAGTTAAAAGCGGTGATGACGATGCACCAGCTTCTTACCCTCAAACTAATGTTAATATAGATGATGAGTCAGTTTCATCAGCTACTATTGTTGCTGAAAATTTTGAAATCTTTGTCAATTCTTCATTCACTAAACCTAAAAAATCAATTAAATCAACTCAACCATTATGGTCCCTTTTATCAACTGCAAAAGCCATGAGTTTAAGAAAAGATATTTATAGTGGTGAAGTGGAAATTAATAATGACGATAATTCATTAGTCCTATCAGATTATGTCAACAAGTATGATGAATATAAATTTGTCAATTTTGAAGAAGATTCCAACAATTATTACAACAAAAAAATTTCAATATTTATCAATTATATTGGTGAAACTTTGATTAGTTTCCAATTGAAGAATCATAACCAGGGCTTAATAATCATTAGAGTTAATGGTGTTATTTGGTATCAAGTTTCACGAGGTGAATATAATGGTGAAGAGTATTTTATCGTTGGTGGATTAACTCCTTCATCTCAATATGATATTCAATTCATTATTGAAGATGAAGATCCATGTGGTAATAAGAAAAAATATTTGATTGATGATTTGATTGTTAGTACCACTGATTCAAATGGGTCTGCTAAAAATAATACTTCAAAAGTCTTATCACCATTAATCACATTACAAGAATCATTAATTACAACTAATGATAATCTCGTTAAAGAAAAATTAAAATTGAAAAAAACAAGAAAGGAAATTTCCAAAAAAATTAATTCTTATAAACAAGATATTGAAATTTTAAAGGGGAAAATTAGTAATAGTGATAAGAATGATGAAAAAAATTATAAAAAAGTTATGTCATTAAGAATTTCAGTTAAACAAGTTGAAGAAGATTTCACCAAGATTGAACAAGAAACAAGTGAAATTGAACTTCGAGAAAATGAAATTAATGAAATTTATCTTGTTGAAAAAAGAAAATTTGAAACAAATTCAAGAAATTTCACAAATTTTAAAAATCAATTCAATGATAAACTATCAATTAAAAGACAAACTTTATCAGATTTAAATTCTGATATTGATTTTGCAAATTCTAAAAAAGAGAAATTGATCAATAAATTAACAAAATTACAAAATGATATAATTAACATTGATAAAGAATTGGAAGATATTTTCAAATCAGATTTATCTAAAAGGTTGAATTTAAGAGCTAAAAGAAAAGAAAAAAGAAGTTCATTATTAAATGAGTTTAAAAAGGAGATTGACAAGATTGAAAATGATGCATTGAATTTAACAAAGGAAAATGAAGTTTTAAAAAATGAAGCATTGATGAGACAATGATAATTGAGTAATATGCCTGTTTAAAAAAAATGAGAATATATATTTGTATCTGTACTTTTCATATGCTAATTAGTTGTATGACGTGTCATTAATTCATTAAAATCATTTGATTTGGTTCAACTATTCAATTTCATTACCCACTATATGGAAATTTCTATTAAAATTTAATAAACCTCCAGTTTTAGCTCCCGAATTATAATTTTTAATTTCTTTAATCTCACCAATCCAAATCTCATGATCTTGTATATCAAAATGATTATATTTTTTACAAATAATAACTTTTTCAACATTGTTCTTTAGGATCGGTAATGTAAATCCATCAATTTCTAAATCAACAACACCATCCTTATGTAAAACTTCATAGTCAACATCTTTTTCCAATTCTTTAAAAGGTGCAAAAGGCACATATTCCCCCTTCTCCACATCGAAAACACGTTTCCTACTAAACAATTTAGCCAATGAAGCACTTTCAATTGTAGGTGCCAATATATGAATAGCAAAATATTTATGACTGTGCAAGAATTCAGAAGTTGTTGATGGTTTTTGAAGGTTGAACTGTAATAATGGCTTAGGATTGATTGACAAGGAGGTGACACTTGATAAAGTAACACCTTTGTACAATCTTGTTATATCGATATGGGATTCTTCATTGTGATGAGGTGCTGTCAAGATCATTGTTTGGTTTGCGATGCTGGACATTGTGTCTCTGAACAGCTGGGTCGAGGCCGTTGTGGAATTGGCTCTTATCTGGGCAGCCAATGGGCTCTTGAGCCTTGGGAATATTGTTTGGAACATGGGAATTGAATGGGTTTAGAATAATTTAAAGGTTTTATGGTGAAATGTTTTTGAAGTTGATGATTTTTCAGGTTTTTTTTTCGGACGGACTTTCTGAGTTGAGAAAAATGGGTCAAAAAGATGGAAATTAAAGGGAAATTTGAGAAAGTTTTGATAGTTGAAAAATGAGATATTGTGATTGATTTTATTATGGATAAATTAATTGGATTTGTTTGATATTTGGAATGGATCTTGGTGGCATTTTCTCCAGATTCACCAAATTTAACCACTATTAAAAAAATCTCGAACCCATTGAAAAATCTGAAAATTTTCACCATTTCTGTCACAAAAAAGCTGTGAATCAAAACGAATAAAGATCATGAATAGCCGGTGTCTTGTGCTGAGGCCAGTGAGGAAATGGCAGGGCAGAGTATTCTCAGTGAGGTCAGTGTCACATGCCACTCGTCGAGACTGGAGCAAGTACGAGCCAGAACCACCAAAGAAACGCACTTCTCCATTGTTCACACAATATCACAAATGGGATGGATCCAGAAAAGTTCTGAGTAAAGAAAGCACATCACTAAGGAGATATGATCTAGAGTCTAACGTATTAGCAAGAACATTGGCAAGCCCCATGCGTATGGACAAAGTAACAAGAGATGTATCTTTCCCCAAGGCCCTTATGTTGAAATTCTCTATAGCTAAAGATTCAGATGATGGGCAATTATGGTTGGCTCCAAACATTAGAAACCTTACAATGGGGTCTGCTGGATCATACATCATCAATAACAAGCAGGTGCTGGAGACACATAGCAAGATGAAAAATACATTCATGCCACTCCCCTATTTGACAAGTACCGTTACAATGACAACCGTGGATAAAGTGAAGTGGAATTTTGAAACACACAATGTTGTAAGCAGATTATTTAATGAACTGATGATTGAGCAAATTGATGAGTGTGCTATACCACTGAACTCGGCTAAATATAATTACCTTGCTGCAAGATCAGGTCAAAATGATAGAATTTTTTCACCAGTCTCTATAAATGAACATCACCATTATGCAACCATAATACAAGATGACAAAAGTTTAGAGGAGTTGATGGCATTACAGGATCAACCTGATACAAATACAGAGACAAATTACGATGCTGAAGCTGTTAATTCTCATTCAATGATTGCAGTTGAGAATTCAATACCCTTTGATGTCGAAGAATACTATTCAACCCTTTCAGTACCCACAATCGCAGAAGAATTGGGCGTTATTAGAAGAAAAAGAGAACTTAAATCTTTTGTCTCGTTTGAAAGACCTCCCATAAAGCTTAGGTTGTTTTGTCTTTATACATCAGATAAAATAGAACCACAATATCTTGCTGAGGCTCTTGATTTTTATGATGTTGATTTCCCACCAGAAGATGAAATTAGTATTGATGAAATGACCATCATCACAGATGTTCAATACCAACAAAATGCATACATGTTGGAAAATCCAGATGATGTAACATTGGACATTTTAGCTGTACAATATGAAGAATATCTGTTTAAAGAGATTCATAATGATACTTATCTTGATGAATCCAAGACACATTTCATAACAGCTTATGATTCCACAAAGCTCAATGATAATGATAATGATTTCAACTATTACTCTTCATTAGCTGTCCATGATGAGGTTTTAGATCTTGTGTGTACCCATTCAGCTGATATTGAAGAAGTTAGATCCACACTGGTTCCCTTAGGTTTGGCTTCGAGCTTTACAACGGATACTGATGTCGTGAAGTTGCTACAGAATGAAATTTTGAATGATGTTGTTCTTCCAGATATTGAAGGTTTAGAAGATGCATTGTTGAAAATTAATCGGCATTCAGTGGTGATTAATTGCTCCCCAAATGATGAGAATGTTTATGAAATTAAAAATAATTTATTCCACATCAATCTTGGAAATCTTGAAAATCTTGAAAATCCAGATATCAAACAAGTTATGGATAAGCTTAAACCAAACTTGTTTGAAAACAATATGATGATATTACCTCAAACTACTAAAAGATTACGGAAATTTATTGACAATTTGATTAGGTTTGTCGATTATAATAGATAGATTAATAAATGTACATAGTTTAAAATCTATTTATCTAATTTACGCTTCTTTGTCCATCTCTCATTAATCACTTCATAACCTTCTTGTCTTTCCCTTTTACTTAATGGGATATAATCAGCACTGATTTTCCCCTTACCATCACCTAAATTAACTCTAGTTCTCTTCATCTCTTTATCAAACTCATCAACGTCTAGATTATCATGAAACAATTCATACATATATCTTGCAACTTGTGATTTAATTTGTGTTTGAACCCATGTTGAGTAAGTACTAGTCACGGTCTTTTCCGCCTTGACACAAACTGGAGGTTGTTTCCATTCAATTGGTGGGAACTTACAATCATACAAGATTAAGGGGATATCTGATCCCATATCAAACAATGGTCTAGTTGGTGTCTTGTTGATATCCATCAAGTCTAATACAACTTGAGGTGATTCTAATTCTTGTCCCACAAGAAATAAAATTGCAATCATATTTCTAACTTGATGCCATAAAAACGCTGATCCTTCCAAGTCAAAACACATGAACTCATCATTTATAGGTATTATTTGTGAGCGGATAATTGTTCTTTCATAATTAGTTATCTGTTTTGAACCATCTAATTTACAAAAATTTCTAAAATCATGGGCACCTTCATATAATTGGGCAGCTTGAGACATTAATTCCAAATTTAACCCTCTTTTATGGAAAATATATTTATAATGACGTGAATTACAACTGAATCTTGCATCAAAGTTCTTTGGTGGTCTTAATGAAACTGCATGAATCTTGATATCTGCTGGTAAAATATTGTTCAAGATGTTCAAATAATCAATCTCTTTAGAATCATTGATCGGATCTATTTGCTCCTCTGGTGATAAATTTGATCTAACATTTAATGAAATCACTTGATTCAAGGCACTAACACCTTTATCAGTTCTCCCACACCTACTAAATTTGAATTCATTAGGATTCATTGATGGAACTAGTTTACACTTGTTCATGGCCTCAAGTATCGTACCTTCCACTGTAGGCAACGGCGTAGGTTCCTTCTGTATAGCTAATCCATTGTAATTCCACCCCAAATATGAAAACTTTAGGGCAATGAACCTGGTGTTGTATTTACTGAAATCAAATGGGTTTTGTCTTTTCAATTTCTTAGGTTCTTTTGGCTTGACAACTTGTCTCTCCAACTCCAACACTTTGGCAACTAGTTCCTCTTTAGACCATTGGGAATAATCAACTTTATCAACCATTTTAAAACCAGCAAATCTTTGGAAAAACTTCAAAATGTTCATTTGAATGCTGGTTTTGGGTTCTTTGGTTTTATGTCAGATTTGTCGTGAAAAAAAAAATTTCATACCCAAAAAAAAAAAAAGTTAATTGCAAGAGCTCATCTCATCTCCAAAAGACCAACATAGAAGCAGAATTACAATATAATAATGGCCACCAGATCGCTAAGCTGGGACCAGCTAGAATATGACCTGACACCGTGGATCAAAGACGCCATCAGTTCTTTGGGCTTCGAGACCATGACTCCAGTCCAGGCATCCACCATCCCATTATTCTCCAAAAACAAGGATGTTATAGTGGAGGCTGTTACAGGTTCAGGGAAGACATTGGCCTTTGTGATACCGATAATAGAGAGAATCATGAGACTGGACCCTGTTATGATCCAGAAAAGACATTTCAACGCTGTGATCATCTCTCCAACTAGAGAATTATCATTACAAATAGAGAAGGTTTTCGAATCAGTGCTTAAATTCAATCCAAAAGAAGATGGTATAAGGACTCAAACTTTAGTTGGTGGGGTTAGCAGTATAGATGAAGACCTTAGAAAGTTTCAAAAATGGAATCCACATATCTTGATTGCCACACCTGGTAGATTGGCTGATTTCTTAAATCGTGGGAATATTGTCTCAACGAAGAATTGTGAAGCTTTAGTATTGGATGAAGCTGATAGATTATTAGATTTGGCTTTTGAAAAAGAGATGAATGTCATTTTCAGATCTTTGCCCAAACAAAAGAGAGTTGGGTTATTTTCTGCAACTATTTTGAATGCAAGTGCCAATTTCCATAAAACTGGTATGAGAAATCCAGTCAAGATTGTTGTTAATGCTAAGAATCATAAACCAAAAACTTTACAATTAAATTACACGATAGTGAATCCAGAGGATAAATTGAATCAATTATTCAATTTTTTGGACACTTATCATTTCAGAAAGGCTATAGTGTATTTCCCAACATGTTTGTCAGTTGACTATTTTTATTCTTTATTCAAACAACTCATACATGATAATGATCTTTTATTAACTTTTTACTCATTACATGGTAAATTAAAGACAAGTTCTAGAATTAAAACATTGGAGAAATTTGATTCAAATAACGATTCAAAATCAGTCTTGATGACTACTGATGTTGCAGCTAGAGGTATTGATATTGAGAATGTTGATTTGGTCATTCAATTAGACCCACCAACTGATCCTGATGTGTTTTTACACAGATGTGGTCGTACAGGTCGTGCTAATAATGTTGGTCAAGCTGTTGTCTTCTTAAATGAAGGCCGTGAAGAAGATTATGTTGACTTCTTGAGTGTTAAAAAAATTGAGTTGGATGAATTGGAAATTAAACCGAAAACTGTGATAAAGCAAGAACAAATCAAGAAATGGATTTTGAAAGATCGCTTGAGACATGATAGAGGTGTCAGAGCATATGTGTCATTTGTTAGATATTATTCAAAACATACTGCAAGTTCTATTTTCAGATTACAAAACTTGGATTATTTAGGTGTTGCAAAGATGTATGGGTTGTTAAGATTACCAAAGATGCCAGAATTGACAAACTATTTAAAGGATAATTTCCCAGCTGATGGTTATTTAGATACTGAAGTGAATTTTAATGATTATAAATATTTGGATCCAGTTAAAGAAGAAAAGAGAATTGAAGAGGAAAAAATCAGAGAAAAGAGAGAACAAAAAATTGAAAAGAAGCAAAAAATCAAAGAAAATACTCCTTGGTCACAAAAAGTTCAAAAAAAAGCTGAAAGAAATGAACGTAGTGCTGGTAAGGATATCAAAAAAAGAGAATTAGAATTGGTTGAGTCTGGTGATGAAGATGAACAAGTTGATTGGAAAGATTTGGTTAGACAAAGTAAAAAGGAGAAGAAGCAAAAGAAACAAGATGTCGTTGGTACATTTGATGACTTGTAATAGTACACAAACATTGTATATTTATATAATTAGGTTTGTATCATCATTATTATTAGTATTATCAGTTGTAATCATTCATTCAATAAAATAATTTAATATCAAATGCTGGACGTTCAATTTCCAAGTTGTTGAAAAATTCATCCAAAGTGGTCATGCTTGAATATTTGTTGTCAAATTTTGAGTTCAATCTATCCAAACTTTTCTCAAAAGTTTCCATTTCAGTATCTGTAAAATCTTGGAAATTTGTATATAAATTATCAAATTTAATATCTTGTTCCACATTTTCCAAATTTAATTTTTTAACAAGTAATGGCATTGCATCTTCTTTTTTCAAATAAGCATCTTTTGATAAATTGATAAACAGTAAAGTCTTCATTTTAATCTTCCAACAAGTGAATGAATTGTCTAGGAATGTAAAGCCTTTCAATTCATCAACCATATTAACCAAGAATTTGAAAATTGCTAAAGATGGTTTATTAGCCCACCATAATCTAAGAGCAGTGGCCATCAATAATTTTGAATTTTTATCCACTAATGCAATTAATGAAGGGAAAACAATGAATTCATAACCAGCATTGAAATGAGAATTATAATTTTTGAAAACATCAAAACTTTTCTCCACACTTTCAATACAAAGATCAAATATACCTGTCAATAGTTTGATGAATTTTGCTTTATCTTTTGTCTTTTCAGATTCATAATGGATTAAAATAAAACAGTTTAAATTCATTTTAGTTAATTTATGATTTGCATTATTGATTAAATTAAAACATTTGTTTGAATAATTTGAATTCACCTCTTTTTTATAAGTATCATAATCTTTAAAATTTGATAAAACAAATTGATCATAAGCATCAATTAAATGTTCTAATCCACCCACTGTAACTTCTTGATTCAAGAAATTGTATAACTTATTCCAAATTTTGAAAATTATCTTGTTTAATTCAATTTGTTTACCATAAATATTTATAATTGATTTATGGAAATTTTCACCTAAATTACCATTTGTAAAATTTGATAATTCTAAATTGAAAAATTCATCATTTAAGAAAATTGGGATACCTTTAACCATATTCAAATTATAATATTGGAAATATAAATGATACCAAATCTTGATCAGTTGGTCATTATTTGAAGCAATTTCACTTTTATTATTCAAATTTAATGAAATTGCCAACCCAGCAGGATAAAAATCTGAAACATCACTAGATTCTGCACTTTTATTGAAAAGAAACAATTCCAAAAGCTTTAATTTTAATCTTGTCATTTTATCAATACTAAAATTTTGTAAAAAAATCAACATTATTTCAATAATAAAATCAAATTCTGGTGATACTGGAGCATTTTTCAACAAGAAATTGTTAAATTTATCCAATTTGATTGTATTTGTTAATGAAACTGTAGAGATTCTTAAAATCATCAATAGATAAGTTAAATTTACCAAATCTTGACTATTATTAACATCAGCAGTGATTTTAATTTTGGAATCATTTAATTCTTTTTCACCAATGATTTTAGTTATAGCTAATGAGAATTCTTCCTCGTTTAAAACTGGAATGAATGGATCTGCAAAACTTGTGAAGAATTTCTCCACTAATAACCAAATGATTTTTTTATAAGGTAATAATTTATTGATTTTTTTAATAATTTCAGTTAAATTTGTAGCTTCATATTTGAAAAAAGTTTCAACTTGATATTTTGGATTTTGTAATAAATTATGGAAATGATCATTTAATTTAACTCTTTTCCTTAAGGGGGTGTTAGATTCTTCAATTTCACTTTGAGCCTTTAATTTTTCCTCATGAGCTTGTAAACAAAGGTAAAAATTTGTTTGGAAATCATCTTTTTTAGCATATGAAACAGTTTCAAAGATACCACTACTTTCCATGTTTAAATATTTTGAATTTGGAGTATTTGTTTTGAAAGAAGTGATGATTTCACTTTCATCAATTAAAGTTGGGTCTATATTGGAATCATTTGGTTTAGTGGTTGAATCTGATTGGGGTTGTTCATCTTGTGATTTAGATTCTTGAAGTTGTGAATCTTTTGCAGGGTCAAATAATGGTTTAATTTGATTGATAGAAGGTAATTGAATGCCATATGGAGTTGTGGCTTGAGTTTGAGAAGGTGGTGCTTGATGCTGTTGAGGTTGAGGTGGGTTATAATGTGGTAATTGTTGTTGTGGTGCTGTGTAATATTGATTTGGAGCATGTTGAGAACCTTGTTGTTGTTGATGATGAGGAGGAGGAGGTGGATGATCACCCATATAACCTTCGATTTGAACAATTCTATTCTTGAGGAATTCCAATTCAGACATTAAATTAGGGTTATTGTTGTAAGTTTGGTTTGCAATTGGAGGTAATAAGACATTGTTATTAGTTGAAGGTTCAGCACCATAATATTGAGGAGCTGGGTTTCTTCGATCAGGAGGACCATATGGATAGTAAGGTGCACTGATGGGAGCACCACCAGCAGTGGAGCATGAGGAGGATGGAGCAGCAGTGGCAGCACCAGTTAATGGTTTACCATTTGAACCATATTTGGCAGCTATCTGGTTCTGTAATGTTTGTTGATACTGTTGCTGTTGCAGGAGGTGTTGTTGGAACTGTTGTTGCTGGAACTGCAATTCCTGTTGTTGATGCTGCTGGATCTGAGCAGTAGCCGTAGCTGTTGGTTTGAACGTGAATGGTGATCTTGGAGCTGGAGTGTTGTTTGCAGAGGAGCCGTGTTGGCTGCTGTTGTTGTTGGTGGAGCTGTTCTCGTAGGCAGCCCAGGCAGGCTCCTCGTAGGTGCACAGGTGGGAGACGTTGGACTTCTTGCACGCAGAGCACGCAGGCTTTGCTCTGTCACACTGTTGATGTTAGTAACTTGTTTTCGTGTTGTTGATATCTCCAGCTAACTCCAGAGCTTTTAGACGGGGATAAAACAGACGCGTCGCCAAAACGCCAATGAACTCACTCTGATCTTCCTCTTTCTGCACACGGTGCACACGACGGGCTTTCTGTTTCTCTTGCGAGGCTCCATAGTTTTGCGCTAGTTGTGAAGTGTGCTTTTTTGAGTGGATTTGGATTGTTTTTGGTTGTTTTGAATTTGAATTTCGACGTTTTTTTTTTTGTTTGTTTTTTTTCTGGTTTTTTTTTTTTGTTTTCTTTTCAGAGTTTGGGAAATTGGATTTGATTGGCTGTTGGAGGGAGTTTTGTATATTTGAATGGGTAGAGATTAATTAGTTCAAATGGGTTCAATCTTATTTAATTATGCCATTCTCAGGCTTTCCAAAGACACTCGTTGCGCTGCGAAAGCCCTCTTCTGCGACTCGGCCAACCCTACATTAACTCCAGAATCACCAATATCAAATCCATTAAACTATTCACAACTTGCCCAGTTCTCCAGCTATTCTCTTCGCTGCACTCGTCCCAAACACTACACACTCGAGCAGACTGTTCCCTCCCAATCTATTGGCCCCGTGGACTCCTCCACTCACCTCTCCAACAGCGTAGAGCCCTTCAATAACATCTCCTTTCGTGTCAAGAACCTGTCCATCACCATTAATCTTAACTCCTCCCATCGTGAAGTGAACAACTGGTGTGATCTCTGCAATGAGCAACTCACTTGAAACCTTCATCTCTTTGAACACATGTGCCTTGTATTCTCTGTTGAATTCATCACTGATAGACTCTTTGGAATATCTTGAAAGTAAATCAACAACTTTTCCTGCATTCTCTTTGAAATAATCTTTAACACTTGTCTTGACAACTAAACCTTGCTTGATATAGAAGTCTAATTGAAACTTAAAATCTTGATACATATCATCATTCAACACTAATAAAGCCTTGGAATCCTGTTGTTTTAAAATTGCTTGACTAACAACATCTCTTGTACTTAATTCATTAATAAATCTTTCATTCTTATCTGTATTCAATAAAACACCACCAATTCCTCTTAGTGATTCAGCTGCAAGAAACTTCCATCTACTTCCAGGATCTTTTGGATTGATGAACCCAGTTGGATGGATTTGAATTTGCTCCATATCTATCAATTCAGCTCCAATCTTTTCCAATAAAACTTGTCCTTCACCCAATGTTTGTGCTCCATTAGTTGTTGGTAATCCCAATAACATTCGAATTCGAATCTTTAATTTTGTGTTGAACAAACCAGGTCATGTGATTTGTCATGTGACCAGAAATTATTGTAATCAAATTCAGTCCACTTTTAAGAGTTATAAAGATGGTGATCGAGCAATAGTTAAGTAGCACCATCTTATTCATGGATATATGAGTCAATTCGCTTATAATCTCATTCTGGTTGTGCTGTTTCTTCGCATTTACTCGGCAACAGATATGAACATATTAGAGAAATCAGCTAACTCCATCACAAATCACGAATCCAAGAAATGCGTATATAAAAAGGTGTCAATTGAACCATTCCTAGATCCAAGTTCAAGGTTACACTACATGAGGCTATTCACATATATAGCATTATTCACGGTTCTTTACTCAATCTATCAACTTTATAGAAAATCCACAATGTCACAACCTACATTACCAGTTGTTGTTGTTGGATCTGGGTTAGCTGGGCTAACCAGTGTTTATAAGCTTTTGGAACGCAAGATCCCCGTGATCTTGATTGATAAGATGGATAAGATGGGTGGGAATTCTATCAAAGCTTCTTCAGGTATTAATGGTGTTTTAACTTCAACTCAAAAGCAATTTGGTATTGAAGATTCAGTTCAAGGGTTCTTTGAAGATACTAAAAAAAGTGGTGGGAAGATTGGTGATCTGAATTTACAACAAAAATTGGTTAAAGAGAGTACTGAGGCTATTAGATGGTTACAACAAGATATTGGTGTTCCATTAGATTTGGTTAATAGATTAGGTGGACATTCTCAAAGAAGAACTCATAGATCTTCGAATATTCCACCTGGATTTGAAATAATTTCCAAGTTGAAAAATAAGATTGTTGAACATGAAGAGAATTTAAAATTATTATTAAATAGTCAAATTGTGGATATTGATATATCAAATGGTAAAATCATTGGATTGAAAGTTTTGGACTTGATTAATAAACATGAAGATTATATAAAGACTAATCAAATTGTTATGGCTACAGGTGGGTTTGGATTCTCTGAGGAATTGATCAAGAAATATAGACCTGATCAAATCAACAACTTCAGAATTCACCAAAAGAACAAAACAATCAAGCAATTTACACAAAACAAAAATGGATAAAGAAGTCAAATACGGTGCTAGTATAGAATACAACAAGAAAGTGGGTATATTTGCTTTATCCTAACCATACCTTTACTGACCATAATAGTATCTTCAATACATTCAGGATTATACGTCTTTAATATTTGGAACAAGTGCTGGTATTCTTCAATTAGAATCTTATTATGGATTCGCTTTTTTTTCAATCACATCATTAATAATAACACTACTCTATGTCATATTCGTTACAAAATTGAAACCTTCATTGTTTTATGAAAATCCTTTAAATGATATTTTTTTAAATAATTTATCAAGAAGTCTTACAGCTTATCTCATGATGTGGACATTAACTTATGCATTGGTGCAATCCTGAATATACACAAATCCCTTCTATTCAAACGTACCTAAAATCACGAATTGGTCTAGTTTCCTCTAAATCAACACTTTTCCATAAAGCATCTCTAAATCTTTTTTTATCTCCATATTCTTCATAAATTTGTGATAATAAATACCAAACTTCAGAAATCATTGAACTATTAAACCTTTCTGTTAATAATTCCAACAAGATTTTCACTCTGGCAATTGCAGCTCTTGAATCCTTTTCATTAACAAATATCTTAGCTTGTGCACTATTTTGATGTAAAAATAAATTAGATAATCCAATTATAGCTAATGAATAATCACGATCAATATCTAATGCTTTTTCAAATGATTTTAATGATAATTGTGGATCATCAACAATAGAAATTAATCCTAATGTGGTTAATGTTTCACTTGTTTGTTTAAAACTCTTTTCAGCTTCTAAAACAGCTTGTTGTGCATCTTCAAATAAATTGGCCTTGGAATAAATCGTTGATGTGACTAACCAAATTTGTTGTAATAACTTGGCTTGTTCAATGCTTATTTTTATAGTTGGTGGTGCTGGTGCTGGTGTTGTCTTCACTTCTTTATGTGATCTTATTGATTTGATCTTGGCTAATGTGGATGTTCTATGTAATTGATTTGATTTTGATTCAATTTTTTCAGATTCTTGAACAATTGGCTCCTTGAATAAATTGTTGTATAAGGCAAATAATTCAGGTAATGAATCAAGACTTTGTTCAACTCCTAATAATGATTCAATAATACTTAGATGTGTGATTTTGATTTGTATAAAGCAATTTTTCAATTCAATTGATAATGATTCTCCTTGAGTTAATTCTAAAAATTCATCAATTTCATTAATTAAAAAATTAATAATTTTAAATGATTCATCTTTATTCTCTTCAATTGAAACAATTAAGGCTAATAAATGCCATGATTTGAAAAAAGTTAAGTTTTTAATAGTTTGCTTTGTCAAGAAATTTTTCAAAATTGAATAAGATTCTTTAATTTTTCTTAATGTGGCAATGAATTTAACATATTGTAAAATGATTTCATCATTTTTATAATCATTATATATGGAATTTTTGAAAAACCCAATAGATTCTTTTAAAATTGATTCATTTTTAGGGAAAATTGAATATGAACTTTTATATAATCTAATGTTGGAAATTGCCAATGTATACCATATTTCTGATAAAAATTGTCTCAATTTATCATTATTAACATTTAATAATAATGAATCTTCATCTAATAAATCAAAATCTTGTTCAATCTTCAAAACTCCATTATCATCATAAAAATTTCCCAATAATTTTTTAAATTTGTTCAATATTGAAACATAACGATCATATTCTTCTAAAGTTAAATCATCACTTGATTTATTTCCCCTAAACCTAAAGCTCAACATTAATTTAAAAGTGTTTAAAATACTCAATATATCATTAAATGAATTATTATTTTGAACATAATATCTTTCAATATAATCAACATAAACTTCAAAACTATGATAACTTTCCTCTTTTTTACCCAAAATTAACAGATTCTTAGTTAATGCACGTAATAAAATATGTGATTGATAAGTTTTATTGATCCCCTTCTCTATTAAATCTGCACTTAATTCTGGTTTGATCAATTTACAATCATTAACTTGGCTTAAAAATTCCTCCAATTCATAATTATTCAATTCATCAGATTTGGGGAATTTAGTTGAAGATAATAATGAATTTGACCTTGTTGTGACAAAATTTATCAATTCCTTTGGATCATATTTAATACCTTGATCAATTGAATAATCAATAAAAGACATGATGAAATTCTTATTTTGGAAAAATTTGTCCAATTTACTCACAGTTGGTGTTGAAATTAATCTTAAAACTTTGGAATATATTAAATTTAACCATTTTAAAGATTCAATATTAGATAATGTAGGAATCTTATCAAAGAAATTAACACCTGTAATTAACCATTTTTCTTCATTTGTGAAATCTTGTAATTGATGATATGAATTAGCCAAAAGAAAATGCTTTCTATAAAATAATGATTGAATATAATTATTTGCATGAGAACCAAAGTTTAAATCTGCAGCTTTTAAAATATCAATAGAATCATTAATTTGATTTTGAATAAACTTAAAATGTCCCACATTGATCAATAATATGAATTTTGTTATTGGATCAAGTCCAGAAGACAATGCCAGCAATGACTTGGACTCTTCAATGAAAAGATCTATTTTAGAATCTGGGTTTTGTAAAGGAATCAATCCATCCAATTTGTTTATTGTTAAATGTTGTTGAAATCTATATTCAATATTCAACGCAGTAATCAACGGATCATCTTGTTCCACTTGTACAACGTCTTGAGGCCATATTCCAAAGCCCTTCTTTTGGAGTATGGTATCGATTGGATTATCCACTTTCCCCATTGTGATACTTGTCAATGACCAATTTAATTGAATAATGTTCAAAATGTTTTTATTCTCAAAGCCGTGATCTGTTTTTTTTTGAAATCTCGAATTTTTAAAATTTCGTGTCGTTTTTAAATTTGCGCCATTTTGCACAGAAAATTCTGCAAAAAAAAAGTGCCATTTTTGCTACAAACAGAAATTTCAATTTTATTCATCAAAAATCATTAAAAGCATTTTAAACAAAAAGAAGGCAATATAATAAATCTATTGAGGTGGAATTGCTGGTGGTGCCTTCTTCTTCTTTTTCTCCTCGATTTGTTCAACTTTGATGTCTGTTAATCCCTTTTCTTTCAATAATCCAGAAATGTACTCTTCAACAGCATCACCAACATCACCTTGAACAATAATCTCTTCCTTCTTTTCAGCATTCTTGGTTACTGAACAACCAGTGGCAAATTTAGATGCGAATGTTTTAGCCAATTTCTTCATATCAATTTCGAAAACTTCTAACCCAGATATAGCAATGGCATGTTTTCTCTTTGTTCTTTCAATTCTTTTCAAAACAACTTTGGAGGCCAATTTTTTTTGTAATTCTCTCTCTTGTTTAGCTTCCTCCTTGGCTTGTTTCTTTTGTAAGTCCTTATCAATCTTTTCTTGTTTCTCTAATGATAAAGATGAAGTGGCATTAGCTAAAGCATCATCGGAGTATAATTGATCGAAAAGTTGTCTGTTGTTCTCTTCTAACCAGAACTTACACTTTTTAAAAGTGGCACCGAATTCACAGTACTGTTCAGATTAGTTAGTTACTCATTATAACCCATCCAATTGTATAGAATACTCACTTCAGGTGGGAAGGTACAGATACCGCAATAAAACACCTCTTTTGGTTGCAACTGGACGAGAATTTGTTAGTGAAAGGAACAACCAATTCCAAGTAAAAAGCCACTACTCACCTCTACTTCAGCCATGATCAAAGAACACTCTTTTCTCTCTAAAAAAGATTCCACTTGGATCAGTTCAATCCAACAATTTCCAAATCATCGCTTTGATGTTAATTTTTTTTAATGGCGGTCACCCTCCTTTATTTTGGCCTGTGTCGCGCCTTCACCAAGTTGTTAATTACAACTTCAAACAACAACATCAACATTTGCAACTACCAAAACTACTCCAAAGGACCAAGATGAGCTTCGAGGAGAACGTGCAGAGGAAGAAGTCCACCAGATGGGTCAGGGCTTCCACAGCCAACTACGACGGTGACGATTGGTGAGTTTACGGAAACATTCCTGTCCTGGACATCCTACTAACATTAATCATAGGGTCGAGGAAGAATATTATGAAGATGAAGATGAGCCTGTGCCAGATCTACCTCCTATTCCTGCTGAGCATTTGCAACACTACCAGCAAACTACCAAGATCTCCCCTGAAAAGACTGATAACGACCATGATGACAATAAGAACAATAACAATGATAATAATACCACCACCACCACCCGTAATGATTATAATGATGACGATGATGCCAATAGTTTTGATGATACCATCAATTCCCCACAATTGAACCTCCAAAAATTCCAAAACATTGATCTTGATGAAGAGTTGCCGGAAAAGGAACAAGAACATGATCCCGTCAGTGCTACAGTTGATGAATATGCAAATATAATAAGAGATGACGATTCTGAAGAAGAGGAAGATTATAAACCTACAACTTCACGTTTCCAGCCACTACCAAGATCACCAGAAGTTGAAAGATTTGAGACTTTAAAAGAACAGAAAACTACACCTGTTGAAGAGGAAAACAATGAAATCGAGGCTCAATCTAGTTCATTCCAACCATTTCCTGAAGAACATCATCATATCTCAAAAGTTGATCATAAAGAAGGTTCATCAACTCCTCAAGAATTGCCAAAACATGAGGAACCTCATCCGGTGTCAACACCTGTTGTGATTGATGATGCAAAATCAGTTAGCAAAGAATCCATTGTTGAAGAGAAAACTCAGAGAGATCATGTTCATAGTGATTTTCAACCATTTCCAGAAGATCAAAGTAATCACGGTGCTGCTGAATCAACTGTACAAGATAATGATGTGGAATATGAACAACCCCCAGTTGAAGAAGCTATTGAACAAGAGAATACACACAATGATATTATTCCACAAGTTGAAGACAGTGAAGATGAAGAATACATTCCAAGCTCAAACCGTTTCAAATCCTCAATTCTTGAAGATGAGACTCAACAGAAAGAACCAGTCTCGGAGGACTCATCAATTGAAGAAATCGGGTCCACTGCAATCCCACCACAGATTGAAAGTTCAGAGATTTTGGATGAAGAACCAAAAAGAGTTGATATACCACCAATTCCAAGTACAGCGCCTATTGAAACTCAAAATCATATTGATCCAGTGACTGATTCACTTCAATTGCCCACTTCAAATAGACAAGATTTCGATGATGTTTCAGATACTGATACCCTTCATATTCATGACCCTGAAGAACAAAGCTCGCCTTCTATTGAAGAAATCAGACGTGAACTTTCAAATACATCACTACATGACCTGACGCATGACAATACTTATTTCCATGAACATGCATATTTGGGAAGTTTGATCAATACACCTGAACCTGAAGATGAAAATGAAGTACAATTTCAACCACAAGATGAAAAATCGATTGATGAAACTAATGATGCGGCACCAAGAACTTTATCTCAATATTATTCCTCGGTAAATGATTATTTTGATGATTACGCTGATACAAGTGATAATGAAAATTTAAAAGTTAATAGAGATAGTAGAGCAAGTGTTCAAAGTTCAGGTTCTTTATCCACAGGTAGCTTTTCCATCAAGAGTGAATCAAGATATAGATATTCAAAAGCTAGTGATAGAGACTCATCATTCAATCACAGCAATTCTGATGTTCATTCATTAAACCCTGCACAACAACTGTTGGCTGATAATGCTTCTACAAATGAAACTGATCAAACACCAAAGGATACAAACTTAAATCCAGCTCTTTCAATCAATTTTGGTCATTGGAGACCTGATACTGATAGTTTTAGAGATCAATTCATTAGTGGTACTGCACCTCCTTTACCACAAATTGATAATTATACGAGAAATTCAATGGGTGAGATTATTGAAGATAGAGGCTCCATTATAGAAAAGGATAAAGAATTAGATTCATCAAATGATAAAGGTGATGATCATGAAAAATCACTTGATTCATTGGGTAATACTATGAGTACATCAGAAACTGATAATCATTCAACCTTAAGTGAACATAAGCCTGTTGGTGAATCTTACAAGACTGAATCTAATTCAGTATTACCATTACATATTCCACTGGGATCAAATGAATCAACTGAACTGAATCCTGGCCAATATTTCCATGAAAAATTAGCAGCAACTGAAACAAACTTACCAAAAGAAGATAATGAAGTTACCAAAGATGTTCCACCAACTACAAAATTAAACATTACCAAAATATCAGGCAATAAAAGAACAAATTATAGTATTAAACAAATTTCTTCAATTTCAGATCCTGCTAAAAGGATTGAAAGTTTAAGAAATGCTAGAGAAGAACAAGCAAATCTAAATCTTGGTTTAAATGAATGGTTAGTTTTCGCTAAAAGTTCTGCTGGTGTTGAAACTTACAAAAGTAATGTTCATAATTCTCATGTTGCACAAGCTTATGCAGATGCTTCCACAATGTCAAGAAAACATACTTTAAACAATGTCGGAAGTTTCTTACACAAAAGAAGAGTTTTCCAAGATACTTCATCTCATGCTCAAAGTCTTGCTAAAGGTATTTTTACAAGGGGTAAAAAAATGCTAAAAAATGATAATTAGAATAATTTAATGTACAATCGTGTTTTGTTTCTCCCTATTTATTGGCAACTTTTGATAACCGTAGTTCACCATGTCTTCTCACTTCATTATCCATCATATCTCTAATTCTATGACCACCTGCAACTGCAATTGCTAAAACAGATTCCAATTGATCCAAGGGTATTTTATTTTCCAAAATTAATAAAGCCAATTTCTCACTTTTACCAACAACACCAATAGTTAGGAACGAAACATCTTTTTCTTCTAATGAATTTAAATCTAATAATGGTGTATTATCATACCAACCTGCAGAAACTGAACTAATATAATCATACATTGCAATACCAGCATCTATTAGAGCCAAAGTTATAGCATTTGTTATAGAGGCAATCAACCCACCATCAAGGGCTAAAACATGGATATTTATAGAAATGGTAGTTCTTGGATATTTATTTGTAATGATAGATTGTTCAAAAGTTCTTTTCAGTGATGTAACGATTTCTTGTGTTCTTCTTTCATTTTTAGATCTTTTCTTACGATCAATAGAGCTGAATGGTGTGATATTTAAATTGATGTTCAAAGTTGCCTTTGTGGATGATAACTGTGCTTTTGTAGGAGGTTCCATAGGACCATTGATTATACAGACAACTTTAGAATTACCTTGTTCAACATATGATGATCCATCTGATGAGTTTGGATGAGTATTAATTCGGCATTCAAAGCGACGGAGTTCATTCCATCTTCTACCATCCATACGGAGACCTTCTGGTGAATATAGCTCTTGTCTGGACATTTTAGCACTTGGAGATCCTCTAATTTAGTCAAGTTTGGTGTGTTTTGCAAGTTCCAGTTTGAAGTTAAAGTAATTTTCGATATGCCAAAGAAAAAAAATTTATATGGAAGATTACATAATCATCGTATACAAAATTCATGCCAAAACATAAAACAACAATAATCTTGAAACTTTCATAGCAAAGTATTTAGACTATATATTTGATTGCGTTCTATATACCATCGTTTATATGATTTCTCGAAAAATCATCAATGAAAACTCCTAAAATATAAATATTTGACAAAAAGAAAAAACTGGCACTTAGTAACAATCCAGGATAAAAAGTACTTTCACCCAAAAATTCCAGTTTATAAGCAAAGAATAGCCAGCTTCCTTGTGAAATTATCCATAATATCAAGCAAAAGGCACCTTGGACTTTATTAGTGTTTATTAAGCTTGAATTTCTCAGGTAAATTGGTAAGAAAATCAAAAACCAAATGAAATATTGAGATGTCATAACTTTATTGAATGTCACAAATGCAAATGTTTGTAGAAATAATGTGTTGATAAGACTCTTCTTTGCGAATAATAATGGAATAATGATGGCAGAGATTGATAATTGTGGTATGAATGCCAACGATGCTAAATCTAGAGATGGCTTCCCCAAAGCTGATGACCCTTCTAAAGCTGAAGCAAAATATAATGAAATGTTATATACTGAAAAATTGTGTCTATGATCTAATCTTGATAAATGATAGATGTATGAATGCTCTAGAAACTCTTGTCCATATATTTGGTACATAATGGCACCTAATGAAACAAATGAAACCCCAGAGCATACTGTGAATATGATTGATTTTTTGTTGATGAATGAAATGATTTGTTGAATGAAATTCATGTTTGTTGAAGGTGCAGATAGATATATGATGGCTGTTGGTATGTAAATAATTGGATAAATTTTGAGATGAACAGCTAAACCAGCGAAAATACCACTCAATGCAACTTGTTTCTTGATCAAAAGGTACACAAAGATCATAATAAACACAGTTAAAACGCTTTCCGAGCTTCCTCTTGTACTGATAGTAATCACCATTGGATTCAACAGCCAAATAGATGCTAATATCGTTTTCTTGATCTGTGATAATTGAATCAAGTCAAGGATCTTCAAAATCAATAACCCAGTAATCAAGTCACTAATCACAAATAACACTTTCCCAAATGAATACGACATGTCACTCATGGCATTGGGTACCAACATCCACGCCAACAGTGGAGTGTAACGGTATGTCTCTCTAACATATGGCGACTTGCCATTGTAGACGTATTTGGCAGCATCACTGAAGACCAAGTAATCGATATCTGTGTACTTCACATCCATTGTAGCATCTTGATAAAGACCAAAGAGGAAAAATCCTATTCTGAGCAGAATTGAAGCCACTATCAAAGGGATTTTCAAGTTTCTTTCACCTATTGATGAAGCTGACCGTGGTTTTGAGCTTGAGTCTGACATTATAAGGGAAATTGGAGCAAATTGAAGAAGATAAACTTGACTTTCTCGAGAATATTAAGAGTTTTTGGAGTTCAGATGTTTTTTTCACTCTTTCGAGGCTTCGATAAAAAAAAAGATGGGTCCTTTTTAAAACCCTGAGTCAACGATCATTGCAATCACAGATCAACTAAATCTGAAACCGTGTAATAACCTATAATTATCATAATGGAAGGGCAAGAACAAGTGTATCTCCAATTTGAGGCTTTTGATTTCGAGAACGAGGACTTCAAGGTGGGTATTAAACTACTGATAAGAACCGAAGGGCACTAACATTGAACAAAAAGAATGGACTTGAAAACGTTTATGAATCATACTTGGATCATATCAATCAAAACAATGATGGTAAAATTAACGAAATAGTGACAGAGATTAAACCTGAAGAAAAGCAAAGATTGGAAGTACAGGCAAAGACTTTTTACTTTTGTCAACAGACTGGTAACATCTTGAATATTGAAGATTATGAAGAATGGAAAAAAACCAGAGAAACTGCAGAACCTGAGTACTCATCCAATTATCAAGAATTGGTGGAGCTCATATTGGCAGGGAAAGAGATACCTGGAATAAAGCAAATACCAGATACCGTTCTAGAAGGTGAAACAACAGAGCATAAGGCTGAAGTTAGAAAAAAACCATGGGAAATAAGAAGAGAACAAGAGGAAAAGGCAAGAGCTGAAGCTGCTGCTGCTACTGCTGCTGCTGCTGTTGATGCTGAAGGTAAAGAAGGTTCAGAAAATGTCAAGGATGAAGATTTTGGTGAAGAAAATACACTGGATGAAGAATCTAAAATCGCAGAAGTTTAATAATCTACAATGACAAAACCACATAGTACAAGATTTTAATCACTTATGAAATTTTATGAAGCTCCTGTAAATCTCAAGACTGATTCGAAAGCTGCTAATGCAGCAGCATTGGCTGGGAAAGATCTTAAAATTGAAGGAACAAATCCTTTTGTGAAACCTTTGAGTCCTCTGGTTTGGTAAATTTCCGTTGCAGCAGCCTTCCAACTTTTGAAAGAACCATTGAATTTATCGTCAGCTAATAAGTACGACTTGATAACATCAGATGGATAAGCTGTGATCCAAAAACATGAAGCACTAAAACCACCAGCCCAAAAATTTATACTAAAATCACTTAATTTTGTATTCTCTTTCATCCATCTTGTAAATAATTCATAACTTCCCCACCATGTTATGAAATTTGTTCTGAATATTAATGTTGATATCAAACCTTTGTAGAGCCCATTGATACCTACCCCATTAGTTTTATAAATCTCTTTTATGACCGATACCGGGCCTGAGTACTTATTATTCTTTGCACCATATTGAACTTGAAGCTTAACTTTGGCCAACTCCACTGGAGCAGCTATGAATGACACGGTCCAGCCTGCCAAAACACCCGCAAATATATGACCTTTCAAATCTAATTTTCCTTCCTCTTGATAGAAATTTCTCTGTATAATTCTTCTATAATTGTGTAAAGATCCCAACATGATAGAATCCATCATGATCCAACCAAATAATGGTGGAGTGAACCCCAAGTAAAAACCCCTAACACCCTGTGTAGTCAATGTTTTGTAACAACAATCTAATGGACCTTTGAATCTAGTGGAATCTGTTTGTAACCTCACTTTGATGGTATCAAATGGGTGACCAACGGTGTTTTTCGCTATACCTGAAAAAACACCAGCAACAAACCCAATGTAGCCACCAGGCTGTTGCTTTTTCTTTGGAGCTTCCTCTTGACTCATATCTTTCCAATTGCTTTATTGATTATGGGTCTTGAATAGCTGGTGGGTCTGAGATCTGAGGAAATAAGAGATTGAATGAGTCAAAAAGCTTTTCCATTGACGTTTAAAAGTTTGAAATTTTTTTGAAAATCTGGAATTTTTTCAGTTCGAGCACCTGTACTTGATTCCCCAGATTTTCGATTTAATTGGAAACTTCTCAAGCAAAATGGTGATTAATTATATCATATTGTAGAAAAGAGTTGGTTCTTTAACCATACTTCTGTTTAATAAGCTTTTTTGGCTGGTTTTCTTAGGGAAACTAGGTATAATCCATTCAGAATATTCAAGCGATATCGGCTATTTTATACATTTTCAACCGTAATGAACTACAGTGTATTAAGCATTCATTAAAGACTGAACCTCACTTTAAAACTTTGCTTTACCTAATCCAAGTGATAATTGCCTTCATTTCTTCCCAATTGCCTCGATTTTGTCGTTGCTTTAGTGATGTATTAGGTTTTTGTGATTTTTGCGGCGTTCAAAACATTGACACAATCACCAATAGAAAAGTTGGAAATGTACTAAAACCACCAACTCAACTCAATAACATTCACTATTCTACAATCTGCAAACGATGCATGTGAAATCACTGCATATGTGAAAAGGACCTGAGTGTAATCACCAGTCTTTCAGATATTTGGTTTTTGGGTGCAAGTGCTTTCACTGCCTCAAGGTTTTTGTTCAATTATACCATTTAGCACTGATTTTAAACTTGATCCATTCAATGTTGGTTTTGCAACTGTCTTCTTTTCAAAATTCAATCAACTACAGATACCATTAAAGCCACCAAGATTATTTCAATTCATTTTCATCTTCATTATCACAAAAAGAAAGTATTTCTTCAATTCTATATCACACTCATTGATCTTCATAAAAGCAGCCATCCACACCAAACTTACCTATGATACCAGTTGGCATCCAACCTTCACTACCAACCCTTTCACCTTTTTGAATGGCTTCTTCGAGGTTTTTCTCATCATTTGGCTTTCCAATGATGAATCCTCTTATGCAAAGTTCTCCATGTCTTTTCTCAATGTTTAAGCCATTGTATTTATAGAGCTTGATCTCCAAAGATAATGAGGAAGTTCCACAATTTTTCAATTTTGAATTTGTGAAGACTCTATAATCATAAAAGTTTGTATTGAGAATTGAACCAATAACACCAGGAATGAGCCTTTCGGAAATCACTCTTGCTCCTGTTAAGGATCTTATTTGATTGAGTTCTGTACTTGAATTGTTCTCATTAGAACTGTTTAATTGATCAATATAAATCAATCTAAGAGATTTATATTCATTCAGGGCAGCCATGGTAGAGAAAATACCTCTGCTCAACAAATAATTGACCCTTGACACCAAAAGGGAATGGATGATGCCTTTAGGTTCATGTTTTAAAAAGAATCTTTTGGCAGTCTTGGAATCAATTGCTAAAATGGTGGGTCTGTATTTTTCTATCAATGTTTCATCAAACTTTAAAGTTGAACTAGATCCAACCACAATGGAACCACCAAACAATAAAACTGAAAATATTTTGGCCCAATATTTTACTGATGAATCATCATACCCTATCAAAAGAGTATCATTGTGACTAAGCTCATGACCAAGTGGTAAGGATCTAGCAACAGATGCAATTGCACTGACAAAATTCTGATGTGAATAGTCAGTTGTAGCAAAGTTGAAAGTGTCTTTGAATGGGACGCCTGAATCATATTCTGGATCATAATTATAGCTATATGTATCACTATTCAGACTTGTCAAATCACCCAATTCATTCCAGTTGATGACATTTTGTTGACTAAAACTCTTCAGCGGGTCCTGAGAAACAACTATTATCAATTTGATATCAAGTCTTAAGGCAAACGGAAGGTTTTTCTCATCTACCATTAACACATCCACATCTGGATTTGTTCTTGGTAAATGATTAAAATGATGAGCAGTTAAACCATTAACAAAACAAGTGAAAGATGAGACAAATCCATGGAAAGAGTACAAGGGCACCGCAACACCCACAGTGCTAATTTCATGATCTTTGAAGAAAAGGTTCAATTTTTCAAATATACCATTCAAATGATAAGCATCAGCTTTAACCTCGTTCCCATTTTCAATAAATGTAACACTGTTGATATTTTTTTGACCCATAACAATTGACCAAATGTCTCTTAAGTTCCCATTCCTTAGCTTGAATCCATGTCTAATCTGGAGCCCTGTCAATAAAGGAAGTCCATGAGGAGTCTGATTATTTCTATAGATGGCTGTTTCATCGTTCTTTCTTGTGGGTGAGATGTTTGATTGTTCACTGAGGGCCAGCTCGTGGATGTCCTTTTGCGAGTCCAAGTACTTTGAGTATGCGAGCACTGCCAGAAGCACACCCACTGCCACAATGGCTACTAGCTTGAGCATCCTTCAATTGATCAAGTTCACTGAGAATGGCTTTTTTGAAGAATTGAAGAATGCTTTGATCTCTGTTTTTTCACCTCGTTTAAGAATTCGCGGTACCTGAATATGTGTCACATGAGCTGTATAACAATTAATCGTTAACGTTACTTTACATGCGATGAAAAATGAGCTGGCGATTAAGTATCTTAGTTGATTAATTTCAAAATAAATCATGATAGAATTTTTTATTCTGCAAATATCTACTAGAATTATTAATTATTCGACTAAAACTATACGATATATAAATTTGACGACCACTCGATAATTATAAAATTAAGAGTGATATATTTAAATTTAATTTGAATTATAATTCGAAATATATTCTAAAATAATTAATTAAATATTAATATATTCTGATTTCAAGTCAGTGTTATAGGTACGTCATAATAATATAATCAATTAACGTAATACACACCACATTTGATTTATTTAGGTTATATTGCCTATCTTATTTGAATTGGCTTTGTACTCATAATAACCTACGGGCTGTAAATCTGGAGAAGTTTGACAAAAATCAGCTGCTTATACTACAAGTAATCTAAAGACAAGATTACAATATGCCTTCTATTTCAATCTAAATTAGGTAAACTATGCCTTTAGCGATATTAATTTTGATTTTAGAAAGTCAGGTAGATAGAATCCAATTCCCTGCCAGCTTGAAAGATCTAGTCGAAACAACTTTGGCTGGTTTGGGAACTTTACAACTACCACATTTTTCATAAAAACACAAGCCAATCACCCATAAGTAATATACAAAATGCCTTCCTTCTAATGAGATTGTTCATCTATCATTTTCTGCTCTTAATTCTCTAAATTGGATACCTTCGTTACGTTTCTTATAATCAGCCTCCAGTAATTCCTTTATTTGTTTTGTTAATTTTTCAGCAATTCCATATGCTTTCCGACTGCATTCCATTAAAGTTAAGGCATCCATAGGTAGACCACCAGCTTTTGTGATTTGACAAATTTCTCTATTTTTATTGATGGTCACAGTTAACACACCATCTTTTAATAATTCTTCTTGTAATGTAGCATCAACAACAGATATTTCACTGTTTGAATCACCCTTAATGTTTTCTTCAATATCAGTTGGATTGAAAAAGGCAAATGTAACACAGATTGGAACATGCAAAATTGAAAGCTCCACAGGTTCCCTTTCCTCTGTTGAATGCACTATTATCTGTTCACCTGAAACTGTGATATCGTTCTTTCTAAAATGTTGCAAACCAGTCATAACAGCAATACAACTAGCATCAATGAAACCACCATCACAATCTAAGAAATGGATATCTGCTCTAACTGACCAACATTTTGATCCCGCTATTATACATAATGACTCCAAATCTAAAGCTCCAGATCTTCTAACCGCTTTTTCAATGGCTCTTGAAATCAAAAGTTCATCATCGGATTGTCTACCATTCTCAAACATGGCTGAAGCCATTGGACTTATCTCTGTAGAAACTTGAAATAAACCTTCGAAAGGACGATCTTCAAATGGCGAAACAATGTCAGCAGATATACGTGCAACAACTCTATGTAATCAGTTAGTAAGGCCATCAAGTTTAGGAAAGAAAGAACATACCTTGTTTTACCCATTTTGACATCGACATAACCATATTCATCACCTAAAGTGATTTCCACATCTCTGAACTGATCGAGTTTTCTTCCATCAATCCTTATTCCTTGCTTTAGTGCTTCGAACACAAAGTCTCTCTCATTCACAGAAACCTCAATACCTTTGGCCATCTTTCTTAGTGTCTTTGGAAAAGCTCCCAGTCTACAAGCTCATCGGTTTCTTTGAAGTTGAATTTTTTCCTGGTTAAAATTCGCGAATTCAATTAAAACACCCAAACACCACACAGAACACATTCGCGACTCGTCTCGAACTTTCCAAAAAGTCGAATAACTTCAAAATTATGGCAAAATTCAACATTTCAAACAGCATTCAACAAAGGCACAAAGATGCTTAGATCACAATTCCTTACACGCAGAGGCGTAATTTCCGCTAGAAGCAGTGTTACTGCTCCTTCCAGAATATTCACAGCACAACTCAGCAGCAATAATGGACCATTGACTTTTTTCCAACAGGATCAATTACCTGCCAACACCGTTATTAGATTTGTTCCTCAACAAACCGCTTGGGTGGTGGAGCGTATGGGTAAATTTCATAGGTATGTTATAATCATCTACAACTCATCTTTATTTTTATACTGACTATTGTTTCAAGAATTCTTGAACCTGGTTTAGCAATTTTGTTCCCAATCCTTGATAAAATTCAATATGTCCAATCTTTAAAAGAAGCTGCTATTGAAATTCCAACCCAAAATGCAATCACATCAGATAATGTTACTTTGGAAATGGATGGTGTCCTATATATCAAAGTTGTTGATGCTTACAAGGCTTCTTATGGCGTTGAAGATGCAGAATATGCCATTTCACAATTGGCACAAACAACAATGAGATCAGAAATTGGTCAATTGACTTTAGATCATGTTTTAAGAGAAAGACAATCTTTAAACCATAATATCACAACTGCTTTGAATGAAGCTGCTAATGATTGGGGTATTAAATGTTTACGTTATGAAATTAAAGATATTCATCCACCTCAAAATGTTTTAGAAGCAATGCATAGACAAGTTTCCGCTGAAAGATCAAAAAGAGCTGAAATTTTAGATTCTGAAGGTCATAGACAATCAAAAATAAATATTGCAGAAGGTGAAAAAACTTCAAGAATTTTGGAATCTGAAGCTGCTAAAGCAAAGAGTATTAATGAGGCTGCAGGTGAAGCTGAAGCTATTTTAATGAAGGCCAAAGCTACTGCTGAAGGTATTAAACAAGTTGCAAAAGCTATAAATGAAACACCGGGTGGTAAAGATGCTGTTTCATTACAAGTTGCTGAACATTATGTTGAAGCGTTTGGCAAATTGGCCAAAGAAAGTAATACTGTTATTGTCCCTGCTGGTTTAAATGATTTAGGTTCAATGATATCAAGTGGGTTAGGAATTTATAATCAAGTTAACAAGACTGTGAACCCAGTGAAGAAGATTGAAGAAGTTAAGAATTGAAAGCTTCAAAGTCATCCCCATTAATCTTATAAATAGTTATCATTTTTTCTAGATGTATTGAATATACTACAATCTTTTTATGCCTTTATTCACCTTTATTGTATCATTTATTTTTTCTTACCAAAGAACCCATCCAAAGGACCTTTCGAAACTTTTGGTGTAATTTTTTTAGCAACTGTTGGCTTTTTGCGACTACCAGTTTCTTGTTTCCCTAACGTTCTTTTATTTTGTGCATTAATTTGATTGAGGTTTTGAATTTGATCTTCAGCTGCTTTTTTCTTACTTCTTTCTTCCGAAACCTTGGTAATATAAGCCTCTAACTCTTGAAATTTGTATAGATCCAGAAGTTTTGATTCAACTTTAGGGTGTAGATATGATGATATTAAGTGGATTGAATACTTGTTTAAAGCTAAATTGATGATATTTTCAGGGATTGGATCTTCTATATTAACAGGGTATAGAATAGGATTGACAAGTTGAGATTGAATAGATTTTGGAAATGATTTTGAAATGATCTCAACTTTGGTTTTCAAAAACTCATAAACTTTTTCTTCAGAATATCTGTAAAACTTATCACCATTCTCATCAATTGAATCCGATATTTTTTCCAATGCATCGGTTAGTAAAGACTCTGGTATTTTTGATATAACTGGCAACTCTTCCTCCAAGACATCCGTCAAGTCTTGCAAGGACTGATACCTTCTAAATTCTTTCCCTTGTTCTAATTGCGAGTTGAAATATGAAATCAAGACATAGACAAAATTGAATTTTGTTGATATTATAATATTTGATTCTTCAAGCACAAGACCTGGTAAAGAGCTATCAGAATTTTCCAGTATTAAAGATCTAACAGGTTTATTGTCATTTTTGGTGACACTTCTCAAATGATTTGTCTTGCTGTGTGGATTATCATTATCTATTTCATTAAATTCATAAAGTTGGTCATTAACCAAAACGTAATGGTGTTCATGATTTGTTCTAGGATGTGGGATATCGACAAGCTTTATAGCCGACTCTTCAGTTTCTGGGAGTAGCACAACTCTTGCAGTAGTCAATGACATATTTACTAGGCAAATGAATCTTTCAAAGTATGCGTCTTTGTCTCTTGATGTATAAGGGTGTACGCGTAAAAGTCGTGTTTTTTTGTGGAATTTTTCATTTTCGCGATCAGTCCTCGAGATTAGATAAGCGATGAGATGATAATTGAATGGCAAACTAAAACATTTCCAAATTACGTATTAGTTTTTGAAGAAGCATTCAATTCTTTGGTCATGGGTGTTCATTCTTTATGGGGTATACTGGAGCCTACTTCAAGGGCAGTGAGGCTCGAGTCCTTGAGTCGGAAAAGAATGGCTGTGGATGCTTCAATTTGGATATATCAATTTCTGAAAGCAGTTCGAGATAAAAGTGGTAATTCATTAACAAGTTCACATATTGTTGGTTTTTTTAGAAGAATTTGTAAACTATTATATTTCGGAATCCAACCTGTTTTTGTCTTTGATGGTGGTGCTCCTGTTTTGAAAAGGGAGACTATCAACAAGAGAAAAGAGAGAAGACAGGGGAAAAGAGATGATGCTACAAAGACTGCTCAGAAATTACTGGCATTACAATTACAGAAACAACATGAATCACCTAGTAAAAAAAAAGTTGAGGATAAACCCCAAGATGATACTGAGTATAGATATTTGGAAGAGTTCAATAAACCTCAAGAATTAAAAGAAGAAGCACCAAAACCAAGTTTTAAAGGAAATGATGAATATGATTTACCGCAAATCCAAGGGTTTGAATACTCTAAAGAAGATCAAAGAATAAATACAGAAGAGTTTAAAGATATGGCTGAACACATTGATGAACTTGAAGGTATTGATTTGAACACAATAGATCCTGGATCTAAAGAATTTGAGGAACTACCTTTGACAACTCAGTATATGGTGCTTTCACAATTAAGATTAAGATCAAGATTAAGAATGGGGTACACTAAAGAACAATTGGAAAACATTTTCCCTAATAGTCTTGATTTTTCCAAATTTCAAATTCAAATGGTTCAAAAGAGAAATTTTTTTACACAAAGATTAATGAATATAACAGGTATGGATGATTCTGACCAAAAAATCAGAAGAGTTGCAGGTGAGAGAGGTAAAGAATACAAGATACAAAAGACAGAAGGTGGTTGGGCTTTAAGTATTGATGAAGGTTCTTCATATAACAATCCAGTTGATTTGGATAGAGAGGAGCGTAAAAAACTAAAACAAGAGAAAGGTGAGATGGATAATGAAGATGAGGATGATGATGTTGATTGGGAAGATGTTGAAATTGAAGCCAAAGAGAAGAAGTCTGTTAGTCATGCAATGAATTCATTGCCTTTACCACCTGCTGAATCTGTTGTTGGTGCTGGTGACTCTACTATAAGGTCCTTTATGGCATACACTAGTCCACAAAAAAAAGGTTCCAAGGCCCAAAATGCTAAAGTGGCCGAATATGAAGATGATAATAGCGAAGATGAAGCTTTAAGACAAATAGAGGAGATTGAATTGATAGAGGCTATTCAAAAATCTAAAAAGGAACTTGCTCAACAACGAGAACTAGAACGTCAAGTTGTGAAAAATGACAAAAAGACAGAAGAAGAAGCTGAGTTGTTTGAAGATTTGCCCTTTGACTTCGAAACAAAAGGTGTAGCATCTAATGAAAGAGTGGAAAAAAACTCCAAATCTGCACCTGATTTCAAATCCTTATCAGAAATGGATTCATTCCTTGGAATATCACCAACCAAGAGGAAAAGAGAAGATGTTGTTGTTTCTGACCCACCAGCTAAGAAAAAACCTTCAATCCCATCAGTTCCTTCATGGTTTAATACTACACTTGAAAATCCGTTCATGAAGAAATTGGATGTCAAGACTCCACAGCAAAAAGAAAAGGAAAATGAGAATTTAGTTCCTTGGAGTGAAGCTAGAGACTACCTTGAATCCAAAGGTGAAGATGGAGTGGTGAATGAAGGATCAGATGAAGATGTTGTTGAAGTTCAAGCGCCAGTTGAAAAACCAACATTTGACAAAGAAGCTGTTGAAGAGAAAGAGAAAGAATCCAAAGAGAAAGTGGTTGAACCTCAAGAGCCAGAGCCAGAACCAGAACCACCAGTTGTTGATTATGATTTTTCAGAATCTGAAGAGGAGAACTTAGTTGAACAGTTGGCAAAAGAAGAGAAGGAACATGAAGAGTTTCAAAAAGATTTGAATCCACATATATTGAACACATTTGTTGAAAATGAAGAATATTTGAAGAAGCAACAAAAAAAGGAGATGAGAGATTCGGATGAAGTTACAGTTAATATGATCAAAGAGGTTCAAGAATTATTGGCAAGATTTGGTATTCCATATATTACAGCTCCAATGGAGGCTGAAGCACAATGTGCAGAGTTGTTGAAACTAAAGTTGGTTGATGGTATTATTACTGATGATAGTGATGTTTTCCTTTTTGGAGGTGATCGTGTTTACAAAAACATGTTTCATGAGAAGCATTATGTTGAATTCTATAGTGGACAAGATATTGAAAGAGAGTTGGGGTTGAGTCAACAGAAGCTGATTGAATTGGCGCAGTTGTTAGGGAGTGACTACACAGAAGGATTGAAAGGCATTGGGCCAGTGAATTCGATGGAGATTTTGACACATTTCGGGGACTTAGCTAGTTTTAGAGATTGGTTCATCGAAGGACAGTTTGATATTGGTAAGCAACAAAGTGAAGATGGGTTCTTGAAGAGTTTGAGAAAGAAGATGGTAAAGAACAATGTGCTTTTGGATCAAGGGTTCCCAGATAGAAGAATAGAGCAGGCTTATTTGCAAGCAGAGGTTGATCGCGACAAGACTGAGTTTGTCTGGGGGTCACCAGACCTTGATAGGATACGGACGTTCTTGATGACGAGCGTAGGCTGGGGCCAGGAGCGAGTGGACCAGGTGTTGGTGCCGTTGATTAGAGATCTGAACAAGAAGAAGACCCAGGGCACACAGTCCACCCTGGGAGAGTTCTACCCCGTGGACTCATTCAACCAGAGAAAGAAGAAGAGAACGCTGAAATTGAAGAAGAAATAAACTTCTTGATTATGGGTCACCACCTGTAGTACGGAGAAACTTCGGAACAACACCACAGGCCCAACTGGATTGAACTGAGTAGATAACTCATAGTAACTACGTGACTAACAACCTATTCTACTTCTACCTCCTCTGCCACTCCACCATCTCAACTCATTCCTCAAATCCTGTCAGAAGCACGTAATTTACGTTTGTGACTAATAAACCCATTTTCGATCTCGGAACAAATCGCCCATACTTTTAAACTTCGTGACTCAAAAGCGCCCCCGGTTCGCGCCGCAGAAAAAGAAACCTTCGATAAGCTCATGATGATGATTCATACTTGGGCAGTGGGTATAAAAGAAGTGCTCGAGAAGGATTCCACTTCACCAAGTCTCTTTACTCTACTCTCCACAAGAAGATACTGTCCTCGAATAGTGGTCTTCTTTCCCCCTTCCCACAAACACTCTTATATCTACACTTCACAAAGTCCTCTTCCTCGAGAAACAGGCACATTAAAAGCTCACTTATACAACAAATTACACTTCACATCATTTTCACTACTACTACTTCTTTTATTATTATTATTTGGTTATCATCGGTTTATTAGGTTTTTGCATATTAGGTTCTTCATCAATGTCATATTAAATACGCTCTGCATCTGTGTTTTTCATTCTTCAGTTTGTTGTTTTAAGGTCTTTACACTATAGATTTTGAAAAAGGACTATTATAGATCATCATTAGTTGGTGCTCTTCAAGTTTTATTATTATCATCATCATTTTACTCTGTCTGTTTTTTTGCTCCATTACTGTTTGTTGTTATAAATACCCCCATCAAAAATGCTCAATTTAACCCCAGAAAATGATTCACAAGTGAATCATTATCAACATCATCAAAATGTTCAACTTATTACACCACCATCTTCTGCTAAGCAGTCAAATATATCTTCAGAAAAATCTCATAAAGCTGATATCGTGAACAAATATATTACTGAAGCTTCAGTTTTCATCTTGTCATTTTGGAAAAACCCACAACAAAATTCATTATTCAACACTCAAACCAATCTTATAAATCAAAAAGACTATGAACGCTTTACAAGAGAAGTTTTGAAACGCTCAAGATGTTCATTATTAGGTTTACAAGTTGCAATGTATTATCTATTCAAGTTACAGAAAAACATTAAACAAAGATTCATTTCAAATGATAAATCTTTGATGTGTCCAAAGAGAACTTTTTTAATTTGTCTTATTCTTTCTTTCAAATTTAATTATGATTCAAATTATTCTTTCAAATCTTGGTCAAAGATTTCTGGCTTATCAATTGGTGAAATTAAGACTTTAGAATTTAACATTCTACAAAGTTTAGATTATGATTTGAATTGTAATGTTGAAACTTTTGAAAAATGGAGTTTGTTACTAAATCAAGCTTTAGAAAAAATTGAAAAATTAATTGATAATAGAAATAGTAATACAACTTCATTGAAAAGAACTTGTACATCAATTGAAGAAGAAAATAACAACATCAAAAGAGTTAAAATTCAAACAGTTTAAAAAAAAAATAGATAAATAAATGTAATTTTTCAATCCTTATATTTGAAATTTGTAGCTGGATGTCCTGGTTCAACATGGTTTTGTCCTAATATATGTGATCTCAAAGTTATACCATGTGGATCTTCATCTTCATCCCAATATAATCCTCTTTTTTGTAATTCTGGAATCAAATATTCAATAATATCTTCATATGATCCAGGATTAACAACAGGTGTGATGTTAAAACCATCAATATCTGCAATTTCAACAAAATTTTCAATATAATCAGCCACTTTTTCAGGTCCACCAACAATAACAGGACCATTACCTCCAAGACTTAATTCTTCGCCAACTTTTCTTGGTGTCCATTTAATATCTTTTTGCTCTTTGAATAAATGTTCTACCGCACTTTGAACAACTTGTGGAACTTTGGAATCTTCAACATTAATCTCTTCATCAAGATCATATTTTGATAAATCAATTCCTGTTAGAGCACTGAAGAAAATCAATCCACCTTCTGTTGATCTATATTTTTTGATCTCTTCATATTTTAAATTCGCATCCTCATCATCTTTACCAACAATTGGTGTAAATAATGGGAAAACCTTGATTGATTGAGGATCACGTCCTTTCTCTTTAGCCAAATTTCTCAATTGTTGAATTTTTGGAGCTAAAACTTCTGGTGAATGACTAGCCATAAATATACCTTCTGCATGCTTTGATGCAAATTCAACACCTGCCTTAGAAGTACCTGCTTGAAACAAGAAAGGTGTTCTTTGTAATGATGGATGAACAATAAATGGTGTTTCACATTTGAAATAGTTACCTTCATGTTTGATTACTTGAACTTTTGAAGGATCTGTGAATGTTTGGTTTTCTTTATCAATAACAACAGCATCATCTGCAATTGAAGATTCCCATAGTTTATACAACAATTCCAAGTATTCATCAGCCATTTGATATCTTTCATCGTGATCCATAATTTTATCATATCCTAAAGCTTTAGCACTGGTATTATTCCATGATGTCACTATATTCCAGCCTATTCTTCCTTTAGTTAAATGATCCAATGTTGCTAGTCTTCTTGCTAATAAGAAAGGAGGTTCAAAAGTTGTTGTAGCTGTTACACCAAATCCTAATTTTTCAGTAACCCTTGACATGGAAGGAACAATTAAAAAAGGGTCCAACACTGGGAATTCTGTACCAATTTTGATAGCTGGAGATCTTGAACCTTCATACACTTCAAATCCACCCAAGGTATCACCAAGGAAATAACATGTGAATTTCCCCTTTTCCAATAATTTAGCATTGTTTTCCCAAAATTCTATAGTATCTTTTGTTGAAGATAAATCTTTTGGATTTGACCATTGACCAGGATTAGAATGACCTGGTGAAAAGATTTCAAACGCATTGAAGTGCAATTTCTTCTTTCCATTGGGTTTTTGCTTTTTCAATTGAGGTTCAGCAGACATTGTCGAGTGTATTCTTTACCAAATAAAAGGGCTGAAACTTATTTATACGTGTTTTTATTATTATCATTTCTCGAGGATTTAATCTGTGATTTAGCCGGATCGGTCCGGAATTTACTTCCAAAAAAGGTACACATCCAAATTGGGACATTTCCGATAATTTTTCCACATTTTCCCAGTTTTTTTGGATTTTTGACGTGAAAAACAACAATTTTCCACTAAAGTCTATTTATTTAGTCATTGATTTGAATCCACCCACCTCATACAATGTCCAGTTAGCCCTCAAAAGCCATGATTTTGAACGAGCTCAACAGTGGGAAAACACCCAACAACAACAACAATGATAACAACAACAGCAATCAGCAAAAACTCAAAAGATCAAGAGATGGCTGTCAAAATTGTAAGGAAGGTCGAATAAAATGTGACAAGACAAAACCAATTTGTAAAGTATGTCAAAGAAAGGGATTAAATTGTGATTATTCCAAGAAGTTAATGTGGATTTCGGTGGATAAAACTGATTCAAGACATCCATCTTTCAAGAATAAAAAACCTCCACAAAAGACAACAAAACCTCCAACAAAAGTTAAAAAGGATACCCATCTTGAAGATAAAATAATACCAAAGATCGATGCTATTGAGGAACGGGATATGCTGGATACAACTGAAGAATATGAATTATTGACCCCTTCAAGGCGAAATTCTGAAGTCCGTTCAAGAAATTCAAGTATTATTTCCAATGGAGATGATAATAATAATGGTGAATTCATAGATGAAGAATATATTGACAATTTGAGTGACGATTTCTCAGAAAGTGTCCAACTGGATTTGGATACAATATCACACCATGGATTAATGAAGTTAGATTTTCAAAAAATTGTTGAAAGTCAAAGGAATTTTTCAAATAATTTCCATAGTTTCCCTCGTGAAATTTCCAATATCTTTCAAAGTCAAGATACTCAAAATATTTTCAGCCATTATTTATTTGTTACTTGTATTTCATTAGATCCTTTGAATGGTGCGGGGCCTCAAAATATATCAGAAAAATTCTTTGTCCCTGTTGCCGTTAATGATCCTGCAACTTTACATGGAATTTTAAGTATTTCGGCAAGTCAATTGTCTTTTTCAAATCCAGAATACAAAAGGTTATCTTTATTACACAAATCCTTATCATATAAACACCTTTATGCATTGCTTAAAGATGACAAACAATCAATAAGTTTGAATGCATTATCTGCCATTATTTGTCATTTATCGATTGAAATCATACAATCTGGGCTACAAAATTGGCCAGTCCATATAAAAGCTTTAAGAAAAATTGTTCAAGAACGGAAAAAGAGAAACATGAAAGAAGACCAATTAACTTGGTTCTTATATTTAAGAATTGCAAGATATGATAATTTTGCAACTTTAACAACTGGTGAAAAACCTTTATTCAAGGAATTTAATGCTGTTGATTTTAAATCATTTCATCCATTGATTCAAAACTTTGATTGTATATTTGGATGTCCAACAACTGTTTTATTTTTTTGCTCAGAATTGACTTATATTGGTAAAACAATTTTTGATTCAAAACAAGATGGGAAATTTAAATCTCTTGGAGATCATTTAGAAACTTTAAATTATTCTGAAATCGGTTTGAAAAAGAGGTTAACAAAACTTTTAAAAAGAAATCAATCAAGTATAAATGCAAATGATTGGAATGCAATTGAAAAAATTTGGAGTTCTGCTTTAATAATTCATTTCCAACAAGCAGTTTATGATAGTTCAAGTCAGCAATATGATTTTGAAATTGAGAAAGAGAATTTTTTCGATGCATTGAAAGAATTTGTACTTTATGATAGTTTTTTCTGCTCAAATTTATTATGGCCATTATTAAAAATTTCTACAATTTTAATTGATCCAAATGATCGAGATTTCCTGAGAAAAACAATTGGAGCATTTTTTGATAAAACAAATATTGGTGCATTCAAAGGAGTACTGAAAATAGTTGATGAATTATGGGAATTAATAGATGAAGGAACTTTTACAAAACCTTCTGATTGGTGGGTATTCCATGAGAAAAAGGGCTGGAACATTTTTCTTGCTTGATAAGGAAGTAAAAAACAATGATATTTATGATGATTTATGGGATACACTAAAATATATGCGGCGTTTTCTACACTATTGGATTTTCCATATGTTTTGTTGAAGTGACACAAAAACGTTCAACAACGAACCCGAAAGAAATGTAAATATGGTGTATTGAAATCGTAGCCCGATTGATTTATCAGAGAACTTAGCTGTCACTTTTTGTTTCTGTTTACTAATAACAGCAAATCAATATGCTTGACACCGTAGTTTGCGAAAAAGTGTTAAGAGTACATGTGAATTGAGTAAAAACCAATAATATTGAGACTCATATTAGATGTGATAACGGTCTGGTAGTACTGAATTTGTGTGGTGTGACCTTTCAGTACTTTTCAAGTGTTTAGATTTTTGATTGCTGTCAATGTGTGCTTGCTTGCCCAAGACCCGTTTATACCAAACACTATAAAGGGGAGCAAAAACCCAATTCATTCGAGAGTTCAACAAACAGTAACTAATTATTATCACACTACATTAACATAATGGTAGCAAAACCAGTCCCAAGAAAAGTCTTATTAGCAATCACTTCATACTCTGAAAAGTTCTATGATGATGGTGCCAAAACTGGGTTGTTTTGGTCAGAAGCTGCACACCCATTGCGTTTCTTTGAAGAAGTTGGATTTGAAGTAGATATCGTTTCAGAAACTGGAAAATTTGGAGTTGATGAACACTCAATAAGTGATCAATTTCTATCAACAGAAGAACTTGAACAATACAAGGACAAAAACTCTCCAATTAACCAAAAATTCAAGCAAATAAAAAGGGCTTCTGACGTGAATGCTGATGATTACGGTATATTTTTTGCAGCAGGTGGTCATGGGACAGTTTTTGATTTCCCAAAGGCAACTTCCCTACTTGAACTGGCTTCACAAATATATGCCAATGGTGGTATTGTTGCAGCTGTTTGTCATGGTCCAGTCATTTTTGAAAATTTGAAAGATAAAGAAACTGGTGAATTCCTAGGAAAGGGAAAGACATTAACAGGTTTCACAAACCTCGGTGAAGAGCAAATGGGTGTTCAACATATTTTGAACAGGGACAACTTGAAGACTTGTGAACAAATTTTCAATGAGATCGGTGCTACTTACTCACCTCCACCAGCACCATTTGATGTTTATTCAGTCATTGACGGTCGCGTTGTGACAGGCCCAAACCCAGCATCTGCCTACGATACTGCTAATAGTGCCTTGAAAGTATTTAATTCCTTGGAAGCTTGAGATGGTGAAATAAACGGTTCCATATCCATATCCAAATCTTGATGTAGACAATTTTCGCGAAGACCTCATCTACGTGGCCGTAGTGCCAAAGAGAAAAAAAAAGTGTTCGACTGACTAACACCGATGGATGTTGATAAAGAGGAAAAGGCCCTTTGTAAATAACAGCTTGCTAGTTCCATACTCTTCAAGTAATATGGTGTTAGCAAAGAGATTTGTACATCTCCATAGTGCACTAAGATCTTATAGAAGATACTCTACTAAATACCCAGATCTGTTGAAACAAGATTTACTGCCAACTGGTGAACCAGATTATGTTCGTTTGATTTTAACTTCCAGAGTCTATGATGTTGTTGATGAGACTCCAGTATCACATGCGGTTTCATTGTCACATAAGACAGGCTCCAATGTCTATTTGAAAAGGGAAGATCTTCTACCAGTCTTTAGTTTCAAACTTCGTGGTGCTTACAACATGATAGCTAAATTAGATCCAACAAGAAAATCAAAAGGTGTTATTGCTTGTTCAGCCGGTAACCATGCTCAAGGTGTTGCATTTTCTGCTAAAAACTTGGGTATCCCAGCTACCATTGTTATGCCAACGGCTACACCAAGCATCAAATATCAAAATGTCTCAAGATTAGGTGCTCAGGTTGTCCTATATGGTGATGACTTTGATTCTGCTAAAAGTGAATGTACTAGATTATCAGAGAAAAATGGCCTAACAAATATTCCACCATTTGATCATCCTTATGTTATTGCTGGTCAAGGTACAATCGCAATGGAACTTCTTCGTCAAACTAATGGTGAAAAAATCACTGCCGTCTTTTGTGCTGTTGGTGGTGGTGGTTTGATTTCGGGTATTGGTGCCTACTTGAAAAGAATTGCTCCTCATATTAAAATCATTGGTGTTGAAACTCATGACGCTGATGCATTGTATCAATCGCTTCAAGCCAAAAAAAGAGTCCAGTTGGACACTGTAGGATCATTTGCTGATGGTACAGCTGTTAAAATCATCGGAGAAGAAACTTTCAGAGTTTGTGAAGAAGTTGTCGATGAAGTTGTTAAGGTCGATACCGATGAAATCTGTGCTGCTATTAAGGACGTGTTTGAAGATACTCGTTCAATTGTTGAACCTTCAGGTGCCATGACTGTTGCTGGTATGAAACGTTATATTGTTGACCATCCAGAATTAGATCATACCAAGTCAACTTATATTCCTGTTTTGTCTGGTGCAAATATGAACTTTGATAGATTAAGATTTGTTTCAGAAAGAGCAGTGTTAGGTGAAGGTAAAGAAGTTTTTATGCTGATTTCAATCCCTGATGTTCCTGGCTCTTTCCAAAAGCTTCAAAATATCATTCACCCAAGAACTGTCACTGAGTTCTCATATAGATACAATGAAAACCAAGAAACTGACAGATCAACTGTTCAAAATGCATTCATTTACACTTCATTCTCTGTTATAAATAGAGAAAAGGAAATCGCACAAGTTATGAAAGAATTGGAAAAACTTGGCTTTTCTGCTATTGATATTTCACAAAACGAAATGGCAAAATCTCATGGTCGTTACTTGGTTGGTGGCTCTGCAAACTTACCAAATGAAAGGCTATTGAATTTCGAATTTCCAGAAAGACCAGGTGCTTTAACCAAATTTTTAGAACATTTAAAAGGCAGCTGGAACTTGACATTATTCCATTATAGAAATCACGGCTCGGATATTGGGAAAGTGTTGGTTGGTTTAGATGTACCACGTGAAGAGGAAGAACAATTCCAACAATTTTTACGTGATATCAATTATATTTATACAGATGAAACAGATAATTTGGTTTATAGAAAATTTTTGAAACGTTGATATTTCATCAATATACGGGGATAGATACATGTTTACAAATACGCTCTTGATGTAGTCCTACCCACATCAATATGCCAGATAATAAGGATGAAAATACATTTATAGAAAAACACTAATCTGCCAAAAAAATGAATAAAGCTGACACAAAAGCTAATAGAACACAAAACAAAAATTTTCTATGGTGACAAAAAAAAAACACAATACAAAGTAATAGCACAAAAAACCAAAGGTGACACTGTCCTTATGAATAAGTTTTCATCAAATGTCAATTAGTGACTGTTCACCAGTTTGACCTTGGGAATTCTGTTGACGTTGTTGTGGTTGTTGGCTTTGGTTTCCAAACCCATAACCTGTATATGATGGAATAATACCAGTACTGGCAACACCCGTATACTGTTTTTGCATAAATGGATTAGCCGATGTGGTGTCGGTACGAATACCAGTACCAGAGGAATTAATAAAGTTGGTTGATTTTGTAAATTGGGCTGGAATACGTAAATTACCTTCGTTACCAAATGTATCAATACCAGTACCAGTAGCAAGTAATGTGTTGAGCTCAGAGTATTCTTCATTTTTCTTTTGAGATCCTGTAGGTGTTTTGTTTAATTGCTGCAATTCAGTTTGTTGGACTTGACCAGTAGATGCAGAAGAATCATTGTTAATAGAGAAAGGGTTGTTAGAGCCTGTTTTGAGAGGTTGTTGCTGTTGTTGCTGTTGTTGCTGCTGTTGAAGATATTGGAGATATTGCTGCTGTTGTTGCTGTTGTTGCTGAAGATATTGTTGCTGAAGATAATCTTGTTGTTGTTGTTGTTGTTGTTGTTGCAAATATTGTTGCTGTTGTTGTTGTTGTTGTTGCAATTGTAATTGTTGTAGATATTCTTGTTCCTGTTGTTGTTGTTGTTGTTGTTGTTGAAGATATTGCTGCTGTTGTAATTGTTGCATATAATCATTACCATAGGCATTTTGAAGATAGCCTGTATTCATAGCATTGATAGGGTTTCCAAAAACGTCATATTGCTGACCAGCTTGGGTATCTGATAGATCCAAAAGATTTTGTTGTTGGGACTCTCTTGCCCTTCTAGCCTCTTCTTCTTCACGACTTAATCTGAGAGCAGTTGACAACCCATCGTCATCCGATGCGTTTGCCTTTCTTCTTCTTTCTTCTTCTTCTGCTGTAAGTCTACTTTCGTTCAATGCTTTTTGAAGCTCATCGTCTTCATCCAGTTCCTCATTGCTGCGGCTATCACCATTTGAGTCAAAGCTTGATGATCTTTGAGGACGTCTTCTACGTCTTCTATCATTTCTCATACTCCTCTCTGTTCTCAATCTCTCATCATCTCGAAGAAGAGAGGTTAATTCTTTCGCTTTGACCCGAATAATTGTTCCTTGATCATGACCGTCTTCATCCACGTACTGGAATTCTCTAAGGGTCTTGATGATGTACAAATTGTCCTTAGACCATAAAACAACATTCTCTGAGCCTGCCCTGACAATAAAATCCAAAACTGTTAAGGCCTTTGCAACATGTCTCCAGTTTTTCCCCTTATCATTCAAACGACGATCAAGCATATCCATAATTTCTAGGAATTCAACGCTTTAAATAGGTTAGTAACATTTCCTTATCAAGAGGGTGATGAACACGATAACACTTACTGTTCATAGGTCATATCCGCTATGTCCTCCATTTCAGAGGTGCTGGGACCGTAGGGTTCATTAGAGGTAGCTACAAATCCGTCAGTAATTCAGTGTTCTTTGACTGAGAGCATTCAATTTGGAAGAAACTCACCATTCCTGACTTTAACTTGGGCGCTGGAGTAGCCGTTGGCAACATTTTTGATTGAACGGACGAATGCCTTAGACATAATGCTGAATAAATCAATTAGATAAAACCAGGTTAGGTATCAATCAGCTTCTAGTGATTCAATCGATGCGATCTGTTCAGGATCTTGGGTGTTGTTTTCTTTGGTAAAAGGAGAGGTCGTTCACTCCAAATTCATTTTCTCAAAAAATGAAATGGGAGAAGGTTGGTGGAGTCGTGCGATTTTCAAAACAAACACTTCATGGCTATGGAGTTGAAGCCAGAACCGTCTTAAACTCTGAAAGTGAGGTTCAATCAAACATGTTTAACACAAGATAGCTTATTCTATATATGGACCTCAAACAAATTTGAATAATAAAATAATCGCAAGTTAGAGGTAGGAAGTATTTTTTTTTATCAAAGTGGGCTTTAATTTTAGCCAAAATCGCGAAACACTTATATGCTACACTGGTGACATTGTATAGGTCCTGATAGTATTAAAATCTATGATATTTCACATCCTGGGCAATTATGAAGGATTTCATGAATAAAAACATCACAATCAATACAGAAATGGTTACTGCATTCCGTACACACGTACCTTGAGCTGGTTAATTGGGACGATGATGGTGCTGGAAAATCAATCTGACATCCAAAACAATTTAATGACGAATAGTTATCCGATACAGGTACTTCCATAAAATTCTTCAAAGGTATGAGATGATGATATGAACGGGCAAGATGGGTTGATAAAATCAGCATTGTGTTACAGCAGGGGCATATGGTGGGTAAGGAGCATATCTTAGATTTGCAATTGGGACAGATATACCCACCATAAGTTAATTTTGAATGACAGGAGCAAAATGATGGAACTTCTTCCGAAACTCTGTAGGGAAAGCCCATTTTAACCAATGTAAAACTCTTGTTTATCTTGTTCACTGGCAAGGGGATAACTGCATCCATAAATAAGTCCTTAAAGTGATGTTCATTTAAAATAACGCTGTAACAGCTTTCATCTCCATAGTTCGTCTTTTTGCAAATTTCCTTACATATGGATACTTGTGCTGACAGACCAATAATTTTAACCCTTATTTTCTCTTCAACCAATGAGTTCACCGTTTTGTGAATATTCCCGGGATCCAAAGAAAGTAATGAACCATCAACAATCAAAACTTCTCTGGTACAATGGGACGCAACATGCATAAGAAGACCTCGACCCATTTCGAGAGCATTTTGAAGGGAGGGATCTCCTTTTGGTTCCAATTTTTTTATAGATTTCAATGCATCAATATGTTCTTGGGGGTTGCCACTAACCTGGCTAACAAGTTGTCCAATACCATTCCTCATTATGATTATCCCTAGCTGTGAGATTGGGTTTTGATCAAAAAATTCGGTAACGAATTGAATGGCCAAAGATATAGCCATTGAATGTCTGTTAGGCCTTAGATCTTTCTCTAGCATGGAGCTGCTTAAATCTAATACTAGAATCAAATTTCTTATGATACCTCTTTGAAATGGAGTGACATTTTTAATGATTCTTTTCTTCTTTGATTCCAAAAGACCTGAAACAATCCCTGCTAAACTTCCTGCTTCATCTTCTTTCACTATATCCCAACTTCGTTGATATTCGTCTTCCCATGAATATCCTCCATTAGCTCCCTTTATCTCAGCAGATTTCACAGCCTTTCGTCTTGTCCGATTGGCAACTCCAGTTTGACTTTCATGCTCTGTATCTCTTTCTATGAATTCGTCATCAGACTCATCAATATCCATGGCTAAAGCTGTCAAGATTCCAAGTTAACTCATCCGTTGTTTTTGTGTTTTGTGTATTTTTTTGCTTTTTTTCAAATCAACCAAAAAAATAAGAGACACAAAAAAAAAGGCAGACTAGCTGAATTCAGAAGGACATTTCTTCTTCTTCGAACACCATGAGCAATGAAGGCTACATACAATAAACTATCGGACTATCAATGCTGTCAAATCTATGAATATTTTTTCCGTGAAATGCAATGAATCCACCAATTTAAACCTGTTCAGAAGAGATATTCACACTGGTCAACAAACAAATGCTCTCATTAATTGAACAAAAATATAATCAAATGCTTGGTAATGTGTCTACTCCAACCAATACAAAGATAGCAGTAGAAAGAGAGCAATAAACAGTGGTGGATGTGTCTTGAAAATGAATTTACAGATAACAGACTCGTCAAACAATGGAAACTCCTTCACCATATCATGGTAATATCTAACCAAAGCCTGTTCAATTTGTCAACCAATTCAAACCTTCAAAATATACATACATTCAATGTTTAATTCACACTAATAGAGAAAGAAAAGGCAGGGCATTAAAAAACATATCCAATCAAAGAAATCCACCTCGTTCGAAACACCAGCCCATAAAGCAACAATAAAGGCACCAACATCAACGAACTTGCTGTTGTTGAACCATGGGCATTTCAAGAGTACACTTATCGGCTGTGTTATCAACAGAAAACAGCTGAAGCAAGTGCAAGTTATCAACAGATCGGCTTCAAGCTCAAGAAAAACCAGAGACTGATTAGAAACCAACTTTTATATGGTAAGTTCATTTAAAACAATGCAACAATGAAGTCAGAAGAGCCATGATAAGATGTTTCAATCATCGTCAGCCACGAAATAAGAATTATAACTATGATAGAAAAGGGCATTCCCTATATAACAATAGAAGGATGCCAGTCTACCTTTGCTAAAAAAAAAGTTGCAAAAGAAGAGAACGACGAAACTAAGCTCCTCCTAAACAGAAATTAAAGTCTCCACACTAAAATAAACAGAGAATCACCAGAGACTTCGTGATAGCCCCCCAATTGTCATAATAAGTAAAATCAACACTATAATCGCTGACCAACTGGTATAAAACTTAGACATAATTACTCAAATGGACGAATTAACCAGGAAGTAGAATGAAGGCAAAGCGTATCACTAGAACTTAAATTAGATCGCAATACAACGACAAAAACCAAGATCTAAATTGAAGGGAGCCGAAGGACCATATGTTGATACCTAAGGGATCATTGTTTTTATCAATATTTTGAAACTGTAAGCTTAAAAGCCGAAATGTGCGTTTCTTGTTTCCGAATCATCCTCCCCCATTTTAATGACAGAGAAGAACCCATTTGGGCAAGTGTAAATCGTATATTCCTACACTTAAGACCATTAAGTGCTTCAGTAGTAAAGAAATGATGTAAAAACCCCGATCAACTTTGCATATCTACACCGCTTCATAAAACAAAAGACACTCAACAAAATAGAGCATCCCACTCAACCTATACCCAAACATCCATCGATTTCTACTTGTATGCTTAAATAACGAGCAATCATTTTTGATCTTCCTGCTACCAAAACCAGTTCAGATTCCAAGCTCCCAAGCTATAGTATTATATAGATCGTAAGCACGATTAAGCTTTGAAGCTTTCTCTTGCTAAAGGAACCAACCTGGCTCAGGAGATTGAATATAAAGTGAGTGAATGGTGCACACAAATATGTATCAGTGGAAATGAATCTCATAACTCTCCGACAAAGAGGAATTTGTAGCATAGGAGATAGCTACAGTAACCAGCACTGTGAGGTAGCTTAGGAGATACTGCATGCACACATAGTTATGCAGTGAAATACCTGGGAAACCTGTATCAAGAGAAACATGTATCAAGAGAAACTTGTATCGAGGGATGCTTATATCCAGAGAAACCGGTAACAAGGGAAACCTGTAGCAAGGGAAACCTGTATCGAGGGGTGCTTATATCCAGAGAAACCGGTAACAAGGGAAACCTGTAACGAGGGAAAGCTGTAACGAGGGAAACCTGTAACAACGGAAACCTGTATCAAGGGGGAACTTATAGAGGAACAATGTATCAAGCTGGACAACAGCACAAGCTTCGATCCATTGATCCTTATGGGTAGTAAGTATTTAACCTATCAAAGTGCTTTGAACTCATTCTTCTGGGACCTGGTAGAAAGTGCCCAAGAGATAGAACTTCTGTAATGCCTCTCCTGTGTACTAAGTACAACGATCACTTTGAATTTGGATTGTTACTGGACAAAATAGATTTGGAATTCTTCTACCGAGCCAAGTCCTCTCAGCAAGCTTTCTTTCGCACAAGGAAGAATGTTTTTTGATCACGTCGAAGTTTTGCAAGAGCCACTTGAAGAGTGCTTGAATTGAACTAGCTTAATGTGATAGGATACTGGAAAGCTTTTTTGCACTGATTTGATGAGGCCCACATGGTTTCCTAAGTGCATTACTTGGTTGCCTTTGAAACATCCAATCTCACCTAGGTGATGTTACTCGTAAATGTTTTGCACTGTGGTAACCCAACCCAACACAACATTTGGATCCTATTGAAGCCAGAAGAAACGAGTTATCTGAACCAGCATTCGACCTAAGTAGCAGGTAATGTGCATTCAATACCCGTTCTTTTGGACTATATGAATAAAATCAGGTAAAACCTGGGATTAATTCGTTTTGAGACTAAAGAGATCAAGGAATTCTGTGATTCGGATGATGTGTGGGACTGGTAGCCATAGAGATGCGTTACCTCTGCTGTTACTCCTGCAACGGTTACCTAGGAGGTTCCCCTAGTACCATATTGGTTTCTGTAGAAATCTTCGTAAACTGAGATTATGCATTGACACAACGTCAAACATGTAGGGGTATCTAGGAACAATATGTAGAGGCAGTCAGCGTACGTGTTAGAGAATTGTTGATAGGGGTTATTTAACATATACAGATACTGCAGACCAAGGCTGAGCAATACGTTGCATCCAGAACGCTCAATGGTCCATTTCTGGGATAATTTGAGGAGAGGATAGAGAATCTTAGTAGGCAGCGGTTTTTCGAATGCCAAGTGTCATGTCTGTCGAGTGGTATTGCTCGAGTGATCGGTTCCTTGAGTTATAACCCTGGTAATCCGTTACTTCAGGTATTACTGTGACAATCGTTTTCTTCAGATATATCCGTGGGGAGATGGTTTCTCGAGTTGTAGCACCAAGTTACAGCTGTTTCGTTGGTTGTTGCTATGGCCGGGTTGCATAAAGTTTCTTAAGCGATAGAAGTAATACGATCACTAGTGAAGTTACTGAAGCAATCGATACTCAATTAGTTAAACGAGCCTAGCTGCTCGAGCAAAATGGCAAACCTTTTGGGTATATTAAACTAATAAATATAGGTTATATAGTAAATTCAATTCTAGCTGAGATATGAGGCATACTCAGCGTCATTTTGACTAGAAACAACCAAGTATGTGTTGTGTTACCATCGAGTGGATTCGCAAAATGAAAGGAGAAAAAAATAGGTGAAATGCTTGATTTAACTAATTTCGATGAGGGGATATAGAGTGAGTGGTAAGGAGTCAGGACCCCAAATACGTGGTTGTACGTTGTTATGGTGTAGTGTGGCTTTGTATTTTTGGTTTGATGTTGCTTGGTGGTTTTGTGGTCTATTTGTGATGATTTAGATGAGCACCTTTATTTTCACCTCTTTGTGTTCTGTTTGTGGTGTGTCAGTCGTTGTTGCTGCTATATTAGGCCATGATATTTCGGTTTTAGCTTATTCTGTGGCTTTTTAGCAGATCAGAGTAGTAGAATTTCAAAGGTTAGGCCTCAAATTTCTGTCGCTTGGGCAAATTATCGTCTTTTTTTTAATGGGGTTCGTTCGCATCATAATAGTTATAAGCCAGTAGCTTAGTTTCTGTTGGTTTTGTTTGATAAGCGAGACGAGCTACAAAGAATTCAAGATGAAAAAATTATATGCATTGGGTTTTTTATTAAGATACAAATTAAATCAATTCAATCACTCAAGCAAGCCTTCAGAGTTAGCTAAAATGAAAAGCCCTACTTGATTCATGTTGTATGGCAGATTTGTTTTTGGGACATTCTGTAATATGCAACATTCTTATTTTGAACCATACTTTTTCTTTCCGAAATCAAATGGGAGATATCTATATTTAATCATGTGCTGAATTTGCCTTCTCATTGTTAAGGTGAATAAAATAATGAAATAGATCAAAAGAATAGGCCAAAATACTGGGACATCGGTAAATGGAAACAAAGACAAAAACAAAGAAAGGACAGTAGCAACAGTAGCACGGTGCCAAAATTTGAACTCTGGAAGTCTTCTAATGAATGGTCTAAATTCTTGGCTCATTTCACCAGCCTCCATATTTTCATATTGCTCGGTCTGTTCAATTGTCATATCTAATTTTGGTTGCAGAAACGCCAGAAATAAATTAAGCAAATATATGCTTAGGCCATAGCAAACAATATACCAACCTTGTGAAAAAACAATACGAGCAAGAAATACCGCTAGAAGAAAGCCAAATGAGAGCCATCTGTACTTAACATGAGGAGTTGATTGATCTAAGAGCCTTTGATAGGTAACTTTGAATTTGTTGAAGTTTTGGTTGATCACATTGATCTTGGATTCATCTAAAGATATATCTTCCATCTCAGTTGAAATCCTTTCGTATGCTAAGTTGGGATATGGTTGTGTTGAGAATTATAACTCAATAAATGAAGTTGGGAAGATTAGGATATATAGCTTGTTAGAAGTCCTGCCACTGTGTTCCCTTTTTTTTTTTTTCAAAAGTTTCACAAAAACACAAAACGCGAAATAAAATATTTCGCGATATCGCGGTGCTGTTCTAACCAACTAAGCGGGTAATTCGGGTTTTGTACTCGTCCTTATATATACGAGAAGAGCTGCTGCAAATGGCAGATTCGATTGTTTACATTGTTAGCCCGTATCCCACACCAAACAACCTGAATTTTAAAGTTCATGTCCCGCTACTATGCCACAAACTTGGCTGCAATTTTTGAAGTAGGAAATTGTCTCCATATTCAAGCATTAATATACTAACAAACATGGTAGACACTCAGTTTTGTGGCACAGATAAGATATTTCCGGCAAGCAAAGTCTATATATGGGTACTCATTGAACTTTTTGATGAAGAATGCAAGTGTTGTTAGCTTTCCGTTCTATAAAATTTCTTTACTGACTCTTTGGTATAGTTCATAGAGAAATTATTGTTTGTTGCATCGGCCTTGTCGTATTTGACACAACGGTTGACCAGAGACCAATACTCTAAGAGATTTCCTGTTTATCCTTCAGTGCCTTTTTCCAATATTATATGGTATACAGACTGCTGCGACCTGGGATTGATGATGGTTCTTTGTTGTCAGTGCCTCAAATATAGACGGTCTCGTCACTTGTTCCAAACGGTCTCCATTTCTCTTGCTTGGATAGTCATATTATTCCTCGGTGTCTCTTTCTTGATTCTTTACAACGCCACAATTAATTTCCCTGAAGATATTGGTCGATATGGATTGCTTTACATTGATTTTGTTGATTGGATTTGGATATCTGGTGCTATTTTTGGAAGTCTGAAGTACACCTCGCAGGTATGTTATAAAGTTTGCTAGCGTAAGATTTCTTCCTTACTGACATTGTTTGACTAGGTTTCGTTGAATTGGATTGGTATGTGTACAAAGGGACTATCATTGGTGTCACTGGGAACCGACCTTCTAGCAGTATCTATTCAACTATTGGTGAGGGTCATGAAGCATGATCATAGAGATGAAACATTCCATTTCGATCCGGTAGTAAGTAAAACAAAAATGAGTATAGCTCAACATCCAGTGAAACAAGAACTAACAGGCCATTCATAGAACGATAAGCCCTTCTTTATGTACTTGGTGAGTATGATATATGTAATTTCATTCCCTTCCATCGAACTAACAAGTAATATCATAGTTCCAGTTCGTTATGATTTTAATTTTGATATCTCAATCGTGGATATATAGAAACACCAGACCAATTCTTACAAATCTTACAGCTAAAAAAGATACAATATCAATAGCATGAATTTCATCTATATACAAATATTAATTACAGTCTTTTTCCCAGAAGTTTGGTAGCGAAAATCACAAGGTTGTTGACCTTTCTTTCTTCATCTTTGAAGTCTTCTAGTGATAATGTATTAGTGTACTGAAGAAGATTGGAAACCTCGTTGCTCATTCTAGATTTCAGCTCTTTGTCATTGGTAACAACCACTGCGTTTGTCTCCAAGTCAAAAGAGTATGCTCTTCTGGTATAATTAGAAGATCCAATGACAGTTAAAGATGGCTCTTCTTCATTTGAAGCTGTAGCCCATAATCCCTTCGCATGGTAGGACCATCCATTCTCTGTATTAACAACACCGCGTTTCCATTCATTTAAAATAATGTCATTTTTTTTTCCATGCTTAAAAACATCCTGCAGGAAAAGTTTGGAAAGGTAAAGATAAGCATCTGGTAAGCAGCCAGAAATTCCTTTTGATTTGTAAAACCCATTAGCATACGGAGAAGCAGTTATCACAACACCTTTCGATGATGATTCTAAAAGTTTGGCTTTAATTTCCGGAAGCATATTAAAATAACCAGCAGTAAATGTCCAATTAACAGATTTATCATTAACATACCCTAAGATCTTTAATATGCTAGGTTTTTCTGTTGATATATCTGGCTTTAATAAAGGAGTAAACTGTGAAATTGGATACACAAATGTCCTTTGGTCTGAAGCAACATCATCTCTGAACTTTTTTTTTCGTTTAGCTTAAAAATTTGGCTCAATATTTTGGTTGATCCAGTCAAAAACTTTTCAATATCCTTTCCTGGTTCATTTACTGGATTTGACGTTGGCCACACAAGTCTAAATTGTGACTTATCTTCAAAATGGATAAGTTTATAGCTCAATGATTCAACAGCATGCTGAACTTTATAGTAGTAGTCACTGAGATCTTTGGATTTGAAAAGATAATATCTATCTTGTCTATTCGTAAAATAGTCAGATGAGAGGTTTGCACCTGAAAGAATAACTTCATCATCAAAACCATATATTTTCATATGTTGAAGACCAAACCCTTCATTGAACCGCTTTGGAACTAGTAGCTTGCTTATACCATTTAAATGTGGTGTGTGATACATTCTAATATCAACTTGGTCATTGTACCTTTTCATAAGTTGTGCTAATAATGACGCTGCAGATTTTGATGGAGCCTCTCTGGTACCTCTTAAAGCATCAGTAAGAATATGAACTTCAAGTTTAGGGTTGACCTCTAGTGCATTTGAAATGCAATCAACGATTTCATCTTGAGTCTTGCCAATATATAGAGAGGAAAGGAATATTCTTTTTTTGGCTTTGGATATTTTGGATTTAAGCAGCGAATAAAACTCTTTGGGATCGTGTAAAATTTCGATTTCACCTCGTTTCAATTCGAATCTTGGGGAGAGTTGGTCCAGCTCAGATACCAGGGCATTTATTGAAGGATTGAAACCATAATCAGGTGTGACTTTCGTTGAAAGGTTCCGAAGAAAGTTCATTATAAGCTTGTTGAAGTGAAGATATGTGTGTTGAAAAGAGATCAACGGACTTTTTTCTTCTCGAGATCTCAAATTTTGGGTAAGGTGAGAAATTGGAACGAGTTAAAACCCTGTGATAAGAGAACTAACGTAACAGATCTTGACTTGAATAAACCAATTCAAAAAGGTTAAGAGATGTCTATAGAATCACCAAATGTGAAGGTGTTTTTGACAACGGCTCCCCTGAACCCATTGGAAGGGCTAGAGTTTGTGAAATGTGAAGAGGCAGGTGCTGTTATTTATTTTGGTGGGACTACAAGGAATAGCTTTGAAGATAAAGGAGTTGAGAAGCTGATTTATGAAGCACATGAGAAATTAGCAGTAAGAACGCTGACTAGAATTGCAGAAGAAGCACTATCAAAGTTTTCAGATAACTCTAAAGACACAGGTATTCACAAAATTTACATATGTCATAGATTAGGAGATGTTCCAGTGAAAGAGGAAAGTGTCTTGGTAACATTGAGCAGTACACACCGTCAAGAAGGTTGGGAGGCTGCAATTTGGATACTAGAAAAGGTAAAAGAGAAAGCTGAAATATGGAAAAAGGAGAATTATACTGATGGTTCTTCTTCATGGAAAGAAAATGACACCTCAAATATACTATAGGTGGGTATAAATAAAAGTATGTTTCTTCTATCTTTATTTATATATACATGACTATCACTTTTGAATCACACATTCATTTTCTTGTGACAAAAGCACCCTTAGATCTTGCAACAACATCAACCTTTTCTCTAATATAATTCCAACGTTTGACAATAGCTGCCTTTTTGTCTTTAGTATCAGTAACGGCAATATCTTCTGGTAAAACTGCCTTGAGATAGGTTCTCTTAAATTTAATAAGTTCTGATTGAGTCAGGACATCTGAATTGAATAACAATTTCTTGATTTCACTAGTGTTCTTTTTATCAAACTTGCTGTAAAGTTCCTTAATGGTTGATTCGAGTTGTGCAACCAATGATCTTCTTTCATCTTCGGAGCGATACTTGATGATGTTGAATTTATTGTCAAATGTAACAGCTTTTTCCAATTTGCTAGAAAGGTTCAAATATTTTTGTTGTGCTGTAGTCCACTCTTCTTGAGTTGTTTCATTTCTTTTTAATGAAAGTTTCAAGTTTTGAAGGTAGATCATTGTGGTTGTAGCTTTGGCTTCTTCATTAGACAAACCATTTTTTACGTGATTTCTAATAGCTAATAAACGTTCTGAACCGATCTTGATTTCTTCTTCAGTTAATTCAGGAACCACTTTAATTAATTGTTCTCCATACAAAGCTGTGTTCTGGATTCTTTTCTCTTCTCTGGCTTTTACTTCTTTTTTCAAAATAGGTTTCATTAAAAATTGTTTACGTTTCAATGTACCTTCTTCAAATTTTGCTTTTGATGGGTCTGTTATTGGTACATAACCAAATCTTCTTGCTCTTGGCTCAAAATGTGGTGTTGGTAGTCTTGAGTGTTTTTTTAATGCAATTCCAATGAAACGTCTTCTTGGATGGAATGGATCCAAATAGAAACGAACATAACCTGGCTCTAGTGCAAAAATTGTATGATCCTTACCGATACCAACATTCTCACCTGGAAAAAATTTTGTACCACGCTGTCTCATAAGAATTTGACCTGGTCTCACAAACTCTCCCTCCCCTTTCTTTGAACCTAAACGACGACCAGCTGAATCTTTCATGTTTGTTCTTGAACCAGCAGCTCTTTTGGTAGCAGTACGAACTTGTATTATAGGACCATTGATGACAGAAGCCCTAGGAAAACTGTTCGATACTAGCCCAAAAGCACTTTTTATGAAAGCGACATTTTTATTTGCGCTCCAAAACCCCATCTTGAGTACTTTTGTTCTTTTTGATCAGTCCTGTCTCTATTATTTTGTTAATGCTTGAAAGTTCGTTGATTTTTTTTTTCCTGAGTACAGTTTTTCAGGTTTGGCCAACGGTGCTTAACCATTTTCATTTGAGGGAAGAAACACCTTGCCCAGGAAGAGTTCGGCAATGAGGTATTCTGTATAATATTCGTATGGGATCTTAATAGTTGAAATGGGAAATGGGCCTTATCATAGTCAGAGCGATCATCATGAAACTACTATACCATTATATTTTAATAAGTACAGATATCGACAACTTATGCTCCATGTAAGACGGGTAACCTTTTCGCGAATTATAATCAGTCGGTTCATCTCAAGTGATTGTTTATGTCTTCACGAGAGTGAACAGTGTCTTTGGAAATTAAATCTGGTTTACAACCCTTTTAGGATTCAAAAATGGAAGGTCAATGGGATATCATAATTTCATCTTTGCAAGATATTTTTAATAGCAATGAGGAGCGCAACTTTGATGAAAATAAGGATTTCATAAAAACCAAAATATCAGGTCTTTCTGAGAAACAATTAAACGATGCCTTACAAAAGCTAACCTCGCATAAGGATAATGTGGATAAGAGTCTAAGAGTTCTCGAAACTATATTAGAGAACCTTAGTGTGGTTATAAATGCTGAACATAAAAGGAAAGCTGCGGATCCAAAATTCAAGAAGGGCAGAAGTTTCTGGACAAGTCCTTTCAATGAATCAGATTCAGTAACTATGGGCTCGGAGGTTGCATTCAGACTGCGCCAGAGAGGTGCAGAAGATGAGTGGATTCAATGTGAAGTTACCAAAGTGATCGGGGATGGAACCAAGTAAGTGAAGTCTGTTTCCTTGTCAATCAAATTTACTAACACTAAGTTCTCTTATAGATTTGAAGTGCGTGATCCAGAGCCCGACGAAAATAATAATCCTGGGAAAACTTACAAGGCGACCTGGAAGGATATCATATTGATACCCAGTAAACAGAGTGTTGAGTCTCTGGTAAGCTATCCATATGGCACCAAAGTACTGGCAAGATACCCCGAAACGACTACGTTCTACCCGGCAGAAGTCATTGGTACCAAAAGAGACGGGCGTTGTAGACTAAAGTTTGAAGGAGAAGAAGAGGAAGGGAAAGAGACAGAAGTTGACAGAAGGTTGGTTCTTCCATATCCAGGCAAATAAATGGTTTATATGTGAATTATTGATGTAGTGATCAATTTCCGGGACTGATTGGGTCGGAACTGGACTGTAACTGAAAAAAAGTGTTGATGAAAACGAAGACTCAATCCAGGTGATGTTTCCAAAACAAAACAGACACATTGTTGGTCAGCCACCAGAAGTACAGTATTCAAAATGTCTGAGGCTATGGATATTGATAACGTTCATGTATGTATACTACTAGTGCTGGTGAACTCTACCAGAGCTTGTTTGCATCTTCATTATTAAAGTATGAACATTTGTACTAATTGTCAATAAATAGGATTCTCGTGACCGTTCTCCTCGCAGAGACCGTCAAGATAATAGAGACCGTTCACCTAGAAGATACAGGGAAGATTACAGAGATGGAAGAGAAGGTAGAGGGGGCTACAGAAGTGAAGGTAGATTTGGCGACAGTCAAGCTCCTCACAGTAAGTCTGATAGAAATTACGAGAACAGTATTTTTGTTGGTAACTTACCATTCGACTGTGATTGGAGCCAATTGAAGGACCATTTTCAAGGTGTTGGTAATGTTATTCGTGCTGATATCGTTACACAAAATGGTCGCCCTCGTGGTATGGGTACTGTCGAATTTTCATCCAAAGCAGAAGTTGAAAGAGCCATTAGCCAATTTGATCATACTCCATTTTTAGACCGTGACATTTTCGTCAGACAAGATAATCCACCGCCATCATCGAATGGAAGAAGAGATAGATACTCTGATAGAGGTTATGGTAGAGATTTTGGTGGAAGAGGTGGCTATGGAAGAGATTATGACAGAGGCTACGGTGACAGAGGTGGATATAGAAGCAATGACAGAGGCTACGGTGGTGGTTATGGCAGTGGCCGCTTCGATAGAGGTGGCTATGGTGGTGGTCGTGGTGGATATTCTGATAGATATCCTCCAAGAAGAGATGATAGACCTCAACATAAAGGTTATGAAGTTTTTGTTGCAAATTTACCTTTCTCAATCAACTGGCAAGCTTTGAAAGATATCTTCAGAGAATGTGGTACTATAATTCATGCTGATGTCAGACTAGACAATTATGGTAGATCAAGAGGGTTTGGTATTGTTTCTTTTGAAAATAAGGAAGATGTTGATAATGCTATTAAGAGATTTAATGGTTATGAAGTTGAAGGAAGAGCACTTGATGTCCATGAAGGTAAGAACAATGCAGCTCTAAATGAAGGCTCTAGCTTCACCGAACGCCCATCTTCTGTTGTTAACTCTCAATTTACTGAAGGCGTAGTGGGAAATGGTGAAAGAAATGGAACCATTTTTGTTGAGAACCTACCATTTGCAACGTCTAACCAAGATTTATTGGACTTGTTTGACACCGTTGCTCAAGTTGATACCGCTGAAATCAAATTTGATTCTACTGGAAGACCTTCAGGCTCAGCAGTTGTTAAATTTGGAAACGAAGAATCCGCTGAAGCTGCTATTGAAAAGCTGAACGGTTATACCTACGGGGGACGTGAACTTAACATCACATTTGCTAAATTACCATGAAAAGCAATCTGCTGGAAATTCGAAGCATAAAAATTCTGTAACTTTATTGTTTAATTAAAAGAGCGTTTACTTTATTGAATATTCTGTAATTATCTTTAAGACAGTGCCATAATTTTATGACACGCTTGTGGCATATAATTTTCTCGGACCATCTGCAAAAAAAAAAAAAAACACCAAGGGGGTACAGCGTTAACATAACAAAAGCAATAGAACACTTACGTCGTTTGAATACTAAAATGCTTGTTGGTAAATTTCATATAGGGGGTGGTATACTACTTATAATAGTGATATTGATACTTTTCCATTTAAGAGAAAGGTGGTGTATGTGAGAATACATTTTTTCCCCATTGTGTCTTACTAACTTGTTCATTAAAAGTACCAAAACTGAGAGTATGGTTGGGTAAAAGAAGAATCAGGTTAGACGGATATAGTCATCTCCCTTCATTTCAAAGGGACATAGAGAGTGGATTGACCTCTTCAAATTTTGATCTAGTCATGAACAACAGTGGTGATACAAGAAAAGGATTAGATGAAAATGCCAAAAGTAAAATCTTAAAGATAATGGAAGATAACCCAGGACTTTCGTTCGATGAAGCCAGATTGAAGTACACTCGTGAAGAACTCTCTAAAAATCAAATCGGTCCAGATGGTATACCGCTTGATCCTAGAACAGTTACGTTTGGGAAATAAATTTTAATACGTTGGGAGATCAAGATTAAATATTCATTAGTTATTTACAAAATGTCCTTGTGTCTCTATTCCTCCAAAAAATCCAATAGGTCTTTGGAAATAGGTGTACCACTGTCAATGTAAGCAGCAAGATATTTGATTGATGAATATGATCTTGGTAGTGTCTTGTAAGTTTCTGAATTGTTTAGACCTTCTGTTATGATACAAGAATTATCCAAGATTCCGGCAAGATAACCGAAGGATTCATCATTTGCAAGGTTATCTTCATAGATTCTTGAAAGATTAAGCTGGCTTGGAGATTTCCAATCAAGGCTATTAATTTCGAAGTTATCAGTTGAAACATCCTCGTGAAATGATTGAAAGGTTGGTGAAGAATGTATTTCAATGAAATCTTTAGCTTCACTTTCTGGAACTTTTGAAACTGCATTTTGCCTTAACTCATTTTGTGTTTTCGATATATGGTGATCTTCTGCATTGTTCATTTCATTAATTTTTTTGGATACCAAGCTTTCCATCGAGCCAAACTCTGGGAAGTCATTACCAAAACTTTTGGGAGTGTAAAAGATATCTTCATCCTTTTCTTCTGCATTTAAATCCTCTGTTGAGTTGTATCCAACTCGCAGTATAGGTGTTTTGAATTCATCATCTAAAGAATTGAATGTTGGTAGTTTGCGAGACATTATGGGTGTTGAAAATAATTCTTTCTCATTAAGGTCTCTATCATCACTCTTGCTGTCGGGTTCTTTTCTGGTAGGTGGTTCATGTACTTCCGATACAGATTGTTCTGGAGCCGTTACCATAGTTCTGTTTATCTGCAAACCAAAATTTCTTGATGAATTATCTCTAGCAATAAGCCAATTTCCACTTGCATCAGTTTCAATTAAGCTTTTAACATTTGAATGATGATCTAATTCATCATCATCATCAAAAACAGGTGTCATTGAAGATTCAAATGTCACACAATCCTCCATACTATCAACTTCTTCAACTTCACTTTCATTCTCCAAACTACTTAAATCATCTGAACGACTTGAGAATTGCTGAGTTGGAGTCACCACAATCTTTTCTCTCGTGGTATTGTCCAAAGGTAAGGATTCTTTTGACTTAACTTTTTTAGTTGAAAAAATATGGGATAGACGATGCTTCAATTTATTCTTTGGTTTAGATTCACTTTCCTCCTTCAAAATATGATTATTTTTTTTAGTATCTCTGACGTTATCCACAATTTTTGGAAGAGGTTTATTGCAGCTAGAGATCGATGGATTCCTTGATGGAACTTTGGAATATGAAATAGATGATGATCTTTTTTGTGGAACTATGGGGCTCATTCTTTGTTTCATAACACCATTGTGAAGTGTTGATTGCAATAGAGCTGAATTAGAAACCAATGATTTTTCAAAATAGCTGTTGTTTTCAAAACCATGACGCTGAAGCTCTAATGATGATAGTTTCTCCGAAATAAAGCTTGAAAACTCTGAGGAGTTAATAGTGTAGTGCGTTCTCTCCCCTGTTCTTGTAATTCCTTCCACTTTGATTAAATCTTCATCAACAAACCTTGCTGAGAGAGCAGCAAACAACTTATAGTTTTCCAAAACCACTTCATCAACATTTGCATTCAAAAACAAGGCCACTGACGAAGTTGATATTTCACGTGAAAATATTTTGCGCTCATGAGCTGCTGAGTAAATTGTAAAGCCGAATTCAATGTTTTTAAACAGATGGAAGGGGGTTGATTTATTTAAAATTCTGGCCCTGTTCAAAAGATTCACAAATTTAGTGTTATTTTCAACTTTATAAACCAGAGGGTTTTGTGGAGAGTCATTTAATATTATTTTGATGTTATTGTTTCCAAATGTTTCCACTTCAAAATTTCCAATACTTGACCAGCCGATAATCTTCAAATTTGGAATGTTTTTCAAGGGTCTCTCATTCATCAACGAGTTCATCAGAATATCTGACACATGTGGTGTAATTGAATCGGATGTTTGTTTTGTCACTTCATCTTTATCAATTTTGGCAAAAACCACATAATCATTGAAAATAATTATAAGATCATCCTCGTTAGAAACAAGATTGAAAGCATCGAATACCGACACAACTTTTCTATTCAGCCACCCATATGTCAACAATGGTGGGATTCCATCACAAATTTCAGTGAGGACTTTTCCTGAAGGAGTGAAAACTCTTTTAGAGTACGGCTGGAGTTCATCTTTAGCAAATGCATCTATAGTTTCAACAGAATTCTGGTAGTAAGTTTTGACTTGACCATCTTCACCGTTGCTGTCCCAATTCTTTATGTTGATCAACCTTTCTAGAATCATTTTGATTTTAGTCAAATTTAACGATACGTTCATAATGGATTCGATTCTTCTTTCTGAAAATTGAGGTTGAAGTTCAATCGAATATTCACGGCGGAACCCTTTAAGCAGATGGGAAAATGATTTCATTACTGATTCATGGCGCATATAGGCTTTGTAAAAATAAGGAATTGTTGTTCCGCATGCTTTAACAATTTCAAAGCTCCCAAAGGGAACTGCCTTTTGTAGTGCTTCTAAAAGAACACAATTTATTCTTGTTACTTCATCAATAGTTGGAGGGAATATTTGGTTCAATTTGGCAATGTCCAGGCCATTTATATCCCCATTCAAAGCTTTGATTCTCATTGGAATAACGAATTCTTGAAGAAATTCGATTAATACATGTGTTGTGTTTTCTTGAAATTGCACTAGTTCTGAGCAGATTGATTTTGTTAGACCATCATCTGTGTTTTGATTCATAACAGGAGGTTCATAATAAGTTATTTTGTTTTCTGGTGAGTACTCTGTTAACGGATCAAACAAATGTTCGACTTGTTCTCCTAATAAGTACACCAATTCATTATTGGCTTCAATAATATCCGGATCATCGTCGTATATCACATCGAGAACAGTTGATTCAACAAAATGTGGAGTCAAAAATCCCAAATCCATCAGCTTCTGTCCAATTTGAGAAGGGGTTTGATCATTTATCAGCTTCATATTTGAGGCTAGCTCGCCAGCAACGGTTTCATCCCAATATGTTGTACTTGAATTTTTTGTGTTTGAAGGTAAGATATTTCCTGGTAATGAACCATAAGTTTTCAATAGTGTAATAGCCAATGCTCTTCGAACATTCGATTTCTTCAATTCATCTTTCAAATTTTCACAAGCAGCAAAAAATCTTGAATTTTGATCCAAAGTTAACGAGTTGTAACACATTTCACCTAATGATGAGAATAGAACAGTACTAATCTTTTTGGAACTTGGATCCTCGTAAACCATCACTATTATTTGGCCAAGGATGTGGTCAATTCCTGTGAAAAACGCACCTCCAGGTAGTATTTCCATCCATTCATCAGCAGACCTATGATTGTTACTAACATTTGTATAGAGATTGTTGTTTAATTTGACAATGTTGAAGGCAGGCTCTGGAGTGTCACTGTTTCCAGTGTCTTTTGGTTCTTGAATGTTTTTACCAAACAAAAGCTGACTCATTCCTTGTTTGTCACTTCTTAATAATGTATGGTACCAGCAGCTTAGCAGCACCAGTTCGTAGTTGTCGATTGGTTAATGTTCAACTGTTTGTTGTAAATAATCAATCATTTTTGTTTTCATTTTCCAAAAAAACAAAACATTGATCAAAACACTCGTTACTATAGTAACGACAGATTTTCAGATATCGGTAAACGCACACTCCTCGCGAAAATTTGGATTTTTGACGTGTTACGCGACTTGGAGAATCTAAGTACATTTAGGAATTGATATTGATTGATCTATCACATGTATTGAGCATGGTTGACGATACTGCAAGCCATGAGATTGGAATCTACGCAAATCTAAACTCTGATACGTCGTTTAGGCTTATTGAGCTCTCACCAGAACTTTTGGAGATTATTGAAAATGATGAAGAACCAATATTCATAAAAGCATCAAGTGAAGAAAGTGATATAGTACTATGTTCTAAAACTAAAAGTTTTCAAATCAAACAAAGAAATCACTCCAATACAGTAATGCTAATGGATTCTAAGAACAGCTGTGAAGAGGAAAAAGGCGGGTCGTTTTGGGGTTATTCTTCGCAAGCATCAGTTTTTGAATGTAAACCAACTTCAGGTAAGATTGATGTTCGAGGAATTCCAATTTATGATGGACAAGGTAATTTTAAAAAAGGTGGTTTAGAAACTTCACTTGAGTATTTAAGAGAAAATGCCCCGATTTCTGATTTTGAGTTTGACAAAGCATGGTTTAATCTAAATGGGTCTTCTATTAATGGTCAAGCTGTTATTCTATCTCATGATTTCATAACACGTTCATTGCATGTGCTTATTATGTCTATAATGGCATCTAATCTGGATTTCAATGAGCTATCTTTGATAGAAGTTTACAAAACATTGAGTGAAGATGATGATTACACGATTGATGTTGTTGAAACTGTCTTGAGGAAATTTTCTAAAGAAGATAAAGAACCGTTCAGTTTGAATAAAGAAAAGATAGCACAATGGTATGGTATTGAAACGTTAAGAAAATTTGGATCTGAAAAATATATTTCGCCTTCTGAGTTTTTCATCAAATGGAAATCTGAATTTCCTCCCTTTTTTGAGTGTTCAATTGATTTACCGCTGTTAAATGGGTTTTTTGTTAGACCTTTACCTGATAGACTCCAGTACTTATCAAAGTATGAACTGCCGAAAGATATAAATGAAAGACTAAGGATACTGTTCAAGCTACAATCAACATGGGAATTGAATGATATTATCCCATTTATAGAGGAGTTCAACTCTAAAGGGTTGAAGTTTGAGAATTTCATAATGAAATTTGCCAAAAAGAAGAAAGTCGGGAAAAAAATTTACGTTACTCCAAGGTAATCATCTAGTTCTATCAGCATTTGTTTTATACACATCATTACAATAATCTAATTTAATTTTAAATGGTAGCGTCATTAATTATTCATGATTTTTCTTTATGTTTTAGACCTGTGAGTAGGGAACTAACAGTTTCATAGACTCCTAAAAAGATTGCACCACCGGCACTGATCCACATGGTTCTTGGACCAACACCTTTCCAAAAGACTTTGAATCCTTCTTCTTTAAAAATTATCTTTGCAAGATATATCACAGATACTCTTTTTTCATTCAACATTATTCTGGTCTTTAGGACATCTAAAGGAGTTGTTAAAGCAGCAGCAACACCTCCGGCTAAAGAACCACAAAGGGCACCTTGAATTGGGTTAACAGGTGAGTTTTGTTTTGTAGACCAAGTTTTCTTCAACCATTCATACAATGGGAATTGTATGATTGTGAAGGGGATTTCTCTAAGAATAGTTGTACTCCAGCCTCTATAGAAACCCTTAATTAAACCTTCTTTGTTGTCGTTTCTCAAAAGTATTTTGAAAGTATCTAAAGATGAATTTGCAACAGATGTTTGAGTACGTTGTTTTATGACTTCAGCTGGGACTCTCACCAAACAAGCTGAGATCTCACCTAAAGATGCAGAGACCATATGTGTCACTGTTGTTGCTAAATTTTTACTTTTGATGTAGCTTTCACTAACGGGTTGTAATTTGACCTTCATTGTATCATAGGTAACAAAGAATAGAGATGCAGATGGGGCAGATGCAATCAAGGCTGAACCAAGACCTCTATATATACCTTTGTACCCACCATTTTTGAAGAATCCACCTTTAGCCTGAAGCCTTGTTTTGACAGTATCTATTGGGAAAAATGTAAGATCAGTTGAAGTACCAGCAGCAGCACCACTCTAAATATCAGAAGTTGTTAGTAGGTACTAATGAAAAGAAGAGACAGCACAAACCCTAAAAAAACGTAGGACGTGCAATTGAGTTGAGCAAGAGACCATGACATACCAAAAGAGAGATGAAGAAGTCATTTCCAGACATAGCTATGGTGAGTTCTGGGTATCTGGTTTGTAGAATTGAGAAAGGTGTTTTCCAGTAAAGATTTGTATGTAGAGATTCATTCCCGAGATCGATCGCGAGTGGTTGTGTGCCCTGATGAGTCAGATGATTCATTCGGGGAGTAACTACACAGAAGATATGGGCTATCAATAGTAAATTGCGAATGTATCAGAAAATAGGTCATTCTTCCCTTCTCATCAGCTATGACTTGCTACATCTTTATTTGGTTAGATCTTTTAAATGGCTTTACCGTGTTTTAGACGGGTTTAGTGCGCTGCCCAGGGGCGGGCAACCCCTCTGGCTTAGCGTGTGATTATGTCATCGCCAGGCGAGAAATTAGAAGAAACCCAAATCCGATGGCTAATTCATAATCAAATCGATTCGATTTCCCATAATCTTTCTCTTTTTACACTTCAGTTCACTCCTCCATCTGCATTTCAACAAAAGTCGGTGCAAAGTTTCAAACAGAGATTACACACACAAGTCTCAAAGAATTACTCGTTGGTGCTAGCTGATATCTATCAACAGGTGGGAACATTTTATTTGCTGCTTTTTTTAAACCTACTACAAGATATTCAAACAGATCTTTCAGGGAAAAATGCATACCGTTAGAGCTATAATAAAGACTTCAAGACCTTTGGTACAGAAAAGGCTATTGAATAGCTCAGCCGTTAACCCAGCTACAAGTGCTTCTGCGGCGTCTGCTATATCAAACAAGATTAAAGAAGAACTTTCTGCTCCGGGTTCAGATATCATCAAAAATGCATTCAAAGTCAACGAAGCAAATGGTACTAGACCAATCTATCTTGACATGCAAGCCACAACTCCAACTGATCCAAGAGTTTTGGATGTCATGTTGAAGTTTTATACTGGATTATATGGTAACCCACACTCAAATACTCATAGTTATGGTTGGGAAACTGATAAAGAAATTGAAATCGCCAGAAAACATTTAGCTGATTTAATTGGTGCTGATCCAAAGGAAATAATATTCACTAGTGGTGCCACTGAATCAAATAACATGGCAATCAAAGGTGTCCCAAGATTTTACAGTAAAACCAAAAAACATATCATCACTTCAAAAACCGAACATAAATGTATTTTGGATTCTGCAAGACATTTACAAGATGAAGGTTTTGATGTCACATATTTGTCAGTCAATGAAGATGGGTTGATCGATTTGGAAGAGTTGGAAAAATCTATCCGTAAAGATACTGCACTAGTTTCCATTATGGCTGTCAACAATGAAATTGGTGTTATTCAACCGATTGAAGAAATTGGTAAAATATGTCGTAAGCACAAAGTTTTCTTCCATTCTGATTGTGCTCAAGCTGTCGGTAAAATCCCATTGAATGTTAATGATATGAATATTGATTTAATGTCAATTTCCTCTCATAAGATCTATGGTCCTAAAGGTGTTGGTGCTATCTATGTCAGAAGAAGACCAAGAGTAAGATTAGATCCAATTATCACTGGTGGTGGTCAAGAACGTGGGTTAAGATCTGGTACTTTAGCTCCTCCTTTAATTACTGGGTTTGGTGAAGCTTGCAGAATCATCAAAGAAGATATGGAATATGATCAAAAACACATTGAAAAACTATCCAAAAGATTGATGGATGGTTTATTATCAATTGAGCACACCCAATTAAATGGTTCCAAAGAACATAGATACGCTGGTTGTGTTAATGTCTCATTTGCTTATATTGAAGGTGAATCTTTATTAATGGCTTTGAAAGATATTGCTTTAAGTTCAGGTTCTGCTTGTACATCTGCTTCATTGGAACCATCTTATGTTTTGCATGCTTTAGGTGCTGATGATGCCTTGGCTCATTCTTCAATTAGATTTGGTATTGGTAGATTTACCACTGAAGAAGAAATCGATTATGTTGTTAAAGCTATAAATGAACGTGTTGAATTCTTGAGAGAGTTAAGTCCTTTATGGGAAATGGTGAAAGAAGGTATTGACTTGAATACAATTGAATGGTCTGGACATTGATTTATTTTGCAGTGGTTTTCAAAGAAGAATACATCTTCTGAATATGTATATATATAAGAATAACTTGTTTTCTTTTCAGGGTTCTCATTCACTTTCATTATCTAGTTATTGAAATGGTATCTTTTTTTACAATTAACGGTGTAGTTTGTGCTTTATGAGTCAGTAAACCTGTCAAAGTGTAAAGCTTTAAGATCATTTTCTTCCGGTCCGGTCCTGTACCGGTGACTCTTTTTCGCTGGTTGATGATTTGAAAAATCTACGAATCCAAAAAACTTATGACTGAAACCTTTCCAAATTCATTAAGTTTATTTGAACTGTTGTTTCTTAGCTTTCAATTAATCCAAGAAACAAATTGCAGAAAGAAAAAAAAATGAGTGAAAAGACAATTGTTGTTTTACCAGGTGACCACGTTGGTACTGAAATTACTAATGAAGCTATCAAAGTTTTAAAAGCCATTGAAGAAGTTCGTCCAAACGTCAAATTTAACTTTCAACACCATTTAATCGGAGGAGCTGCCATTGATGCTACTGGTGTTCCATTACCTGATGAAGCTTTAGAAGCTTCTAAAAAGGCTGACGCTGTTTTATTAGGTGCTGTTGGTGGTCCAAAATGGGGAACTGGTGCTGTCAGACCAGAACAAGGTTTATTGAAAATTAGAAAAGAATTAAACCTTTATGCTAATCTAAGACCTTGTAATTTTGCAAGTGAATCTTTATTAGAACTATCACCAATCAAAGCTGAATTTGCAAAAGGTACTGACTTCACCGTTGTTAGAGAATTAGTTGGTGGTATCTATTTTGGTGAAAGAAAAGAAGATGACGGTTCTGGTGTTGCTTCAGATACTGAAACTTACTCGGTTCCAGAAGTTCAAAGAATCACTAGAATGGCTGCATTCATGGCGTTACAACATAACCCACCTTTACCAATCTGGTCATTAGATAAAGCTAATGTTTTAGCATCATCAAGATTATGGAGAAAAACTGTTACTGAAACAATTGAAAAGGAATTCCCACAATTGACTGTTCAACATCAATTGATTGACTCCGCTGCTATGATTCTGATCAAATCACCAACCACTTTGAATGGTATAGTTATTACTTCAAACATGTTTGGTGATATTATTTCCGATGAAGCATCCGTTATCCCAGGTTCATTAGGTTTATTACCATCAGCTTCTTTAGCTTCTTTACCTGATACAAACAAAGCTTTTGGTTTATATGAACCTTGTCACGGTTCTGCCCCAGATTTGGCTGCTAATAAAGTCAATCCAATTGCAACCATTCTTTCAGCTGCTATGATGTTGAAGCTTTCATTAGATTTATTCGAAGAAGGTGTTGCTCTTGAAAAAGCTGTTAAAGAAGTTTTGGATGCCGGTGTTAGAACTGGTGATTTAAGAGGTTCAAACTCAACAAAGGAAGTTGGTGATGCTGTTGTTGAAGCTGTTAAAAGAATTCTTAAAAATTAAGAAACTTATCATTACTGGTTTGATGATAAATTAAAGATACATTTTCAGTAAAAAAAGCGAATAATGAATGAATGTGGACATAGATAAATACAAATGTAGACCTTCTAACGTAACTATTTTAATTAAATTTCAAATGCACGAGTAAGGCTAATATACACAACTTTTTTGAAGAGATCTAGATGAAAGTAAAGCAAAGACCTCAATTTTGCTGAGCAACAAATTCATCAATATCAATTTCCAAGATTGGAGCAGATCCACTGTTTGAGAAAGTTTTATTTTGTTTTTTAGCTTCTCTTTTTTCTAATTTTTTCAATTTAGCTAAAGGACCATAACCAACTATATCATGGTTTAATTCAAATGGATTCAAAAAATATGAAACAGTTTTGAAATTTTCACCTAATGAAACAATTTCATGGATGATATCTTCAATACAAATGATACCTTCATCTCCTAATCTTTCTTCAACAACATTGTTATCATTTAATTTAACTGATTTAACTTGATCTGATTCCTGATCTTTAACATTGATGGTTGCTCTCTTTTGGATTAATTGTCTAACAGATTGTAATGATGGTTTACCAATAACAGTGTATGGAGAAATCAATTTGATTAATGGATAGATGCTTTCAGTTAATTTGATGAAAACACCTGTATTTATATGGTTTAATCTCAAAAGGTTCAATATTTTATGAACTTTTGTTGGAATTTTAACACCATGAGGTCCACTTATTCTAACAATGAAATATAAAGTTGGTTTACCACTGTATAACTCTTTTGATTTGACACCTTCTGGATTCAATTTTTCAATATACTGTCTATTTTGACTATCACTGATAGCGTTAACTCTTTCGATCTTGGAAACTCTTTTGATTCTTTCAGATTCCCTTTTAGTAGCTAAACTTTTTGCAACTAAAGTTTCAGCTCTAACAAATTTTTGTTTTCTTTGATTTTTCTTTCTTGAGATTTCTTCTTGTCTCTTTCTAGCATTTTCTTGCTTTTCGATTCTTAATCTATCAGCATTCTTTCTCTTACGTAAAAGGATTTCTGGGTTTGAGTTTAGTTCAGACATTATTCTTGTGGTCTTTATTGTTTCAATAGTGAAGACTATTATGTCTACGCTTCTCATCTCTATAAAATTTTTTTTTCTGACATCTCTAAAAGAAAAAAAAAAATATTCGCTATGGCCACTCTCTGATGATTATCAAAGCATTTTCGCGAACGATTTTCCAAACGAAGAAAAAAAATTTGTTCAACCCCTTCAAAAAGCTTGAGGATCTGAACAAATTTTGAGCTACTGTTGAATATGTTTCCAGAAAAAATATGAAGTAGTTACTTATATGCTTTATAGGTTCTTTATTAAGAAGAAGGAGAAGACATCCCCTATAGAGTTGGCTCCCCTTCCCGTTGCGTGCACACTAGAGAAAGGATTTACTCAAAGTGCATGTTCTAATCAAGCCAATATATACTTCACCAATGCTTTTACTAATACTAAAAAAGAACACAAACTTCATGAAAGACTTATTCAATTGTTTTTTGGCTCATAACCTCAACAGGTCGGGTTCGTGAGCTCTATGCTAACAACGTCCAATTATTTATCAAATTCTTATTACAATGGACCTGATCTAAAATTTCTTCAATTTTTCAACCATCCAAACTGGAACCATTCTAGCAGTTCAAACTCCTTTATACTATTTCTTGTATGCTTAGATTCAATAAATTCTACGCATTTGGAATGCTGATTATATAATGGGTTATATAATCATTGTTTCCAACCTGGTGGAAGCGTTAAAAGTTTCACATATTTTCTCCCTGTTCTCGTTTAGAGATATTTTTACTATAGATTATCTGTTGGAACTGAGTATCATGAAGCTATTCACGTTTTTGCTTTTAATCTCCTTTGTTTTCGTTAGTCTTGTGTGTTTTTCAACGGTAATTTGGAATCGGTGATTATCGCCTAGGCAACGACTTCTTCAATTTAGTCTCAAAATGGTAATGGTTTTGATTCAATGCTTGGGCTGTTTCTATCGCCCTAAACTGCGTCTGATATTCTCATTTACCAAAATGTTGTAGTCTCTAATGCGTAATGGCAGTTGAGCAACCCCGGGAATCTTACACTGTATTTGAGCCATGAAATATTAATTTCGTTCATCTGACGTGTAATCTAATTTCCGACCGATAAAACGGAAAGCGAGCACGTCGTTGTAACAAATTAGTGCCTCTTAGTGCTTGCTAGAGAATATAGAACGATAAGCTAAGTAGAATAGTGAATTGCTGCCGATTTGCTAGCTTACTTCTTTTATGGAAATGTATGGCTTTCATGGTTCTCGCCATGTCTTCAGGTTTGATATCAAACCCGATTTTCATTGGTGTAGCCTTTCTACAGCTTTGGGGTCGAGATTGCAAGCTTCTCACGTCTCAAGAATCAAACATTGACCCATCAGCACTGGCTCATCGGCTATAGAAGTACTGTCCTCGAGCTATACTCTCCAATTAAGCAAGTCCGCTAGCCAATACGTGGATCTGTTGACAATTGTTTCATCTTTTCATTTTTTCACAACGGGATTCTCAAACCTGAAAAATTCGTGGCCAAGGAGAAAAAAAGCCAAAAAAAACTTGAGACTCTGATTTCTACCACTCAACTTGACCAATCTTTGTCTGGAGCATTTGGATATCGAGTACTTATCCGCAACCAGCTGAACCCTTTCTCCATCTGGCTGCAAGAGATTTTCTTCGCAATCTTTCACTTACAAGAATAATTGTCGTTACACTACCTGTTTCAAAGCAGTCACTACAGTTTATCGAGAGAGGAGATACCACACATCCCTGGTACTATATCCAATTGCACAAGCAACGCCATTAGAAGCACGTATCATTGGACAGACTCAGTCTTCAGCATAGAAACACCAGCTTTGCAGATTTTAATAACCAAACCATTCCAAAAATTTGACGCTGTCTTTCTCTTGCAGCATCTTTCTTATATTGTGTTTTAGTATCTGTTGGAACCGGGGTTGACGACGAGGATGTATTGCTTATTTCAACAGCTCTCACTTGAGCAGCAACTTCTTCTAATGGCAAATCCAATGATCTATAAGCAAGATTTTTCAGCTCCACAGCATTATCATCACCCATGAAGTCATTTCTCTTTTGCCTTTTACGTTGGGAATCAGGTGTAGCTATTGGAGTCATTCCATGTTTTGGAAGGGCCGAAGCAGAAAGTGGAAGTGATGGGGCACCCATTGTCCTTTGAGGAGTTTGAAATTGGTGAGAAGGCAAGTGATTCAATTCTTGTGGAACAGAATGTAATTGAGGAATCTGACCGTTGGGAAGTGGGCCAGGGGGAAGGTGGTGAATAGGCTGTTGTTGTTGATGATGTTGATAGTACTGGTTTTGAACCGCTTGAACATAAGCAGCTTGTTGTTGATATTGGAACTGTTGAAGAGCGGTACCCGAAGGGAATGAAGACACTATCACAGGAAGATGGCTACCGTATTGAGAAGGCATTGATGAGTTTATAGGTCCTGGTAATGTTGGTGTATCACTCTTTGAGAATTGTTGATTTGAAGCATGAGGCTGATGATCATCTTGTTGACCTTGCTCTTGACTTTCCACCTGAGCGTCAGAGCGAGACTGACTCTCGTTACTCATAGTGAATGGGATGAACTGATGGAAAGGTATAAGTCAACTATGTAGCTTCAGTTTACTTATTGAATTGAATGTGATTGTTGAATAAGATCAAAACTTTCTCAAATCCATAAAGATTTGACGCCCACCAAAAATAGACACAAACTTGACCTAATCGTGGACGTTGAAAAACTTGAAATTGGTAATTTCTGATGAGTAACTCGACAAGCGCCCTATTTCAAGATGGCAATAACTGTGATCCAAAGGTTGAGCTTTGTGGTTTGTTGTCACTTTGGTTTCGATGGGATCTTTGTAAAAAAAAATTGTTCTTCAAAGAAAAAAAAAACGTCTTTGTGGTATCTGAGGGCTCACAAATCAAGGCACACAACGACAGCGAAATGGGCAACAACGAGGAATCAGCCGCTGAACAAAATTGAAGATGTGAATCTAAGAACTCTGCTGTCGTTCCTAGAAATAGGGTTTACGCTCGTTATGTTGGAATTTGTGCTGATAATGGTCTAAAACCACTTTCACCTGCTTCATTTGGTAAATTAGTTCGTGTTGTTTTCCCAAACTTAACCACGCGTCGTCTTGGTATGAGAGGTCAATCAAAATATCATTATTGTGGGATAAAATTACTTGGAGATAATAATCAACCATCACCAAGTGTCTCTAGTGCTAGTACACCATTACACAACCCATCTTTTGACTCCTCCTTCCTTCCAGGAACACCATATGAATCCAATAGTCCTAATTCTTTCCATTCTCAGGCTTCCACTCCTTTACCTTCAAATTCAACAGCAAGTACACATGTCACAGTCATTAGCTCGTTTATAAATGATCATGTGGCACCAGATCTCAAGTTTGTTCCAGATTTGTTGCAATCTATCAATAATCAAAATACTGATCTAGATTCACCATTGATGTTGCCAAACTTAAAACCATTCCTACCACCATCCACTGACCTGGATATTGCTGATACCCTCTATGGTTTATATAAGGCACATTGTACGTCAGTCTTTGAATCATTGAGATATATGCAATTGAAAAAATTATTTTCTTTGTTATCATCTTTCCATGGGACACTTACTGCTCCGGTTTTGAAGCTTTATGTTTCCTCTTCACTGCATCCTTGGGTTATTGCATCAGATTCGGTTATGTACAAGGCTATTATCAAGATGCTTGCAAATTTGGCTCTGCAAGAAATACCAACGCATGTTTTACAACAATTGAAGCAAGTTGCACAAAACTATACAGAAAAGCTTTCAATTTCTATTCAACATCTTCCAGTTAAACTTGTGGTTTCCAAATTGAAGCTAGGTAAAGAGTTTTGCCAACTTATTTCAAGATTAATAAGAGTTGCTGAAACGGCACAATCTGCCAACAAAGTGCTTTCTCATGATTTTGATAGAGATTTGATGGAAAAAGACTGGATTAAATACGTTGATATTGATTTGATTGCATCAAAGGAATTACCATGTGAAGGTGATAATTTGAAGAAGGCAATTGAAATTTTGAAAGTTAAAGTACCAAAATTGTTGAAGAATCAAGATAATTCTAAGGAGTTAATCATCAATGAGTGGGCAAATTTCATTGCAGAACTTCCTCAACAGTTTAAGGAGGTTCCACCAAGGCTATTTTTGCTTTGTATTTCAGCACTTTTGACTAGTGCGCTACGTGAAATTTCATTAGCTGGTGGTGCAGGTTTTGGTGCTTGGTGGGTGGTTAGATGTTGGGTAGATGAATGGGTTGGGTGGTGCGCTGAACTTGGTGGTTTTGTTTCACATCAACCATTCGATATAACTGTTGAAGAAAGAAGATCGTCTATCAGTGATAAGGAAAAAGTCAATGGAAAGCAAGATAATAATAAGGCTAATGAAGAGTCTGAAGTCCCTGTTGATCTTCTGGATGGTCAGTTTGGAGAAAATAGAGAAGTGCTGAACGTTTCAGAGGAAGGAAAAGAGAGTAATGGGGAGCCAGAAAAAATTTAAAGAATATTTAAATGAAATTATTGAAATGCTAGCTTTAGTAGTGTTTTGAGAAATGATGAAGAGAAAAGAATAAAAAAAAAGAATTATTATAATGATAAAGAGAAGATAAAATATTTGAATTTAAAAGAAAGGTTTGTAATATATTGTTATATTTTTGAAAAGTTATTGAAAACAAGTGTGAATAGAGCTGGTTTACATTCTATCAAACTTGTGTACACATTTGGAAAGTTTCAAGATTTCCATTTTTGCATAGTTTTTTGGTATTTTTTTTATATCATTTGGTAACGATTTGGATTTATACCTTGTTCTTATCGGAGATTTACTGAGATGAATTTTAAGGTGGATACTAGTTACGATTTTACATTCTCACTTAATGATAGTTATATTTAAGATCTTGATGTAGACCTTCAAATCATCATGAAGATGGTCAACGCACAGTTAGTTCGGGAAAAAAAAAAAATTAGGTAGTGAAAAAAAAAAATATCGTGAAAGGTAGTTGAACTAAGCTACAAAACTTCAGCCAAATTTTATTCTAAAATGTCTTCAAAGGAGGAGAATTATACGGAATCTGACTTGAGGGGTCTTATTTCATCGTTCCGTGAAGGTCTTGAACTATACCAAACCACATTGAGCTCGGCAGATGCTATTTCCAAAGTAAAATCATCAAATGTTGAAGAGCCAGATCAAGAACTTCTAAAGATAAGTAAGCTCTTGTTTGCACATGCAACAAAATTGGGTATAGTTTTCAAACCTCAAGTCTCTACAAATGCAGCTTATAAACAAATGAAAGAGACGTCGGCAGTTTTCTTATTATTAATTTCATTAATCGGACAGATAAAGCCAGACGTTTATAGTGAAATATTTTACATTGAAGTTATTGAGACTATTAAAAAAATAATATCATCTCATATTTTATTTCTTAATGAAGTTGAAGAGTTGGATTTCAATAAACCAGCTGGTGAAGATGATGACACAAAAACAACAGAAGGTAGATTGGTTTCCGTGGGGATGATATGGGATAATTGTAAAGCATTAGATGAATTAGTGAAGGGGGGAAAACTAGGATTATTGAACAAAAAATTGAAAGAGTCTATTGGCCTTATTGATGATGCTATAAGTGAATTTTCCGAGTGGGTTGAAGATCCAACCGTTGTTGACGATGAAGATCCATTTGGGTTGGATAGTGATTTTTCAGATGATGAAAAAGAGGAAAAAGAAACACCTGAAATAGATCCACAAACTCTAGAATTTGCACAAAAATGGTTATCAAAAGTTAAACTTGTTAAGCTGTTGATTTCTTCACTTTCAAAATCATTACCTTCCAATAATTCACAAATTTCCGGTAAAGAAACTGATGAAGTTAATTCGCAACAAAATGGTATAATAGAACAAGTTGATGAATTATTATCCACATTTTTCATGAATGGTTCATTATTTGAATTGAAAGCTTTAAGTAGGACAATTGAGAAACAATGTCTTGATATAATAGAGTTTGTTAAAGGATTGAACAAACAAGATGAAAAGAAGACTCAATGGCTTACAATTTGGTCAGATAAATTCATTCAATAAATTTCTTTTACAATTGTCTCATTAATACACTTGTAGTTTTTTTTCACCATTCTTCACCATCACTTTCGTCATCACTCTTGGATACTTTAGTCTTTCTTTTATTCAATGCAACAGCTAATGCATCAGCCAATGAACCACCGCCACCACCTGGAGTTGATGTGGATGGAGGTGGTGCTTCACCTTTTTGTTCTTGTAAAATGACTGAAGGTTTCTCAAGTTGAGATTTATCGGTTTTACGTAAAGATCCTATACCAGCACCCCTGATTGATGATAATAGTGCATCTCTACCAGAATCCACTTGTGGTAATGGTGCAGTTGGACCTCCTTCATTTCCTTGAGGTAACGGTGGAGGTGGAGGTGCTGCTGATGATGATGATGCTTGTGTAGGTACAGGTGGTGGTGGTGGTGGACCTCCCGAAGTTTGTTGAGGTGGTAATGGAGGTGGAGCAGGAGCAGATGTTTGTTGTTGAGGAAGAGGTGGAGCAATTGGGGCAGCTGAAGGCTGTTGGAAATGCTGTTGTGGTTGTTGTGGAGGTGGTGGTGACGGTATTGATGAAAATTGTTGTTGTTGCTGTTGACGAGGTGGAGCTTGAGGCGGTTGAATAGGTTGTCTCCTTGGTGGAGGTGCTGGGGGTGGTGCTCCAGTTGATCTTGAAGGTGGTGCTGGAGGTGGTGCTCCAGATCTTCTTGGTGGTGGTGCTGGAGGTGGACCTCTTCCTTGTTGAATTGGAGGTGTAGATGGTTGGCCAAATCTTTGAGGAGGAGCTGGTGGTGCTGGTGAAGAAGAAAATCCAGCACGAGGAGGAGCTGGTGGTGGAGCACCAGTGCGATTTGGAGGTAATGGAGGAGTTGGTCGGTTTCCTGCTGGTAATGGTGGTGGTACTGGACGATTTCCTGTTGGTAATGGGGGTGTTGGTCTTCCAGTTTGAGGAGGAAATGGTGGAGGAACTTGTGATGGTGATGAAGCTGCTGGGGGTGGTGGTGGGACATTGTGTTGTTGTTGATTTAAAAGAGGTGGTGGGACTCTATGCACAGGCTGAGATGAAGCAAGAGGTTCAGGTGTTTCTTGTGGGCTTTGTGAAGATTCAACTTCTGATGCTTGAGGTATTGATGAGGCAATACTTGTTGATCTTGAACGAGCAGAAGCAGCAGTAGGTGTTGCAGGACCTGATGGAGAATAAGAAGATGTTGCACCTGGTGGAGGTGGTGGAGGTGCTTTCTTTTTCGTTGAATATGAATGGGATAAGGTTGGTGTTTGTTCAGGTTGTTGTTTCCGTTGAAGATATTTTCTAGGAATTGGAGGTTCTAACCCAACTAATGGACCACCTTGTTTATTGATGTAGTCTTTTATGAATTCCTTATTATCAGCAATCATATCTTCTGTGATACCGGCACTTTCCAATTCAGCGTATAGAGTTCTCCATTCTGGAGGTGGGAGATCATCATAATATTGCACATGAGTTGTTCTTCTAATTCTCTGTTCGCCAGTACTTGTAAATTCACCTCTTGGACCTGGCGCTCTTGGAGCTTCTGGTTTTCTTTGTAGGGCAATTGCATTCTTATTTTGAACTGTTTTCTTTGAACCATGTTTTTCTCTCGATGTGACTCTTTTGAAGAAGTGAGACGCATCACTTGTATCATCAAATAATAAACCAGCTAAACAGTCTTCGGTCTCAAATGTATGGAAAAATGAACGATCTTGATTATATTGAAAGTCGAGGTACAGTTCTTGATCCCAAAGGACTCCCCTATGGCCATTGATGTCAACTAATTTCAAAAAGAATGTATGACCAACTAAATCATCAACCAAAATTATAGCACCAGATAAACCTGTATATGTCCACTCATTTGTGTCAGGATAAGCGATGTACAATCTAGCCACGGTGGCATCAATCACCTTGTTCGATCCCTTGGGAACAACTCTTTTCACCTTCTCTTTATCGGCTGATATCAGCGTCATTTTATTTAATTGGAAATAGTTGTTTCGATGAAGGATGTTGATGTTGTTCAAAGGAGACTTGGTAAAACTCGATTTTTGATAAATTTCGTTAGCCGGTAAGGCCACTCCACTATAAGCTAAACTACGAAATTGCAAATTAAATTACATGGTTCATTATAATTCTAGCTATTGTACAGATTCAATCCTGATCAAATTCAAACATCGTTCAATGCCACACAGACAGCCCCCTTGTGGTGGCCGTTATACTGTCTCACGGTCTCACTGGTGGACAAATCCCATAATCTAACGTAATGATCGGAACAAGCAGTAACCAAATAGGCAGAATCAGCACTAAAAGCACAATCCCATACCCAGCGTTGGTGTCCTTGTAACGTTGTCTCCAGTGAAAACCCATCTTCAACATTCCATATCCTTGCCGTGTGGTCTGCAGAACAAGTTGATAAATGCTTAACATCTGAACTCAACAACACTCTTGTAATGTATTTGGAATGCGATCTAAACTTTGTGACGGGTTGTAAAGAGGTTGAATCCTTTTGGTTTGACATCTTCCACACGTAACAGTTCCCTTTGTTATTGCCTGCAACCAACATGGAACCATCACTAGCAACAGAGACGGAATGGACTGGAACGTCATCCTCAGGGATCAATTGGTGAGTACATTGGTTCTCTCCAAGATCCCATATTCTCACATTCCCATCTTGATCACAACTGATCAATTCACCTTGGTTTGGATGGATCACTACCTCGTTAACTGGGCAGTTGTGCTTGTAGTTTCTTTGCACTGAAGGCGCTCTAACGTCCCACACTTTCACCGTACCGTCTTCAGAGGACGATACCATCCACTTGTTGTCTGACTGGAACGCTATACTGGTGACATTGTTCGTGTGTCCTTCAAAGGACGTGACTGGGTTTGGGTTTGTAGTTCTGATGTCGTAGAGCCTAACGTGTAGATGGCCAGCAGCAGCTAGGAAGCGCTTGTCAGAGGTGATCTCTAGCCTGTTCACCTGGGAGTCAGCGTGCTGGATGGTTCTTGAGCACACGCCGGTGAGGGCCTCCCAGAACCTGATCGTGTGGTCGTAGCCGGCAGAAGCTAGGATCACAGACATGGCTTCTTGTAGTGTATCTTCTTGTAATCTATAAGGTGTTGATGGAAGCTTCCAGAATCTTCGTGAAAAAACTAGCTCAGCATAGGTTGCGCAGCCCTGGCCGTCCATAACAAAAGACTTAAATCATCGACAGTTCCTAGACTTTTCACTTTCTTTGTACCTCTTCACCAATAATCACAATTACACAATGGTTAAAGATACAAAGCTATACGATCTATTGAGTGTCTCTCCTAGTGCCAATGAAAATGAAATCAAAAAAGCTTATAGAAAAGCTGCTTTAAAATATCATCCTGATAAGCCTACTGGTGATACTGAGAAATTCAAGGAAATTTCAGAAGCTTTTGACATCTTGTCTGATCAAGACAAGAGAACCCTATATGACCAATACGGGCTTGAAGCTGCTAGACGTGGTGGTCCACAATTTGACCCAGGCTCTGCAGGCGCTGGTGGAAATCCTTTCGCTGGTGGACAACATCCATTTGGTGGAGGTTTCTCTGCTGGTGATGCTTCAAACATTTTTGAACAATTCGCTAGATCTGGTGGAATGGGCGACGATGCTGGTGGATTCCATTTCAGTTCTAGTGGTTTTGATGGATTTGGCGGTGGTTCCCCATTTGGTGGGTTCGGTGGTATGCCTGGTGGATTCTCAAGTGGTGGTGCTGGTGGTAGAGCTAGTCGCCCAGAACCTGAAACAGCTCAAATTAAATTACCTGTTTCTTTAGAAGATTTAGCTAAAGGTACCACTAAAAAGATGAAATTGAATCGTAAAGGTAGAAATGGTGAAAAAGAAGAAAAAATCATGAATATAACAATTAAACCTGGTTGGAAAGAAGGAACAAAGATCAATTTCAAGAATGAAGGTGATTATACCCCATATGGTCGTCAAACCGTTCAATTCATCCTACAAGAAAAGGCACATCCTCATTTCAAAAGAGAAGATAATGATTTGATATACACATTACCATTAACATTCAAAGAATCCCTATTAGGTTTTGATAAAGTGATAGAAAGTGTTGACGGAAGAAAAATACCATTCAGTAGAAGCTCCCCAGTACAACCCTCATCAGAAAGCGTATACCCAGGTCTAGGTATGCCAATATCCAAATCCCCAGGTCAAAGAGGTGATTTGAAAATTAAATTTAAAATTGATTATCCAATTTCATTAACACCTCAACAAAAACAAGCTATCAGAGAAAACTTTTGAAATTAAATTATTATAGATGATAACTGTTTTTTTAATGAATCACCTTTTTTTTTTGTCTTTAATGAGCTGGGTCTTGTGTTTGTTCTTTTGTTGTTTATTCTTCCGTTGAATTTGTACATTTAAATAAATAGTTATTAATAAATCGATGCATATAGAGATTCTTTTTTTGATCTTAGTAGTAGCTACATTTATCTTCAAAATACTCATTATATAGATATTAAAAATACAAAATATTCACAAAAATATGTGTGCTGTTTAAAAAAAATAACTTGAGATGCAAAATACTCCCAAGAAATGAACAATCAACTCAATCATTTCTTAGCTTTCTTCTTTTTTTCTTCACCTTCTTCATCTTCATCATCAGCTTTTCTCTTTTTTTCCTTCTTTTCCTTCTTGTCTTTCTTTTCCTTCTTATCTTTCTTTTCCTTTTTATCCTTTTTTTCCTTCTTGTCCTTCTTTGATGGAGTTTCAGTAACATCAGCAACAGAAACATCAGCAACAGAAGCAGCTGGAGAATCAGTCATTTCAACTTCTTTGATCAATGGTTTTGGAGTAGCAGCAGTTGAAGTTGGTGCTGGTGGTTGATCATTTTCATGACTAACATAGTTTGATTTCCAATCAGTTGGAGTGTTTTCATTTATACGACCATATTTATCTAATTTACCATCAGCCTTTAATTGTTTTTTCTTTTGTGCAACTGGACCAAGACCCCATCTTCTTGGGTATAGATCTCTTTCCATAATACATCTTTTAACTTTAGCAACAACACCATGATCACATGAAGCTAAATCAACAGTTGACATTTGAGAAATACCAATGGCAATAGCTTCACCTTTAGTGGTGATTAAAACAACTTCATCATATAATTCAATACCTTCTTCATATCTTAATAAACCTGGAATCATTAATTTAGCACCATAACAAACGGCATTAACAGCTGAATCTTTAACAACAATTCTTTTGTAGCCTAATAATAAACCTTCTAATGGTTGAATAATTCTTCTTAAATAGGATTCATCTCCAGTGTTATCATAACTCCATTGAGCATCTAAAACATCATGTAAAGTAACCAAGTTATCATTTTCTGATAAAGCACCAGATCTAACACGACGCAATTCTTGCATATGACCACCAACACCTAACAACATACCAAGATGGACACATAAAGTACGCATATAAGTACCAGCTTCACATGAAGCCCAGAAAACACCAAGACCTCTTTTGTTATCAAATTCAATCAATTTAGAATCATAGATAGTACGAACACGCAATTGACGTTTAACAGCAGAAATTAAAGGTGGTCTTTGGAATAAAGCACCAGTCAAGTTTTCTAATGATCTTCCTAATTCTTTTTCATCTTTTAAAGCATCATGTAATCTAACAATACAAACATACTCTTTACCTGCACCTTGTTGAGATTTAACTAATCTTGTAGCTCTATCAATACAAACAATTAAACAACCAGTAACTTTTGGATCTAAAGTACCAGAATGACCAGTTTTTTCACAACGTAAGATACGTTTAATCCAAGCAACAACTTCATGGGATGATGGATTAGATGGTTTATCTAAATTAATGACACCTGAACTTATGTATGATTTTAAATCTCTTTTCAATGGTGATGAACCTGCTGGAATTGGGGTATAATGACCACTTCTAACCAATAGCTTATCAAAGTTTTTCAACAATAATGGCCATTCAGAAGCATCTTGAGAGGCTGAAACGTTTTCAGGTTTGATGAACTGTTCTTCAGACATGGTTGTATTCCTGATAACTTTTGATATAACCTTAGCTCTAAACTCATCTCTTCTCTTTTCAAAAAAATTTTTATGTATTTTTTTTTCAGTTTTTTTTTTACCCGGTGGATGGCCTGAGAAATAATTTCAGATACCTAAAACGGTAGTATTACTACTTTTGGTGGCTAAATGGTCTACAAATTGTATGATGCAAATTATCTATAATAGTGCACTATGGACCATTGGTGAGGTCTAGATTTATAAGCCTGGCTATTTTTGCTATCAAGGCTTTCTTCATGAATTGCTCACGTGCTAAATTTCTTGTGTGCTAATGGTTTATGTTAGTTGCCTATTTTTTTTGTGTCAAGTCAAATTGCAAAAGTTACTCACTTTAGTAAAGCTATTTAAAGAAATATTTCCGTTGTCATGAGCTTTTCCCAGTGCATATATAGTATCAGAGATGGCTTGTTCTTCTGCAACGAGATCATAAAGTCTTGGGGATGTTAGTCACTTATTAAAAGAATTGAAGCATATTTACTTACTGATTGAAAACAACAGTCTCTCCACATATAATCTCATCAACGTTGATTTCACCATGAGAATTGGCATTTTGTATAGTGCTATCAGCATTCATTATTGAATTTTTCAAGATTTGTTCATTTTCTTTTAATTGTTGACTTGTTTTTTCTAAATTATGAAACTCATATTGGAAAATCTTATCAAATTTACCAATCGAATATTTGATTTTGTTAATATTAGAATTCATTTTATGAATATCTTCACCGATCTCAAATTGATTTATATGTTGTAATAAATTCTCCAATTGTGATAAAAGCTGAACTCTTTCTGTATTATCATTATTTGTAAAACTGGAATCATTATCCATTATATTAGGTTGTTCAAACATTTGACGTTGAGGAATTTGTTGAGCAGGTCTTTGTTGTATAGCTAAATGATTCATTCTATTCAATGTTGGGGATGCAATGGTTTTTGACCTCAACTCTTCAGGTAACGGTGGTAGCGGTGGTGGGCTTAATGGTGTAGCAGACCCTGATTGAGCAAGATTTGGTACCACTTTTGGGGGTAATGCAGGAGCAGGTGATGGTTTTGGTTGTAGATTTTGCTGTATTATTGGGGGAGTTTGTGTTTTAGTAGTTGGCTTAGCAAAAACTGGTGGTTCGTTACTAAATATTCTTGATAATTCTTCACATACTTTGATGATATGTGATTGGTTTCCATCTTGATTCTGGCCCCAATTTGCAAGATAAGGCGAATAGCACCTTCCACTATTATCAACATGGTTCCCTGGCTGTAGGGTCATCTTTTCAGTGGGAACAACATACACGAAAGGAGCAGCAATTGGATATTCATGAGGAATCCATAATTCGATTGGGATCTTGTAAACTCTACCCCCTATTGGTGAAGGTAGTGAACCATAAAGGCAGAGCAGTAATTGAGATTCGCCAGTTTCCGATGTGTATACTCTAGTTCTTGGTTTCAATGAAGGATATGATTGTAATGTTATAGCAACGTCATGATAAGCTACTCTTGGGTCAATGTATTCCTTAATTTATAATGTTAAAGGGATACTAGGAGGAAATGCTAAAGCAAATACTTACTGGTTGAAGCACTCTGAATAGCCATTGGAGTAACTCAGACGGTAATCCAGCTTGATTCATTCTGGCACAGCTGAGAAAGATCTGGTTTCCAGCATCAAAAGTTTCAATCACAAGTTGATGATTTCGTTGATTTTGATAATGGTGCTGCAATTCTCTTTGTTGGGCCACGCATTTTTAAGGGAAAATCGAGAAAATGGAATCCAAAACTTGAATTTGAAAACAGCCATTTGGGATCTTTATATTCAGATTGAGGAAAGCCAGAACTTTCATAGTCATTTAATAGAATAGAACTGAAACTATGAGTGGGTAGGTACATTGTCAATTGAAGAGGATTGGGGATTTGGAGCCTTGCTTTGTTGGTGCTTACGAACTATTTTCAAGAGACCGATAGAGAGAGGAATTCCAAAACCAATCACTTTGTTCCCAACAAAAAAGCTCAATACTAATCATAGTCAATTAGATACAATGTTATAATAGCCCTATTTGCTGTTGTTGCTGTTTCAGTTGTTTTCTGGATATTTGCACCAAAAGAGAATCAAACGTGAGTTGCATTGATAAGGCTTTCAACTTTAAAAGGACAAAAACTAATACATCAAAAACAGAGTCTGGAGAAGTACTGTGATCTTAACATTAGCCATGTGTTACTTGATGTGGGCAATTACATATCTAGGTGAGTAAAAACAATGACACTTTATCTTTTCGCTGGGGACTAACATTTTTAGCACAATTACATCCATTAGTTGTACCTCGTCGTTCAGATTTAAGACCAGAGTTTGCAGATTAGTGTTCAAAAATATAATATCAATCAATTCATTTGAGTACTGTCCCATTAATGTAAATTTATAAAGATTTTTTTTCATGTTTTTTTGATGTATAAAACTATTTGTTAATTTAACTTTTTTCTCACCAAAAAAAAAATAAGTTTTACCCAACCAAAATGAAATATAACTACACTAGATATATCCCAGCATCGTAATTAACATGAAATAAAGCTATTGGAGCCAAAAATGCGCAAAAAAACGGCAAAAAAAAATGATCTCCGCGACGGGGAATTGAACCCCGGTCTACCATGTACTGTCTAAACGACAAACGGTGATTCTAGCCACTAAACTATCACGGATTTTCGAAAATTTTTATTTTTGGAGATTACCTGGAGGTGTAGTAAATTGCTTATGTAATCAAAATTTAAGTATACATTATTTGACTTATTGATAACGGTTAAGTCATAAATTGAATTTCATTCTGCAATGAATCTCATTATTATCTGACCTGTATATTAGGCCAGCGGTCCTATCTCCTGAGGCGCTCTTTTAAATATTTTTTAATTTTTTTCATTAATTAATGTATTTTAGCTTGTAATGTACAGTATATCATATAATATTACAGATGAGCAAGATATAGAATTTACTTATATTAATAGTACGTTGTTTTTATTCTGATTTACCAGCTAAAACTCTTACAATAACTTGGTCATAGAATGAGTCTCCAGTGATTTATTTTAGCATTTTATTAACACACATTGGATATTTTTTTTTTTTTTTTTTTTTTTAATGTATCTGATGTGGATAAATTATTGAAAAAATTAAAGAAAATTAAGAAACTAGAAGACGTAGCGTCGTCGAAGTATATGAATAGATATTATATATGTTTGGTTTTAGTAAAAAAAATTAATTATATAAAAACTTGACTTGTTGATCAGCCTCAAATAAATGTAGGTCTTTCATGTAACCTGGTAGCTGTTCTGCAATAGTATTGTTTTATATTAATAACAGGGGACCGCCAGAAATGAGTTTTTGTGGGATAATAATTCTCATTTTATGACATATCAAATTACACAATTTTTATTTTACACAGGAGTAGTTTTTGTTGGTGTACGCTCGAGGATGTTTTTCGATTTTGTGGTTGTGAACCTCATCTGCCAAATCCATCGGGAACTTTTCGTAGACAAATCTATTCAAACAAGTACTTTTTAGAAGTCATATGTGGGCCTCTGAATAACCAATCCACATGGATACATATCTATTGGACCTTGTTACGTTTAAAGTCCTCAGAGTTTGGGTATAGAAAAGTTTCATGTCAAAATAGAAGTTGATTTAACCGTCTGAGGACTTGTAAGGCTGATATTTAAAACATATACCCTGCTGAAAGTTTCATTAACTGAAAAATATTAGCCCGTAATCAACTAGAAAGTATTTATGGATACTGAAATAAAGTAGAGGAAGCTAGGGAGCTTTGCTGTTATGAAAAACCAACTAGATTCTAATGTGATTTGCCTCGAAGTTATAATCGGAATAGGAAGGAAAAAACTGAGAGTAGCTAAATAAACCCACATTATATTTGCACCAATTATTGAATACCGTAGTGCATTCTTTAATTCTAGTATTTCACTCAAAACTTATGTCTCAAAAATCAACTTGTCCAAGTCCAAATTCTCATCAAATATTATTTCACTAATAATTTTTTTGAGAATTTTGAAATGTGAAGGCTGTTTGTTTATTTGTAGTGACCAATACACCAACACAGGAATGTGTAATCTTAAAGCCACTCACTTGTATCATTCCTTTTCTACTTTTCTCGAAGGTGGTGAATTGTCTCAAACATACCTTTTAAATAATTTTTGAGGTTCTAAAGGTTTTGATATTGATTTAGCATATGTGAGTGCACTGTGGTGTGCATCCCGAAAACATGATATTTTAAATCATGAATAATTTCCAAAAACAGTTGTGGAAAGATCAATTGAGCTTTTGATCCTCGACTCTTGACTCTGGAGAAATGGGTCTTTGAGTGTTTGAATTGCCTTATTGTATATATGGAGGTGTCTCAGATACTCTAGTCTCTTGTGATACAAAGGACAATAAACGAACCAAGCAATTGGAATTCAGATCCACCACCTTTTCCAACTCCCATAGTATTCCGTGATACCGTTATTTTCTCCCACTCTTTTAAAATGCAGCCATGTAACTTTCATGTCGCTGCTTTCAAACGTTATTTTGTACCTCAAACGAAGTTCCTGTTATCTCCACAGATTCCAAACGCATGAAAATTATTCGTCAAGATGTTAATTTTTACGAAGCACGTTATTGAAAAAACACCAAACATTTATTAAAACTTTTAAAAAAAAGAATGTAGTTTAGGCACCACCAGGACGAGATAAATTACATCATCTCAATTGGCTGATACCATAAACACGTATCATGGAAGCCCAATAAAACTTTCATAAACCATTTGTATCAACACGAGTAAATGAAGAGTCAAACCAGACAACCAAGCTTATTCTTCTCCATATTAGAACCCATTAATCTATAGAAGAATTCAAGAAGATGGGGCAGAAACAGGAGATTTATTGTATCTTCTTCATCAAAATTGTTTGATTATTGCATAAGGTATGGGACTAAATATCCTTATTTCACAAGTGTTCCATGTCCTTATCTTTCCAATATGAACAAATCAATGATGATGAAGACAAAGATGCCACATGGCACTTTATTGAGCCAATGGTCAAATTCAACAAGTTTATCTTTGTTGTTGTTGTTGTTGTTGAAAAGTAAAGAGGAAAAAAACTTTTTCTTATAATTTCTTATAAAAAGTTGCAAATTTTCATTGAAGATTACATAATCATACCCGCGAATTTGTATTTTGTTTTGAGATGAGATTGATTTAGGGCATTGATGATTAAGGCTTTTGTATGGAAAAGAGTTAAAGAACTGATAAAGAGTGATTGATCTTGATAAGCAATGGCTGAATTAAAGTATATTGAGTTGAAGAATGATGTGATATCGTGGACTTTATTCATATCAGGTCAATTGTTTAGATATATTCAATTCACAACAAGTTATTCATTAAGCTTAATTTATATACTTATCAAACAGTTTTATGGAATTATACTATTTTCTTGCTTTCCAATTGTTAAAATATTATTTTTAACTATCAAGACTATATGGTTATGTCTAAGTTTTACAGTTTTCATTATTTTTGAACCATTCAATCTTTTCATAAGGATAATTGAATTTAATGTTAGGAAATTTATTGATTTTTGGCTAAGTTTATTATTCAATACCAAATTAGAAGATATTTTCACAATAGAATATGGGAAATTACAATTCAAGATATTGGTTCAATGGGTTAGATTTATTAATGTTATGATTATAACTGGTTTAATCTTGGGGATTTTAACATATTATACAAGTGTGAGGATAATTTATTGGATGACACAAGTTGAAAAGAAAAAGAAGAAGGAAGCAGAGGAAGAAAAAGATCAAGGAGGAAATGTTATTGATGATAGAATAAGAGAGACTATTTTCGGAACATTTGATATTGATAAATTAGAAGAGGAGCATCAAGAACAAGTTGTTGATCAAGTTGATAAATTTTGGAGAGATGAAGAAGTTGAAAGAACTAGATTGTTTCAAGATATTAATTCTACATTGAATGATAGACATGAAGAGGATGATGTTTATAACTATGAAAGTTTGAATTCATTGAAGCCACAAGGGATTAATGAGAGTACAAGATCCAGAGCAGGGCAGTTATTTGATTCAATGGGGCGTGAATCTATTGATAGTAACCAGGGAACAGGAACTACAAGTATATTTAGTCGGTTGAATCTAACTCCTATCACGACTATTGAAGAGGAGGAAGAGGAACAATACAAATGATTTACCAGGGGAAACAAGGTTATAGTTTAAACTTTTGGAAGATGATGATGATTCATGACGATTAATTGCTAGTAATGAATGGAATGAGCTTATGAACATCTTTGTTGTACGTAGATACGGTTGTTTGAGGCCTTGGATGTGAATATCAACCTAGTTTTAAAACCCGGTGGTATTTACTCGATCAAGATAAAATCAATCAATCAAAACGTTGGAAATAAACGGAACAGTCAGCACTGGGATCCACCGAGAATAGCATCCATCTATCTCTTAACTAATAATCTGGCCAAATCCATACATCACAATCTCATCTATCTCTCAACTAATAATCTGGCCAAATCCATACATCACAATCTCAAGATGCGTTTCAATCTGTTGCCGTTTTCTGCTCGCTTCCACTTTATGCAACTCTCTGTGGGATGGTCTTGACAATGGCTGATCTCTGGGCCTCTTGACAGATTGCAAAGATTTGTATATAATCAAAGGCTGCTTTCCACAAGAGACGATCTACTTTCACCAATGGCTAAGGACCATGAACCACAATCAGTACCATCAGTACCCTTTCCCTACTCCGTTGCCTTCTCCTGGCTTTTCCTCAGCCTATTTCCATCCCTCTCAGGACCATCATCATAATTACAGTATCAATTATCAAAAAGATCCCTTGTATTCTTTCCAACAAGGACTAGGGATATCACCCCCAAATGTTCAATTACAATGGTCAAATTACAATTACTTGAATACTCCAGTAAACAATACTATCATCAATCCAAGATCTACAATTAATAGTAATGAAGGGAATCAAAAAGTGAAATTACCACCTTTAACAAGTTTCTACAGTTTTAAGAAACCAATAGTGGTTGATCCATTTGAAAAAAAACCATTAGAAGAAAAGCCAACAGCTAAACCCATTACAAAAGATATTGTTAAACCACGTCCAACAATTAATCATGGTGCATCTAAATTGATTAATCCATCAAGGGTTTGTAAAAAAATTCAATTTAAAAAACGTACTAAATTTTTATCCAAGATTATAATTAATGAAGATTTTTTAATTAATCATATTGCTAATGATCCATCAATTACCATTAATTATGATTTGAAAATCCAAAGAATTGAAATTTCACAAGAACAATTGGATAGATATGTCTTGAATGAATTTTTATTTGAAATTTTAAAATTTAATGACAAGAGAGATTCAACTTTTTTAATTGATAATTTCCCAGAGAATAGAATAACTATAGATTTGAAATTTGATTTACAAGATAAGATTATCAAGATTTGGTTAGAATTATTGAAAACTTCAGAATCAAATATAACAAAAGATGAAATTTTAATTGAATTAACAAAATATGTTGAAAAATTTATGGAATCACCAAATTTTAATGATCCAAATTTTGATTTTAATAAATTAATGAAAGAAGAGAAGGCTAGAATTCAAGATAAGAATAAAGCTAATAAAGATAATAGAAAGATGTTTAGACCTAGTTGGAGATTAGGCGCTAAAGATGAATTATCACTTGTTGAGATGGAGGTTGAAGTTGAAAAGAAGAAGGACAGAATAGATTGAGAAGATACAAGATAGAAGGGCTATAAAGAGAAGAGCTATAAAGATATTTGCATTTGCTACACATTTTTGAACTAATAAATTATTTGCATGGGTTGAATTGACCTTTGTAGACTGATCTCTTCATTTCACCACCGCCTGGATCCGCCTGGGATCCGCCTGGATCTAGGCTCGCTCTGTTTTGGTTTTGCCCCGTTTGAATTAACGGCGCCAGGACTTCAGCGGGTGGCTTTTTGCTTTTTGCTTTTGGGCTTGCTGGCTGGGGGTCCTTCGTGGTTGGCTGGGCGGTGGTGGTGGCCAGAGAGAAAAAATTTTCCATGGCTTTTTAAAGGGGGCCCTTCCCTGTGAAAGGAGCTCTTTAACCACCACCATCCCCCTGGCTACTACACCACCAGTATCAACAATGTCAAACCAACTGAAAACAGCAAAGGACACGGTGAGTCTGAGCTTGACTACCACAGAGAATCATACTAACTCCCTCTAGCTCGTCTCCTCCTTATACGAACTATCAAAAGCTGCCAACGAGGCCTCAGCCGCTACCGTCGACTTCTACAACGCTTCCCTCACCGTCGAAGAGGACCCTAACGAAGTGTTTAAGCAATTGGCTGAATCCCTCAGAATCCTCACCAACGCTTCTACTGGGGTCAGTGAAACTGCTAGACTCATTGCTGCTTCAAACTCTCAAATCGATCCAAATGTCATCCAATCCTCTTTAATCAACAACAACAACAATTCCTTGATCCCAAATCAAAACAATGATCACCACGCAACAACAACAACTTCAACTCCATTAACTAACGAAAAACCTGCTAAAAAGAAAGTTGAAAAAGATCCAAACGCTCCAAAGAAACCTTTGACTGTGTTTTTCGCTTATTCTGCCTATGTTCGTCAAGCTTTAAGAGAAGATAGATTAGCTAAAGGTTTACCAGCTTTATCATCAACTGAAATTACTCAAGAAATTTCTAAAAAATGGAATGAGTTAGGTGAAGCTGAAAAGGAAAAATGGAAAGAAGCTTATAATGAAGAATTGGAACATTATCATGTTAATAAAGAAAAATATTTAGAATTGAAAAAAATTGGTGAAGCTCCAATTTTAACTGGTCCAAATCCTGCTCCTGTTCCAATCCCTGCTTATTTACAAAAAAATCATCATGATAAATCAAGTAAAAAAAGAGATTCTGAATCAAGTGAAAAAAAAGATAAAAAGAAAAAAAGTAAAAAGAGAAAATCAAATGCTCCAGATTCAACTTCAACTGATATTCAAATTGGTGTTTAATAGTTTGATCTCTTCTTTTTTTCTTTCTCCTCAATTTACCCCTTTGTGAGTGTGTGTCTATGTGTTATTTTTTATTGTTATCTAGTTGTACTATACTTTTATTATTCCATTCTTTTATGTTTTAAATATATGAATACATTGTTTTTATTGGTTAAAAGTTATACTGCTTTGTAATCACTTATGTAATATTTCCATTTCGCGAATTCTTTTATGGTTTTTTCTTTGGATGAAAAATCGTTGAAAAAAAAAAGGTCAAATCAATGAATTGAAAGTATTGAACATAACCAGAGAGAAGAATAGAACCAACACTATGAAGAACCTCGCATTCAATTCAATAGCGAGACAATTCTCCACATCTGCTAAACTGCTCAACAAACCTTTATATCTCACCCCTTCAAAATGGCTAGGTTTACCTCCAGACCAAATTTTAGATCTTCACAAACAAAGAAAGTATCATCTTGGTACAAATTATAGAAAGAATGATGATGAATGTAAAGCTTTAATGTCAACTTCCGAGGCTTCAAGATTCACTCCACAACAAATTCAAAGAATTTATTATCAAGGTGAAAAAGCCTTTTCTGAATTAGTTAATCATCCATTAAATTCTCCAAATTTTGGTAAACCAAACACTTTTGATGAATATCCATCCATAGCAAGATTGAAAGTTAGAGCTCATAGAGAAAGAAGAGAATATAATAGAATCGCCGCTTATGAAATGCCTCATCTTGTTAAATATCGTCAAGATTATACAAAACCAAAAAATAAACCAATAACTTTAAAATATACTTCAATATTAGGTGAAGAAGAATTACCAATAAATCAAAAAGTTGTTCTTACAGTTAAATCAGAACATTTAGGTTTATCCTCCAAGGAATTACATAAATTAAGATTATTAGCAGGTACAAGATATGATTATAGAACTGATGAAATTAAAATGTCCACTGAAAGATTCCCAGAATCTTTACAAAATACAAGATATTTATTAGACACTTTGAAAAAATTGATCAAAGAGGCAAAAGATCAATCTGATTCATTTGAAGATATACCTTTAGATAAACGTCACATCTTTGCCAAAGAAAGAAAAAGAAAGAATAAAAAACATCAATTAAGAGATTTGAAATTCCCTGAAGAATGGAAACGTCCAGAAGATGCTCCAAAGAAAGAAAAAACTTTGGTTGGATATCTAATGGATGCTATAAAGAATTAGAATCTCCCCAAAAGTATGAAATCTGTATATAAATTAATTCAAATTAATAGTTTTTACTATCAAAATCTTGTAAAACGCATTCGCGAAAAAACCAAACACCACTTTTTTTTTTTTTTTTTTTAATCATCACCATTTTGAATCTTCTCGACGCTTCACAAAACAAAACAACAACATTAAAAAAAATCATCACAACAATGCCACCAAGAGGTCAAGGAAGAAGGAAAGTCGGCAAGGCCGCTTCCAAATCCTCAAATGCAAAGAATTCAAACTCCTCTACAAAAGCCGCCACTTCGGGGAAAGTGCCAACTAAAAAATCTATAAAATCATCATCTCCTTCAATAACTCTGCAAGAAATACTGGATAATCTGAATATTCAATTTGATAAAGATATTGGTGTTTTACAAGGTGAAAATACAAGAACTGTGCCTAATAATTTACCATTACTGGAAGGTCTGAGGAAAATATTTGTAAAATTGAATGATCAGCTGGAGATTGTATCTAATCATGATGATTTAATTATTAATGAAATCAAAAGACAACTGACATTGATTGATGGTGATGAAGAAGAAGAGGAAGATGAAGAAGTGGAAGAAGAAGATGAGGAAGAAGAAGATAATGTTTTCACTGCTGAGGCTACACCTGTTACTGAAAAGATTAAAGTGGAGGAAGAGGATGAGGAAAAGAAAGATGAAGATGTTGAAATGGAGGATGCAGAAAATGGGAAAATTGAAGATGATGAAACCAGTAAACAAACTGAAACAAGTCAACTGAAAGAAAATGAAACAACAGATCTAACTGATCATCCAATGGTTGAAGATGAAGATGAAGTTGCAAATCATGATGCTTTAATAGATTTACCAAAAGATGAAAATTTGGCTGTTAATTCTAAAAGAAGACTCAGTACTCAAGAACAAATTGAAAATGATCCAAGTGTTCGTAATCCAAAATCAGAATTTGTCACATCCCAAACTTTACCAGCTGCTGCCCATGCTCTTGGTTTATTTTCTGAAAAATCTGGTGGGTTAGAAGAAACTGGTGAAGAATTTTTGAAGAAAAAATATGGGGTATCTTCATATCCTAAAAATGATTTGAAATCAAAATTACCTGGAAGTATACCAGATATTGATTTCAGTAAAAATAAACCTGCAAATCAAGTTCAATTTGCAACTTTCCAAAGTTTTATTGAAAATTTTTATAGAAATTTTACTGAAGAAGATATAAAATTTTTGAAAAATAAATTCATAATGTCAGATTCTTTATCAAATGATCCAACTTATGATCCAAATCTGACTCCATATCTGATTCCAAATTTAGGTGCTTTATATTCAACAATTTGGAATGAAGAGGAAAATTCTGGTAATTATTCACCTCCTCCATCAAGAATAACACAAGATTCAATTCTACCTAAAAAAGCTTCAACTGATTTAAATGATGATGCCTTGGAAAGTGAACAAGTTTCTTGTGGTCCTTTAGTTTCAAGATTATTATCTGCAATTTTAAAAGATGATAAAGGAAATACTGAAGGTACTGCTGGTAATGGTGGTGAAATAAATAATAATGACCTTAATGATAGAAATGATGATGATAATGACTCTAAAACAAGTACAAGTGCTATACCTGAACAACAAGGTTGGAAAGTTTCAAGTGTTAATGCTGATTATAATACTTTGGAAGAACGTTTGAAAAGAGAATTGAAATATATTGGTATTTTCATGAATCTAAATTCGGATGATAATACAAATAATAAAGATGATGAATTAGATGAACAAGAACCTGATTGGTTAAATCCTCAAGATGATGAAATTTCCACTGAATTAAGAAGTTTACAAAATGAATTAAAACAAGTTTCAAGAAGAAATAATAAACGAAAAAAACAATTATTACCAATCATTGAAAATCAATTAGCATGGCAAGAATATTTATCAATTCTGGATGATTTAGATAAACAAGTTGATAATGCTTATTTGAAAAGAATTCGTGTTCCAAAGAATAAAAAAAAGAAGACTGGATCTTCTGTACCATCAGGTGGAGTTAATTCAAGTAATGGTTCATTACCACCTTCAGTTCAAATTCAAATGGCTACACAGCAAGCTCATCAAGCTGCTGCAAATTCAGCTATAAAATCATTATTAGAGAAGAGATTAAGATGGATCAATAAAATTGGTCCATTATTTGAAAAATCAAATGGTGAAAATATGAAGAGAATTCCAAAAGAGAGTATTTTCGCTAAAATTGATTTAGATGAAGAAGATGATGACGATTATGAAGATGGCGAAGATCTAGTTTTACAAGAACAACATTGAAAAAAAAGAGAAATTTACAAAGAGACTCATATACGTTGTATTATATAGATTGTTACTGTAGTGATTACGAATGACTGTGTTTTTGTGGTGATATTTAAATTTTTTTTTGTGTTGTCACAAAAGTGAAGAAACGAACACTTCAAAACTTTTGAACAAAAAGCATCTTGTCTTGGGTATTATAGAAGAGAGGTAAAGCCATTCTTGCTATTATAGAGGGTTTAAGTGCTTTCCTTGCCCTTTCAATGTTTTTAAGTGCAATCACTTGAACTTTGAAGCTAATTTTCAACATTTTTTGGCTGCTGCTGCTGCTGCTGCTGCTGCTTACAGGAATTTTGATTGTTACCATTCATTCAATATATACAGGTTATGAGAGAAAAGGTTGATTCAGTATAGAGCTTCTGTGACCTGGCTCACTGGTGGTACACTTGAAACATGACCAACAGCTGCAATGGAAACAGGTTTATCTTTTAATCTATAGTTGGCCCAGTTGACAACATCTTCTTTATTTATCACATCAACTTTTTGGAATACTTCTTCAGGGCTCAATCTTTTACCAGTGGTGACAATTTGTCTACCAATATCTTCAGCAATAGCAGTTGATCCATCAAGACTTAATAACAATGATGCCTTCAATTGTGCTTTTGCTCTTTGGATTTCATCATCTGTTATATCACCTCTTTTCAATCTATTCCATTCTTTAACAATTTCATCAAGGACTAATTTTAAATTAGCATTTTTATCAGCTGTTAAATAGACACCCCACAAACCGGTGTCTGAATAACTTGTTGAGAAAGACATATATGAGTTAGCTAAAGGTTCACCATTACCATTAACACCATTTGCAACGGCTAATGCTAATTGTGATGGAGAGTTTGAACCGGTACCCAATGATCTATCCCAATTACCCACAATTGATTGTGTAACTAGGGCTGTGAAATAATCAGCTCCAGACCAACTAACACCTTCAACAGCAATTGCTAAATGAGTATTTGGGATGGAATCATCTTGGATTTTAATTTCATTACCATGGAAAACTGGGATTTCACCACGAGGGGAACCTAAAGGTAGTTTACTTGGTGATGGAACTAAATGATTAAAATATTGACCAGCAAACTTAACTAATTGTTCATGATTAACTGAACCAGCACCAACTAAAACCATTCTATCAGCTGCGTAATTTTTACCAATATAATTTTTCAAATCATCTCTTTTGATTGTTTTGATGTTTTTCAAAGGTCCCAAGATTGTACGACCTAAAGGTTGATTTTTATAACAAATTGAATGTAAATGGTCAAAAACAACTTCATCATACATTTTGTCAACTTCTTCAGATTCTCTTATTATAACATCACGTTCTCTTTCAATAGCTTTTGGTTCTAATGTTGATTTTGTTAAAATGTCTGATAAGACGTTAATAGCTTTAGGTATATCATTTTCAGTAGATTTAGCATAATAAACAGTGTTTTCTCTTGATGTATAAGCATTTAAATGGGCACCTAAATCTTCAATTTCTAATTCAAGGGCTAATTGAGATCTTGTGGTGGTACCTTTGAAAGCTAAATGTTCTAAGAAATGAGCAGTACCATTATTTTCAGCATTTTCAGCTCTTGAACCAGCATCAATCCATATACCAACGGTAGCAGTTGAAGAATTTGGAATATATTCAGAGGCAACGGTTAATCCGTTTGGTAAAGTTGAAGTTTGAGTAGTTGGTAATTCAGTAGCGACAGAAGCCAAAGTTCTTCTGAAAGAGGTTCTACCCACATTCAGGGCTCTTCTAAGAGTTAATCCACGTAGCATAGTCTCTTAATACTGAATATTAAAAGGTAAAAGAATGAAGTTTGATTGTTGTTCAGAAACTTTTTGATAGTGGCTTTTTACTAACAAAAATCGAATCCAGATTCTCAGAGAAAAAAATTGATCACGTGCTCAAAATGGGCCAAAAGTTTTGAAAATATATAGAGCAGACATGTTTTGGCAGATAAAGAATGAGTAAAAACAAAAGTCATCAGAAAGTAAACTACTGAAATTAGGAACAAGATTCAAAGAAACAAGAAGAATTAGAACAAAGGCAATTGCAAAATGTCTGACGAGGAGGATTTCATGATGTCCGACGCTGAGTCGTACGAGTTTGAATTTGAAGACGATGATGACGACGATATGATGGGTGATGCCTCCATGGATAACTCCATGGATAACCAAGATGGTGACGGTTCAGATGATGAGAACTCTGCTGAAAGTTTATACTACAATGCCAAAAATATCAAGCAGGATGATCCAGAAAAGTCAATAGAGATATACCGCAAGATTTTGGATATTAAAGATGCTGAATCATTAGAGAGTTTAGTTGAATATCAATTTAAGGCTTTGAAGCAATTGATTAAAGTGCAATACAAATTAGATAAATATGATCCTTTCGTTTCAGATTTTGAGAAAATATTCAAGTTAGATTTACAAAAAATTCAAAGAGGTTATGTTGAGGATAGTTTGAGCAGAATTTTAGATAGTTATATTGGGTTACCTCCAGCTTTACAACTTGAATTTCTAAACATCTTCATAACAAACTACACTGGGAATGATCGTTTAAGTTTGAAGGCAAATTTAAAGAAAACACATGTATTAATTGATTTGAAGCAAAATAAGGAAGCTCATGAACTGTTGCAATTTTTGTTTTCAAAGTTAGATAAAATGTCAGAGGTCACAAAAAGTACACATTTACTTGAGTTATACTCTATCCAAATACAACTTTATTCAGATTCAAATGATATACCCAAATTGAAAGAGCTATATAACAAGACATTGTCAGTGCAGAGTACAATCCCACACCCAAGAATTAATGCTATTATCAAAGAATGTGGTGGTAAAATGTACATGAGAGATGAAAACTTTGAAAGAGCATCAATTGAGTTTTATGAGAGTTTCAAAAATTATGATGAAATAGGAAATCAGTCGAAAAGAATATTGATATTGAAATATCTTATCATAACCTCAATATTGAGTAATAATGAAATCAACAAGTTTGAAAGTCAAGAAACAAAGTTCTTTTTAAAAGATGAAGAAATTTTGAAATACATCAAATTAATCAATACATTTGAAAAACTTGAGCATGATGCCTTCACTGAAACTCTTCAAAACATTCTATCGCTTGAACAAAAAGATGAATTTTTGGTGCAACATTTGAGGAAAATTGAAAAAATATTCAAGTTACAAACATTGATTCATTATATCAAGCCTTTCAAACGTTTATCAGTCTCCAAACTATGTGAGAGATTAAGTCTAGATTATGATTTCATTGAAGAAAGTTTCCTAAATCTTTTAAACAATGGTCAAATTAAAAACATCAAACTTGATTTGATAGAGGGTGTGGTGTATAATGAAGCCTATGCCGCATGAAGTAAAAGCTACAAATTACTTTGCTTAGATAACATATTTTATATACAGTAGTAATTAAATAACTATATTCATAATCATTGCTGAATTTCCTTATATCTCAAAGGCAGTTCTTTAACAGGAGAAGCACCAATTAATGGACCCAAAATTTTCATTTTGGTACTATAATCTAATCTATTAGTTCTGTTTAATGCATTAACAACAACAGTTGCATTTTGTTTCAAATTTTCAGTTTTCAAATGTTTAGAATATTGAGAAATGTCAACTTCACGTAGGTCACCTTTAACAATTGCTCCTAGATCAGCATTTGGATTTTGTAAAGCAGTACGAATAGCTCTTAAAACTCTTGAACTTGAATCGTTTGATAATAATGGGGATGTAGCTAATAATGTGCTTGAAGTTGGAACTGATGGTTTGTACTGAGTATCCAATAATTCGATATTTGATGGGACTTTGACTTCAATCTTTGGTGCTCTTGGTGATGCAAAATCTGGTCTTGCTTTTTTTTCATCTCTCTTTCTTCTTGGTGTTCTATCTTGTCTACCACTTTTGGCTCTTAAACCTGGGGCTCCAACATTTCTTCTAAAACCTGGTCTACCATCTCCCCTAAAGTTGTTACCACCTTCTCTATTGCTGTTGAAATCTCTTCTTGGTCTGTTGTTATCATAGGATCTTTTAAATCCACCTTCACGAGATACTCTTTGTGTTTGTTGTGTGGCACCATCAGCTCCAACATCGAACCCTGGAGTGCTAACCATTAGATCTCCAATACTGGAATCGATATTTGAACCAGCTGATCTCTTGTTGACATTACTAGTGGCATTGATACCAACTTTCAATGGAGCTGCACCAACTGTTTCGCTCTCTCTTCTTCTATCTGATCTAAAGTTTCTTTGAGGTCTGTTTGATCTATTCTGACCACCACCTTCTCTATTTCTGTTATAGTTCCCATTTTGTCTGTTATTGTTTCTGTTACCACCAGCGTTATATTGATTAGTTGATGGCTGTTTGATATCCTTTGTCAAATTCTTGACTCTTTCTAAAAGCGCATCAATATCAGTAGTTGCTGGCTTTGTGGAATTGTATCTCACTGAAACAACCCTCTTTGCGTAATTTCTCAACATCTTCACTCTTTCTCTTAATTCAACAACAAGGCTGGGAAATCACTAATTTCTTCAACTCCAATCTTCACAATAATCGTTAATTTTCACTGGCTCAAAGCTTTTTGAAAAAAAAATCAACTATTTTCGCGAATGTCGAAATTTACTGAAAATGGCAACTCGACCAAGCCGGGATTCACGAAATACGACTACATATAAACTCTTTGAAATAACAAAATCGAGTTTTATAGGCATAACTATATAGAAAAGAGGTGATCACATATCAAATTTAGGATCAGAGCCAGCTACTTCTATCAAAACATCCATACCCTTTGAGTAAACCTGACCTAGAAAATCAAATTGTTGAGTCTCCTTTTGTGAAAAATTAATCACATTACCAACATCATTACCAACTTTATCGTAACCACAAACAGTATAACCTTCACAATAAGGCTTCCCTTCCCAAGGATATTTTGGCTTATCACTTTCTGGATAAAAAGGTTTTCCAGGTAAATTGGGGATTGGTGGAACCAATGCATGTCGTATTTTTAAAGGTGAATCATTAAAAGCATTTGAATCTTCCAATTTCCAACCTTTAAAAAATGGATTGAATTCATCAACATGCATGACTTTTTTACAATACTTGAACCCAGAATTCATCCATAATAAGGAATTGTCCTTATAAACGTGACCAGGGTGATTTGAACATAGTTCTTTTAATTCTAATTGTTGTGGATAGTGGGAATTTGGGATAGGTGAAATTTGACCAACAGAAGCAGCACCATTTTCATTAAAACTATAGTTTTCATCACCAGATATAGACATTGATAACCAGAAAAGTTCTTTATCTCCCCAAATTCTGCTCATTATGGCTCTAGTCCATTGAGCCAATGAAATCGCCATTAATGAATTCGAAAAATGTCTTGATCTATCAACAATCACAAGACCGCTCTCCATCATATGGCTGAACCCATTGAAAAAATTGTTGTTTAAAGTGTGCTTAGTAGCCCTTGATATGTTTAATTTGTCCTCTTCTAAAGCTGTTGGTAGTAGTTCCTTGAAAAAGTCCAAAGTATCTGGCATACTATGACCAAGATGCATCAGTCTATCTTTAAAGAAGAAAGCACCAGTCTTTTTATATTCCTCAATATTGAAAAAGTCTTGCAGAGGAATAAAAGGGACACTGTCAACATCCATGATTATGACTTCTTTGAAAGAATTGAACAAATATGCCAATAGTTTATTTTGAAATCTTTTAAATCTGTAATCATACTTTGGTACAATAACACCAGAGACATTGATAAATTCAACTTTCAATTTTGGTAATTTCGCGTTCGAATTAGCACCTATTTTAAGTTTCAATTTTTCATCAAATGGTACTGTAGCCACTTTAATCAAATTATCTTGAACAAAATCAGATAAATCACCTTTATGAACAATCTGAATAGGCAATGGATTACCTAATGCTCTTAACAAAGTGAAAAGACTAACCAACTCTTTAAAATGGAATTCAGTAGCAGTCAAGACAATACCTTTCCCTTTTAAATTCTTTTTTATATCTTTGAAACATTTCAATTTCTTGAATAACTTTCTATTCTTTGTTTTTGGACCAGAATTAATAGTTGGAGATTCAAAAGTGAACCAAGGATATAAATCTTTTTCCAATTCAACATCACAAATATTTTGATCCAAGAAACAATGATTATAAGATCTTATCAATGCTGTATTGTTTTGAACTTCCCAGTTGATTAATTTTTTGAAAAAAGGATCAAAATTTTCAGGATCAAAGTTTGTATCATTATATTCTGGTATTTTCAATTGACGAATCTCATTCCAAAGTTTTTTACAATTCTTGGAAGGAGAAGCTTGTGTTGGGAATTTAGACAATATTGATAAAACCGAAATATGGGCAGCTTTATGAGGAACAACTAGTTGGTTACTTGAAGATGTTTTGAACAGTTCAACTGCATTATAGTAGAATAACAAAACAATGACAAGGAACAGGATTGTGTTCAGTCTGGGGTTGAAAGATCTAACCAACATGTTCAATCCATATGCTCATTTAATCAGCAAATTTAAGTGTAAGAAACGCGTAAATTGATAAAATAATTACCACGTCGACATTTTCCTGGAACTTCCTTGAACTGAATGCAAATTTTCATGGTGTACAAATGTTTCAAATTAGTCCTTGGTACTAAAATTTCCTTGAAGCCCATAACACTTGACACCTTCTGCCAAACCCAAAAATCGGACATAAAGGACGTACAGAACGGAACTAAAAACACACAATATGACTTATTACACAATTAAAAACATTCTATAAACTTATTCCCCAAACAACAACTAATAATAAGCAACAAACAACACCTCTTTTAATCTCTACAATCTTTTTAACGTCTTTATAACTCAATCCTCTCTTACACCCTTCATCCATAAATCACCAAAGAAATCAAATGTCTTCACCTGTTGGTCATCAAAATTAACCAAGAAACCTCTCTCTATATCATTAGACATTTCACCAACTCCATCATAAGCACACCAAGTATAACTGAAACAATATTTATGAGCATCACTCCAACTTAAAGTTGGATTCCCTTTGTCATTTTTACCTTCAATTTCTTGAGGTGGTGGAATAATTGCAGATCTAATCTTGGTAACAGCTTTATAATGTTCTCTTAATGAATCACCATCATATTGTTTGAATAAAGGTTTACCAGCGTCAAAACCTGCAGCATCAGTGTTTTTACAAAATGTGAAACCTGAATTGATCCATAATAAAGTTTGGTTATCATACCCATTAACATGACCTGGATGATTACCACATAATTCATTTGCTAAAGAATCTGGAAACAATTTATTCTCGCGTGGAGTTAATTCACCAACTGAAGCTGCACCTAATCTATTAAATTCATAGTTTTCATTACCTGCAATTGATTGACCTAACCAGAATAATTCTTTATCACCATGAATTTTTCTAGCAGTGATTGACCAAAAGTTTAATTGTACAGCAGACAACATACCAGTGAAATGGGTAGTTCTTTTGATAGCAACAACACCACTTTCCATGTAATGATTTCTTAAATCACCAATAAATCTATTTTTCAAAGTGAAATCAGTAACTAATGGGATTTGGAAGAAAAAATTATCTAATTTTGAAGGAAATAATCTATTGAAATAATTCACTTGATTTTGAGTATTTGAACCTCTTAATTCACGATCTTTGAAGAAGAAAGCACCTTTTTCCACAAATCCTGGGAATTTTAAGATTGATTCCAATTCAACAAATGGAACAGTATCTGTATCAATTAAAATCATGTCTTCAAATGAATTGAAAAGATAAGCTAATAATTTGTTTGCATATTTTTTGAAATACTGTTTGTAATCTTTATTGATTGAATTTTCAACATTGACAAACCATAAATCTTGTGGAGGAAATTTTGGAGCTTGATGTAATGCTAATCTTTCAAAAGATAAAGGTAAGTTTTCCAATTTGATTGGTCTTCTGAACTGATGGATTAATTCTTTTTGATTCTTTTCAGATAAATCACCTTTATGCATGACTTGGATTGGTAACTTATTATCAGTTGCTCTTAATATTAAAGCTAATCTCATCAATTCATCCTTTTGGCCATCAGAAGCAGAAATAACAATACCTTTACCATTCATTGCGTTTTTAAAACTCTTTAAAAAGCAATTAGTTCTGACATTTTCTCTTTTATCATGAGCTTTACCATGTGAATGGAATTCTTCATTATCATCGTAGTTAGATTGAGTATTTGACAAATCTGGTAAACCTTGTGAAACTTCACCATTCCATCTAGTATAAGTTGGTAAGATATTTGATAACCATGGGAAAATTCTAGCTTCAGTATCATGGCATAAATCCTGTTGAAGTTTGTTTTGCTTTTCAGCTTCTTTTTCATCTTCGCCTTGTTTTTTATTATCTTCAAAAATTGAAGAGATGAAACCCGGTTTCTTAGAATCATCAACTTCAATGAAACATTTACCAAAGATTCTTAAAGTGGTAACAGCGTCAATAATTCTTTGATCAACTTTAATACTGTCAAATGATCTTTCATTAAATTCTTTTTCTAATTCCAAGATTTTAGCTTCATCGAAAACCATATTTTTTTCAGCAGTTTTTTTGAATTCAAGGAAATCTTGGAAAGTAATGTAATTATCATCATAGCCTTTAGTATCAAAGTTGTTTAATATCCAATCATGGTTTGACTTGTGCAAATGATCAAAATACAAGTTACATTTTTTCTCAAATGGGAAGTTGTTGAAAGTTTTTGGTTCATATTTTGTCAATATGGAATCATAGTTTGTTGAGTAAACTTCATTTTTCAACAATAACAGATGATGATGAGAGTCTGAGTCTTTGAAACCATAAGAATATAAAGATTGGGCTATGATGATGAGTATGAGGACGAATATAAACACGTTGAGATTGATGAGTCTCTTGTTGAAGGAGAAGTTGGAGACGAGGTGTCTGAGCGATTGAAGATACCTTAGCGCCTGGTTGATCATGATGGCTGAATCAATTTATTGTTAATGCTGATGTTCAAAGTTCAAAGTTGAATGTTGTTGTTGTTGTTGTTGCCATGTAACAATCCTTTAGACAGGTTAAGCGCCAGTGCTGGGATGTTTACTCTATATGGCTTAATGAGGTAGCAATAGCAGGATGTAGCAGGACAGAGAGCAGCAGTTGGAGCTTGAGCAGTCACGAAGAGGGATACCTGAGCAGCAGAGGCACTGGGAACAGAAGTAGCGGTTCTGGTTGTTGGTTGTTGAAGGTTGTTGAAAGTTTTCCTCAGAGCGTGTTCAGAATATTTTTACACTTTGATATTTTTTTTCCTTTTCTGAGATTGTCGATTCTGAAGGTGCAACTGCCAGGAACAGACACACTCCAGCACACGCCATCACCAAGCACAGGCCAGCCAGAGCCCATGGGCTCTCTGGTTGGTTGCTGGAACTAGAACAGCATGGGCTAGCTATGGGCTATCCCTTCACAGAACCTATCGACACCCTTCCCTCGCACTCGCCCTCATCTCGCAGAAGTTTAAACGTGCCAAAAAAAGATGCAGACCCTTCCCTTTTGGGCTTATCGCATGTGGCTGCTTAGTCACGAGCCAGACTGAAATATACAGAACCTGAGACCGGCTTCCATGGGCGACATTGAAATGCCAGATTTCAGATCTCTTATCCAGCATGCTTCAACGGTTTCCATAAAGATGAAATTCTACAACAAGGACTGCCTTCAAATACAAATACACAAATAATGTGCTCCTTCTGGGTACTGTATAACAACGACTGTCCTAAAAATATAATTGACACGAAAAACGCAAAGCAAAAAAAACAAACACCAATCATTAAATAACACACATGGGCTAATTGAAAACACAGCAAAACAATACATAATCAGATTCTACCACCCATAGCAAATCAAATTTCAAACAGTGTAGCACAAATACGTAATACATTCCATATGCAAGATCTCTGTACTTTCTCTCCTTATCTAGCATATGGGTTCCCTTGAGAATATGGATTACCACCAGATGGAGGTGCAGCATTATATGGATTAACTGGCTTACGTTGTGGATATCCTTGTTGTTGTTGAGGTGGTGGGGCTGATCCATACTCGTGTTGAGCTCTAGGTGGATTGGTTCTTGCTTGTTGTTGAGGTGGATATCCTCCATATGGTTGTTGTTGTTGAACTGGTGGTTTAGCATATCCTTGAGGTGGTGGGTATCCTTGTCCATATCCTTGAGGTGGTGGTGGCCCTCTACGTTGTTGAGGTTGTGGTTGACCTTGTGATGGGTATCCTTGTTGAGGTGGTGGACGTTGTTGATATTGTTGAGGTGGTGCTTGTTGATGAGGTGGATATCCTTGTTGTGGATATGGTTGTTGTTGCTGTTGAGGTCTAGGTTGATGCTGTTGTGGTTGTTGCTGAGGTGGATAGCCTCCAGGTCTTTGCTGTTGTTGTTGTTGAAGTGGTGGTGGTCTATGTTGTTGATAACCATGTTGTTGTTGCTGTTGTGGTGGATAGTGTAAGCGTGGTTGACCTTGCTGAGGTTGTTGCTGCTGCTGAGGTGGTCTTTGTTGTGGATATGGTGCTTGTGATGGTTGTTGATGTTGTGGAGGCAATGGTGCATTCTTTGGTTCTTGAATCAATGATGAATATGCTTGAGCAGGTGGTCTTGAGCCATTATTATATTGATATTGGTTTGACGGTTGTTCATTGCTGAATGAATCCTTCTTTGGTAGTGTTGGGGCATGTGATGTAGTTGGCGAGCTGGAGTTTATACGGCCACTTGTATAAGGAGAAACTTGCTCAATCTTAATATTTGGTAATGGTAATGGTTTACTTGGAGTTTGGACTTTCAAAGCAGGTTCATCACGAATTACTTCATTGGAACGATTATGATAATCTGGATTGAAAACATCATCAGATCCTGCTGCTCCTCTCTTTGATTCATTCATTGATAATGCTGAAATGCCTCTATTGAAATCTTCTTCAAAATCATCATCGTCATCATCATTATTATTCAAATAAGTGTTTGAAGATGAATTCTTGAAATTGGAATATGGATCTGTATTACCTCTAGTGGCTTTCTCTAATGAGGTTTGAGATCTTGAAGCACCTTGCTGTTGTTGTTGTGAAACATTGTATGGATCTTCTAATCTAGCACCACCATTCGAAGCATAACCAATATTACCATTTCCAAATTGTTTATTTCTTTGGCTCACATTTTCATTTGATTTATTATATCTTCCCATAGCAGCACCAGTACCAGCATCAACACCTCCATTAGCTTTATTACCCATTTGCGCAACATTTGAATAGTCTTCATAAATCTGAGTGATTTCTGAATTTCTATTAACGGTTGGTTTTGGTGGTGAGGATGGTTCACTTAATTCTCCACCAGATTCATTGATTGAACTGTTTTTAGAAATCAGTGAATCTCTTTTGAACTTTGGTGCAGGGAAAAAACTTGGTGATAATGGTGATATTGGCCTATTATTACCACTGTTGACGGATCTAACATCCAGAAATTCATTTGAGTTGAAAGCTGGTGAACTAATAGCACCAATAACCCCATGATTAGATCCACATCCTGTATAACCATTTGTAAGTTTTCTACCTAAAACCTCTTTGATCTTCATTCTCCATTCAGTCAGTAGCCAATTACTTGATTGTGGAGAGCTTGCCAATAATATAAGATCATCAACTTCCAAATAATGAACATGTGGTAAAACTGGTAACCCAAACAATAGAGAATTCATTTCACTTTTATTAGCATTTAATCTTTTAGGTCTACCATACAACGCAAAAGTATCCAATAATGGAACCAAAAATCTAATCAAAGTATCATAACCTGGAACTGCACTATGTTGTTCAGGCATAAAATAAACACAAGCTTCTTTTGGCAATGATTTCTTATTACCATCGAAAACACTGTACCTTCCAACTTGATCATTGTACTATGGTCAATCAACTTATGGGATTGTGGATATAAAGCATAAGTAGCACTTGCATCCTTAATATAGCCATAGTCTGTTTTTTTTT